GCAGGGGTGTACGAATATTGATTAAAGCTTCACGGTACAGGGCTCCAGATCGCATCAGAGATGGCCACCACGGCATGATAAATAATTGCAAACTAGAACTTGAGATTGTTGTTTGAATCCAAGACCCTGGGAAGAAACCCGAAATTGGAGTTACCTGGCGCGCGTATTATATCGAACCAATCTTAAAGTTCCCGAGCGCAGATTCGGAGACTAGCCAACTTTTTTCGACTTTACTAGATGAGACTTCGGTTGAAGTGAGTTCAAAATATATAATTGGATTGTAAATTTAGTCCGAGTACGCAGATCTTGTAATGGTTTCCTCAGGGCTTCTCTATTATTCGGGGCGGCTGCACATGGAGAATGGCCGCCTGCGCAATAATATATCCCGACAGAAACGCAATAACTATTTTGCATTGCATGACTGGTAGTATTTAAAACCTCTGAGTTCGTCGTATCATGAAGATAGTACGAGTAGATCAAGTTTAGGATGCACGAGTACAGCCCTGCCGAGATAATGATGTGGCTGCAGCCAAGAAACGAACCAACAGACATGTAATCCGAGGGATATAATAACTAGGGCTTTGCGTTTTACGGACCGGACGGTCAATACAAAGTTTCGAAACAATTGTTCTAGTCGGATCTAGCCGTTGAAGCGGGTATGGGATGAGCAGCCTACGTTCTTAGTGACTCGCGCGCGCGTATGGGATGTAATTGAATAGACATCAATAAATATAGTGAAGTACTCAAGTACTAAGGCTCTTCCTATGAAACTTAAATTTCTTCCAGCCGGACAATACTCCACCCTCCGCACCCGAACATCGGACCCAGCATCATAGGAAAACTCAACGAGCACCAATGCTAAGATCAGTTGCTGGAGATTTCGTATCAATTGCAATGGCGCCCATGCCAATATTTAAGTTAATTTGACCGATAATACATGCACGATTCGCGACTTGATGTTATAATGTTATAGTCTTGAGATTCGCACAAAAATAATCTCAAGACCCCCGCATCTACACAAAAAGCCCTCGAACAAGGCTTTCCGCCGTTTTCATGGGAAGTATACATATAAATATTATAAAATACAGGTTTGATAGGGCCAAAAATGAGTACACCGGGAACTAGAAGATTCACCCATTGCTCGAACTTTCAGCTTCAAATAAAGTTGAGATCCAGAAAGATCATATTCAATGACCCATACCAAAGCAACCAAGACAACTATGATCATATGACGCCTCCTTCTCTCTGGCTTATAATAGCATAAAAATCTCTAGGCTCCGGGATGAAACCTGTCAAAAAACAGAACAAGGATTTCTCAGACTCACGGCGGTTGACCACCGGCCGTTCTCATTCGATACGCCTGAACGTCGCCGTGCCACATATAGTGAGGTCTCTCTTCCAAGAATAGATGGGAGAGAAGAAGAAAACGAAAGGATCTGGAATTTTTTCGATTACTTGAAGGAAGTCACGTTTAATTTTCAGCGATCAAATGGTAACACATAGCACAATAATTTACAAAGCTCAAGCGTCCTTAAGCTCTTTCATTCACCCGTCACATTATTGCAAACCTTCATACACAAGGAGAGTACAATGCGATGAATTCAACCCAGGCCCAGCTTCGCGATATTCCTGAATCTGTAGCATTATTCTGGGCCCAAGCCAAATATCGTCGCTCCTATCATGGAGAATTCTAAAAATGGTGGCTATACAGCGGACGAATAACTTGCAGTCTCGGCGTAAAACAACGAGTTCCTATCTTTTCCTGAATCTTATACGAATTTTGTGGAGGGATCAGCGATAGGTATATATAATAGTAAAATCTAAGTATGGTCGTTAGTATTGATTAATAGGTCTGATAATAGGAGAAGTGACATGGTTCAAGATACTTTCAAATCTAAATCACAATGATATCATGATCCGCCGCGCCGACTAACTACGTATATGTAGGGAAACTTTATATAGTCTTAAGACCCTGTGCCTAATTACAATTCAATGGTTATTACCGTAGCTGTCAGTTTCATGGCTACTAGAACTTAACAACCAAGCTAGAAATTGACTGCTGGGTATATAAAAGGCTTTAGCAAATATAATAATTATATAATCGTTTGCCTGTTATCAAAAGATATATTTGTGATCTCTCTCTATTCAGTAACCTATATCAATTAAATTACTTGGCTCGAGCATCCCTTTCAACGTTGAGCTATGGTTACTTAGGTACCTAGGTACTATGATAATACAATAAAAGGAGCTAGAACATTCGCGGCGATTTTGCTGGGATATCAGGGATTAGGAACACCTAAAAGTCGCATCTAGTGTTATTTCATATTATGGTTTACCTTTGTAGAGTGATAAAATATGCTGAGAAGATAAAGCAAAGCTTCATATAGCCTTTTATAGTCTAGTAACAGGTTTTAAAGAAACACAGAAACGTTAAACGATATACATATTTGAAGTTAACCTAGTAGTGCTGAGTTTTCAAAATTCCATCGCCTTCACCTCTTATCCTAGCGGGCACACTTGCATAGAGCCCTCGAGATATACAGGTGACATTTTAGCTTTCGGTGTATGTATATTTATTGCGGACCTGCATGCGGCAGTACATCGTGCTATCAAAAAAATGCGAAGCCGGGATGAACAAGTCATATTCTACAAATCAGGTGTAAAATCTCATTTATAGGGAATGGAGTACCGAATTCAACGGTTGTCTATAAATTCTTAAATTTAAAATGAGGTATGGGTATTCATGGCCGGCGCTAGATAGGCCACACTAAGTCTAAAAATGCCGTGGTTGATCATTTAGCTGGGTCGATTTACGAAAACGGAAATACCCCAAGTAACCGATTCAATAGGAAAGGCTCCTCAAGGGCATGAGATAGGCCCATGGTTTGTCTCGTACTCAGACCTGGCTAGCTGAAAGCCCATGAGCCAAATAAAAATTTTTACTCAGACTACCTTCGAAGCTTCCAAGACAATATTATAGTATTATACAGCCCGACGTTCATACCTAACCGCAACTTCGATATCAGCATTGGTGATAGATCGATATCCCGAGGAATAATCTTCATTTCTGCCCCAAGGAGGAGCTACAAAGTTAAATGTATCAGAAGGGGTAAATTATATATGTAGACTAGCTCTATTCTCAAAAAAAATATACGCAACATATTTTACTTAGTCTATCTGCAAAGCAGAACTTCAAGACAAAGCTCACTATACGAGTGTCGTTGTATCGTCCCATTCTTAACCAGCTATGATGTATATATGCTCAAAGCCAATGTAAAATTATGATAACTTGGAAAAATATCCGTAGGAAAAACTGAAGGTTTTCCAGGACAAAATTTAAAACTTCCGCCTTAAGTCCACTCCTGGAACGATTAAGACTACTTAATTACTGGATAAAGCAACTTAAAATTTTACAAAAAATCCCAAAACCCCACCAAAACTCCCTACAGTATTCATTTATCCTGTAAAAGCTTTCGAGACCACTACAGCACACTCCAACAAGTAGCTGTAGTGTTCCTGTACATTCCCACGCTAAACAAAAATGCCAACAGTAGTTGATCAAAAGCGTATTATGCTTGGTAACTTTTCATACATTAAGTAGTAGCTCATCCCTTGTTCTATTTACATTCGTCTGTCAACTGACTCTCAAGTGAACCTGCGTAATTAATGCATATGGCAGAGACCTAATATCCGCCATCATCGACATTCATGAATTCTCTCCAATTAATCAGCACAAACAGAGTAACATATAAACAAGTCAGTCCGACCTATCAAACCTTGTCAGATCTGACATCCAATGGGCTAAGGAGACGAGTACTCCTAACAGTCATGCTGTAACGCTCCGCAGTAGAATGATTAATGAACCAAAAAAGCAAATATTTGATGTCATTGAGGCATGATTATAAAATTTAATCATGAAGTGCGTGGAGCTCCAGAGCCCAGCTAGCACCCGCAATTTTATGTAGAGGTTTAGTGACATTCTAACAAAGTTCCACCCACGGTTTAGGATATCGGATCGTCTCATTTCAGATAACGGGTGTAGTCACCCATTCCCGATGTACAAAAATGAACGGCGTCATAATAGAGGAGTAGGGTTGTATTTATAGCCATGTTTTCGTGCATCTAGCCAAATGCTTGTTTACGGCGTCTACCGTACAGAGCCAAAATTCCCGCTGCTCTAAGTTCAACGTCTTCTCGGGGCCTCACTTTTTGTACGTTGAAAACTAAAGGATATAAAATGGCGGTTTCATTTGAGGTATTGACATCTTTCGAATTCGGGAAGCTGGAAAATAACTTTATTCTTCGATCGGATTCTCCGTAGCCAATTTCTTTTGATCATGAAGAGTTGGAGAATGCTCGAAGCTATCGAGAGGTATACCTAAGGATGTTTTGTTGCTGTCGGAGTAGATTTGCAAGTTAGTATACCATCCTTTGAAGGCCTCCGTTCAATACGTTGATCATTATTTCCCTTGCCATCTCAATGCAATAGCCCCACAAAGATCGTCAATTTTTGTAATTGTTCTGGACTATTTTGGGGATATGGAATCCACGTGGACTTTCGTATTGGCTGCGTATTAGGTCAAATAATTAGGACGTATGCCATGTCAAAAGACAGATGAGTTAATAATAGTCCCATTCGAGGAAACTTACGTAGTGGGTATGATCCCGAACGTGGTTAGTTGCGATAACTAGCTCATGCAATATTATATATAATACCGTCGCCAATTTCCTAAGTATAATTAGTAACTTTAAGCTCAAAGATAACATTTTAATAGCACAACACAAGAAGTTTAGTTCTAAGTTCAGATCTAACTCCAAAAACCTCAACAAGCGATCATTGCATCGATCAAGCAATCCATCATCACCAACCATCTACCCTGCATAAACTGGGCTACGACATCGGCTTCAATACTCCCGACATATCCAGCTCGCTCTCTTAATCCCTTTACCTCTCTATTGCCTTTTTAATCGTACTATTGCCTCGCCGTTGATTCCTAAATATGAGTTCGATTACCTCAATCAATAGAGTTTCATTATGGAGCATCCAAATTCACAGCAACGCTTCAACTAAACTGGAACCGTCGCGAAACGACGTCAAAGCCGGTTTTGTATGCTGCGACGGACTTGGTATCTCTACAAACACTATCTTTGAAGACTTGAAAATCATATATCCAAGTTTGCATTATTGTCCCGATGAGTTCAAGTTAGCTTTGTGGCAAGAACGCGATGACGGATCTGCGGAATTTACGAGCGCCGCCGATGGTAACAAAGAATTCAGGATGGCGACAGATAGCCCGAAGCTTATTCTGGGCCTTATTTTTCACAATAAAAGCCATCCCCTATGCACCGTGCTGACTGATAGTGCCACCATCACTCATCATATTAATGGTAACCCGCATAACATTTTCTACACAATCTAGATGAATCTGCTGACGTGAGATTTACAATTAGCGGGGTGCGCTGTGGTACCAAATCTCAACTTTGATCCCCAGGAGAATGGGCACCTACCAGATACCCAAAATTATTTCATCCCAAGTGCTCGTTCATCGAGGCCCTCTACACCGTCGCAGAAACGTAAATTCGCAGAAGACTCTACCTCCGGCCAATCAACGCCAGCCTCTCTAGAATCGCCACGGAAACAAGACCAAGACTCCCGAATGTTTATCGAGAGTCTTGGTGTCGACACGAGATCTTTCGAGAAAAGTGTCAAAGGAAGCTATAGCAAATGTGTGATTACTAACACAGATAGCAAATGGGGTACACTCATATGCGGTCCTGGGTATGTCGCTGTCCATATCGTACCGCAAAAATTTTGGTTTTCCTACCCGGATTGGCGCCCTAGCCCCGATTACGAGAACTATCCTTTCAAAGTGACCCCTTCATACAACACCCATGAAAATGGTTTGCGGCAAAGAATGCAGTCGACTTGGGAACCAGCCAACGGTTTACTCCTAAGAGCCGACATTCATGATATGTTCGACCGGCGAATGATTGCAATCCACCCTGTAAACCTAGCAACAGCCTCAAAAAATAAAAAAGCCGCTACTGACCGTTTCTTCTAGATCACCTTCCAAATCCGATTATTCGCACCGATGTCTGTTGCTATGGAGTATCATGGGAAAGTAATTGAATGGGAGACAATTCCAGACAGAGCAGCGTTGGCCTATCATTACAGTCAATGCGTGATCGAGAATGTGGCTGCAGGGTTGGTTTCTGCCTCGAAATTTGTGGTTCCAGAAAATTGGAAGCAGGCAATCAATATGATCTCGCAGTTAGGTATGCTAGATGTCTCTAATCCAAAACTTCTGTTTGAGGCTATACCACTAATATTCAAGCCTTTCAGCTTTAAATCGAAGGTTGCAAGAGTTGAGAGACCAAGTTGGGGACGGTTCTGCGGATGATGCCACTTACTATCTAGAGGATGGGCTGACCAAGGGGCGGGAGGAAGAAATTGAGTCATGGCTCGAACGGTATAATAATACTTGAGAACGGAACTTTCATTACTGTTGTCCAAGCTCGGAGAAAGTATGTTAGCGATTATCAATAGCTCAACAAGTCAAACAGAACCCATCAAGTATCGCTTTACTAGAACGGTATTTGATCTCAAACGAAGTTGTCGAACTGGTATTCAACACTCCCAATGAGAATCTATTATTAGGAGCATAGAAATCAAAATCTACCCTCCCAGACGATAGTGTCAATTCACTTGATAGCTAAGGCAATTAGTCCCGTTCCAAGGTCTCGGATGAGCCCAGGACCCTTTCTTCTGCATTCAAATAGAATATTTCGAGCGGCTCCGAGACTAATGTAGAGCTATAGAGTGAATAGTATCTCTTGACTTTGGGGAAAAAATCGAATGCTGAATGTTGCGTTGTGTAGTGTTGTGGTCTTGGCAATTGACTGTCCCAAGAAAAGCTATCAGATTGACTGTTACACTGTGTATTGGAGTCTCGGCGCGCCCCTGCACCTAACCAAGATAATTATAAAACCATTGCCGAATTCACGTGAATTCAAGGTATTATTTCAAAAAGAGGGATAGGCCTAAAAAGGATGGTTTTGGCCCAGGTCAAGTATCAAGTTAACTAACTACAGGTTGCACATGGAGCTCCACACCATCAGACTAAAGTTAGAATATAGGGACATATATACATGAGGGACAATTCCTTTATAATTTATCGTCAGTCTCATCGAAACCCGCCTCGATTAGCGAACGCCGGATTAGGATTCGGGTTCTGCGACCAGGGGTTCGCCGGCTGAAGCCTGAAACATTTGCGTTTTTGGTTCCGTCGCGCTGGTTAGCCCTGAAGAGGAATAGCCATAACGTTCTGAACGAAATTTCGGGATAGTTGCTTTGCATTTTGGCACTTATCTAGCCCTTTCATTGGCCACAGACAAGCAGAACTCCTTTCCCGTTGGTTCTCTTTGTCAATTTGTCAGGGGCAGTTCTTCCAGCGGTGCTATTGTGTGTAACTAACAATTTAATCTCCTTAAAATTATCAAAATGATAAATTTCCTCTCTCGCAGTGGACTTGATCTTGCACCACTCTCGCTTCTTCTCTTGGAATTTCGATCATACTTATATCGATAAACCGCCAGATTTATATATATCTAACTTAATAGCTTCAATGAAGAGAGTATCGCGAGATATTGCCGTTCCGGCGCTATGGTTTTGGCTATGGAACGGCTACGCTATGGCACAAACCTCGTCGAGGGTTATGTCTCTCTCGTTACAAGGCCAACTTCCACCGCTCACATTACCGGCCGACTGCTTAACCACAAGTGTCTACAGAGCAGAAACTGAAATTAACGGTATTAACGACGAGATTTACTATACGAGTTCTACACTTGTTCAAGGTTGTATGACGGATGATCCGCGTTCGACGTGCTGTCCGAATTACGAGTCTGCTGGAAGTTATGGTGTATACTACTCACCTGGTGTCTGCCCAGACGGGTATACGACTCTGGACTTGAATATTATTGTTCAGGCCTATTCATATTCCAGCTTTGATGAGATAAAACTGGGGTTAAAGACTGGAAAGGCTTGCTGCCCAAGGTTTGTTTAATATCTTTTGAATTGTCTAAATCAATCTAAATGTCAAAATTTACTGACAAACTGTTCCCCGTTGATAGCGTTGGAACACCTGTTACATATGATCTTTACTCATACGGTCCTTCATGTCTTTATTCAGAGACAACCTCCTATTCGACTAGCGACGCAGTTGGTCCCAAAGTAATATCCACGTCGAGGTACTGGTCCGCCTCCGCCTACATAATTATTCCAGGCACCGATTTCACAACCACCTTCGCATCACCCACTGCGGCTCCAGAATCAGATGAACCAGAATCAACCTCAGCAGAACCCGGTCAAACCGTTCCCACCCAAAGGGCTACAACATCGGCTGCTGGGACCGGAGGAGGCGCGACCTCAACAGGGCCGAGGAACACATCAAGTCCCACCAACACATCTGAACCAGCGCCCCAAACTTCTACTGGGATGCCGATAGGCGCTATTGCAGGAATTTCGGTTGGCGCAGTAGCAGCTTTAGTCGGGCTTGTTTTTGCAGCTTATCGACTTGGAAGGCGGAAGGGAGGTGCTAACTCTCAAGTCCCTGGTGACTTTCCCTCTACAAGACCGCCGCAAAATCCACATGGTATGGGATTCTCAGAAATTGGTGGAGAAAGTATCCCTCTTGGAAAAGTGGGAGGTGCGGGGCCGGCCCCTGCTTACAGTGGCGTACCAGAAATCGATGGAAGCCAATACAAAGGATACGCCCAGCCCGCATATCCAGAGATGCCGGCAAACCCCTATCAAGGATATGTTCCAAACAAGTACCCAGAACTTGATGGAAACGTATACCAAGCTCAGGGACCGGATAGGAATAGATATCAAGAACTTGATGGGGCTGGCAGATAGTTCGTCTTTTTCTCAGGGGTTACAAAAGTCACAATCTAGAAGTTCTACGCTGTCACCCGCATCATATACATTGCATCGAGTTTATTTTCAAGCACATCTTGGTTTCCAGGTTCCATATTAGCAGCGCTATAAGGAGTTTAGCAAACTGGTCTATTTTCTAGATCCTAAATTATTTTTTCTGTACATAATAAAAGCCCATGCCTCCCGTCGCGTCGGGGTTTCAACGAGTCTAATGTCATTTAATTAATTCAGCCGCACGAATATTCACGCGCTAACGTTATCTCGCGACGTTGGTGTTGCACACAAATGTATTGCGGCCGGCCGACTGCATTCATGAAACAATTGTAACTTCCCGAATCGGCATATATTTTTGGAAGATACCCGTCGATTTATATATCAAGTTATAATCTGTCGAATCTAGATTTAAGCCTACTAGAATCACAGTATTGTGCAGGTCGACAAATAATACACCTCGCTACCAAACCCCAAAGAACATTTATACAAGCCAAGGCTACGAGCTGATACCAAGACCAAAAGCTTAGGAAGCTTAAACACCAACACGCGATATATAGCCTCCCAGTCAAACTATCAACGACGCCCGAAAATTTGAATGAATTAATTACGTAAAATACGTTTAATTAGAAATAGTATAAAAATGTAATCCAATCTAGCGATTGACTTAAAATCCGGGTCAATTTTCGCTTGGAGTGCCCTCAAAATCTAGCCCGTGTACACAGGTTATGCGCACCCTTAGTTCTAAACCGAGACCATCCAGATCAAAATCAAGAAGATGGCCTTGCAGCTTTATTCATACATCGTAATTATATCCATCGCTACCATAACATGGATGTCCTTTACCCTTAACCTCCATAAATGCTAACCCGCCGCCCCGGGGCGTCTCAACAACAGTCATTCCCATCAACTTCTCATAAAATGGAACCGATCGCTCCCAATCCGCCGTGAAAAGCATGGTCCGTCGTAGATACGGCATCTGGTTGGTAGCTTCCTGCACACACTGGATCAACCAGGTCCCCAGTCCTTTCCCTTGGTAAGCGGAATCAATCCATACATCAGTGAGGTATGAGAAGGTGACATAGTCGGTGATAAGACGTGCAATGCCGATAAATTTAGATTCTGGTGTCGAATCTGTTGAGTTTTCTGGGATAGTTTGTTCGTATACTCCGAATGAGAGAGAACTTTTGAGCATCTCTTCCATTGCCTCTACCGGCACCGGTTTCGCCCAGTAAAAGTCTCTTGAATCGAAAACTTCAATGACTCGTTTTAGAGGAAATAGACTGGGGTCTGTTGAGATCAAAAACTGGTCCTTCCGCCAGGAACGATTCTTTAGATTTTCTTGAATGGACGCCATTGATACGATGAAATAACTTCAATTCCAAATGCTGAAAGGCTTAGAAGTTTTGAAATTGGACCTGAAGATAACTAGAATTGTATTCTTGATAACGTTCGAATTCGCAGAAGCCTTGCTTATAAATACCACACATGACTCAAGGCGGCCACAATATATACCCAACAATCCCGGTACACTTTTGTGTTGTATCTCCCTAGTCTCTTTTTTTTCCAAGCTAGCTTGGACTTCTTATCTTCGAATAATATTGCATAACGGTCGGTGAGCTCCGCTCTGGGCCCTTCAGTTGCGCAATGGAGCTCAAAACTAGCTATTACGAACTAGTAACGTTGGCCCGCGCTGGCCAGCCGAATTTCGGAGCCACCACCGTGTGGTATTTCCACAACCGAGGCGCCAATGCAGCGCGCGGTGTATGCGATATATGCTCAGACTCATCGGAGCTATCCCGTGGGGTGCATATATTGGTCAATTAAAGTCTAGCATTTATTTTAGGCTATCGATGGATCTTACTGCTAGGTCCGGAGTAATTTTCGGGACAATGGCTTAGGTATAACGTTACTCACCCATATACCACCCCATCACTCCAAATGTGTGCATTTAAATATTTATGCGTGTTAGTGAATTAGGAGCCACGAGATAAAGGAGCGACCGAAAGGTTTCCAGTCCAGGCTTTATAGATAATTTTCTGAGCAATCCGTATACCTATAGCTACCTAGGAAATTTTGTGAGGTAGCCAAGGTCCAGCTAAGACCCCACGGCGGAAGTAGCCCCCGAGCACAAACTAAAACTTCCGTACTTTTGGTCAGCTACTCAATTTCACGTCATGAAATCTACCCCGAAAATGTATGTTAAAGATACATTTCGTTCCTCTTTTGAGCTCCCAGAGATCCAGCTGCTTTACAATTTGAGTAAATTTTATAACATAGTGTATTAATGTCTAAATTATAAAGGGTAGAATATCTAACCTGTAGAAAGCGATGGCCTCTTGCTCTCCTTAGTGATATATTACCTGTTTTCTGGAATATATGTGTAAAATATCTTCAATTGTATAATTGCACCATGACCCCCATAAATCTTCTTGCGGCGTCTGATTCGAGACAAGAAACAGCTATCCTACAGCTTCAAATCCCCGGGCCCCCCCTGACAATTTTCTTAATTTTCTGTCCAGTTAACAGTAATATTTTGAAAGAACTGGTTGGCTTTCCTCGCATTTTTGAGGGGAAAGTAGCCGCGGGTTGTGGGGCACCGAGTCCGAGGCTTGGTGATTTACCAGAAGGGCGGAAAATAGTTCGCTTTACGTTCAGGTGGGAAGCTAGATAACTATTCCATAACTTTGATACCATTTGATATTGCTTGGCTTAGGTTCCATGTTCATACTTCGAAGTCATGCATTTCAGCCAGTGGTCACTACCACCCGAGTTAATTTTTCAAGGGCCCAATATTCATATATTCAAGCATCTTTCCCAAAGTCAAAGTTGTGACGAAACGTAGGAGGTGAATGTAAAAGTGCGTAGGTTAACCCAACTCAAAACTCGTGATCAGGACTTCGAAATTGTAGCTAGGCGGCCATTTTTTAAAACAACAAGGCACTTTCCCTTCATCCGAAATAGCAGATCGATATCGAAGAAATATATATTTCTAAACAGGGCCCGGATTATGCGGAGAGAGCCGTGACTGGGATCTAACAGGTCTTTAAATCATTAAATTAACCTGAGACATATAGATTACCACGTCCACGGCCCCAATGATCCGAGAAGGTATGAACATTATATGTAGTAACGCAGAAGTTTGGTATAGTAGTACGTAGTATGGTAGTGCTATATCATCCTTCTAACCGCACAAATACATTGAAGATTTGCTGGCAAATTGCAAAGGGGCCCAGAGATGCGAGAATTGCAGATGTTCAGCACATGCAACCACTAGACCTGCATTCAAAATCTTGCCTGCCGTTCCCTGCGTCTGATCTCGGGGCTAGTCGACCCCTTGGGCCTTACAAGCTCGGATATGCATGATCCAGCACTATATCTTTCATGTTCAATATGCCAGGCACAGAAAAATACCCAATATTGATTCAAGGGAATTAATTCAACATGGATCCTATTGACAAAGCCAATCAACAGAAGGATCGTTCCTAGGGCTCTACCTACAGGCTCTGCCTAGATGCATGGCGCAGCAAGAAAGCTTGGTGGGGGGGGGTCCTTAGTCATGCCACTGCAACGTTGGTTATTGCCTATATTTTAGCTGACAGCATACGTACACTTATTAATTTCTTTCTTTCTGTAGCCCTGAGACATGCTGGTCTTACACTTGAGCATGAGCCATCTGATATTTACCGAACTCGAAATCCACATGCGCAGTTGCATTAGCCCCAGTCATTTTATACGTAAATGGAGGTTACTATTGCCACTGGGCTCATGAGTTTTCAATTCTAAGAAGTTTCACCAGCTCAAAATCTGACTTGTAGGATATCTTGCATTATTTGGGCTATGCTACGATCCCGGACCTATTCGAATATCCAGCAGCAAAGAATTTCACTTTTCTGAGGCTGCACTGTGGGAACCATTGAATTGAAAAACACACCAGATCTAGAGGCTATCTAAATTCTTGAAATATATAGACCATATCTACAAAATTATAGGTTCAGGGGGGATATCAGTAGCTAGTAGACAAACGTCTCGAGGCTAGCTGAGTTTACCCACTGATGTATTTCAGGATGCATGCATGCTATTGCATTTTCAAGCTATCTCTCTAGAATTCTCATAAATTGCTGAGATTATACACGAGTGATGACATAGGAGTGCCACGGAGAATACCAATTGCAAACCGAATTAAGGAATATTACAACGATGCGCGTAGGTTTCCCACTAGGCAAGAAACAGTGGGCTAGGGAGCAATTTTTGAAATTTTTAAACTGGTCGTTTTAGCACTAATTCACCCTAGTCACTAAATCAAGATCTATAAATGCTCCTCGCAGAGACCGGGCAGGCTGGTTTACAAGAAAATACCCCTCGAGAAATCCTAAAAGCCTAGCTATAGATATGAAAGCCTCTTTTACATTCGATGCATGCGCAGGCATGCTAGGCATGCTAGGCAGATTATTCAATTATCTATATAGTTAGATCTAATGTATTTATCAAGGACCATGGCTTAGCCTCACACTAACCCCAAATATCCTCTTGAAACATCCCTGAAATATGTGCCTACAGGAAATTTTGTAGACATCGATGCATTTGCCCATGTGAAAATGGTGACAGACATCGCATGCACATCTTGATCTCTTGTGTTGCAGTCGTTTACTTCAAAGTAACCTATTCCGTCCCGAGTTTGAAGAAGCTACAGGTTGCCGAGCCGTATTATCTCAGATGGCGGCAGGAATACCCGGCAATTGTGAGGCTTTTGCTTGGCTAATATATCTCATATTAATACGCGGAAGCTAGTGCAATTAGTACACCACCAGCCAGTAAAATATATAATCCGAGCCAACAATGTCCGTGCGATGGCCCCGCGAGTGGTATTCGTTTGTATACGACTATTCTATAAACGGATGATTTCCCCTTGCATATACGATCTTGATCTGAAATTTCCATGTGAGACTATCCGAAGCCACTGATACAATTTAGGTGGTCGGTAGTGTCTCCCGGGAATCAATTAGGCCTCCCAGTACCGGTACCTGATTCATGATAATAGGTTGAAACCAGACTGGAGCCTCATAAGAATCACGGATTTATATTGATTTGAACATTATTGTATATTGCGGCACGAATAATTTCTGACTAGAATGGTGAAACATACTTTTAATATAATTACTCTAAAAAACAAATTTCGCTTCTAGTTAGGCTTCAAAGGGTGTTCGTCTTATCGAGCCCGCTTTGTCTGCGACTAGAACAACAAGCTTAAGGCTCACAATCCCCACATTTCGCCACGAGTTCTGCTCCTTGTGTGTGATATTTTGTACTCCATGGATCTAGGATCATTGGTTTCATGGGTTCAAAGAAGCATCTACCCAAAAATGGCCAAGATGCAACACTACCATTGTATTAACGAATCGAATCGTGCTGAAATGTATTACCGAAATCTTTGCCGCTCCCAAACTTAAAAAAAAATAAGAATTATTAATTGCTTTACGGAAGATGCCGGTACACTGATCTATGCGAAAGCGGGGCTATCAATATCTTGGCATATGAAAGAAAAGATTCTTGTCAAGATAATGGGACGAAGACCCTAGATCCATAACGCCATTACCATCCGATGCTATCTCGGGCGAACGGTAGAGCTACAAAAGACTCTGCATACTTCAGGAAAAGGAAAGAAGTAAAGAAAAATAGGTAGCAGAGTTTAACTAAATGTCACAGATTGACCAATAGTTTAGCAGCTTTAGTCTGGTTTTTTTCTGTTCCTGCATCAATGTTCCCCTCTTGAAGAGGCTTTCGACTGATAGCAGAAACGTCATAAATGACCTTTCAAATATCGTCCTTTCCGCTTTCAATACAGTCGATACTAGTGGTAGACGGTGGATAGTCAAACTCCCTGGTTCGGAGGGCTTGTGACCAAAGACGGCACAAAATACCACGACGATCGCCTGAGCTCTGAACTTTTCCTTAACCCGCATAGCTATGCATGGTTCTTTATCACATGTATCTTACAATGCGACGATATCTCCGTACGTACGAATTATTGCGGTTAAGATTGCAGTGACTGTAGTTGCAGAATTCACATGCTACCGTATTCCAGCGGTGGTGTGGAGCGTCGACTGCGGAAGCGCAATCGACTCGAAAGGTGTGATTGACTCTATAGATCTTTTCTGGATACAGGTTCTCAAAAATCTGCTTGGAAGAGTGTTTCAACTCAGTGGGGAAACAAAGATCGAGGGCGGGGTAGGAGGAATCCCGGGCCGGATAAATCTAGACTCCTAAGGAATACACTACCATGGAGGGAAATCAGGGAAGCGCGCTAGCTCCAAACAAAAATTAGTCGTTCGGTTTTCCAACGAACCGGTTGGCCCCAACCTTCACAATTTTTGCCGTTTCCATGGCCATATGATATACGCAATTACTAAGTTCGGTTGGTCCTGATCCTGAAATACCACGGCTCAAATGATTATTGCGCAAGGACCCCTGGCGGCACTCGCGTAGTCTGGTAAGCGACCGACTTTCCCCACGATGCCAAGGTTGGGGGAACGGGGGGCGGCATGGCCTAACTAAATAAGGAAAAAGGCCCGGACAGGACCTCACTAAAAGAACTGCACGAGACTTGCAGATAGCATGCATTACATGCATTTGCTGCCCATGCTTCAATAGACGCTCCCCGCAAACGACAGCGCAATTTGTGGGGTCGCTATAATTTTGCGGAGCTCGAGAAGAAGATCGAATTGACAATGCAATCCTAAACCGAGGCCAGAATGGAGACAATAGATGTTCATTTCTTTCCATGTGAAGCTTCAGGCTTCAAGACTTCAACCACTAATTTAATGTCAAACAAACTAGATGGAATCTATGGCTAGGTATCGCGCATTTAAGAAGGGCTGTCGTCGCCGTCGAAGGGATGTTATTTTTCAGTATCAATCAGGCAGTGCGGACTCGTCGATCACTTTGAAGTCTTACAATATCAGATAGATCGCCAAGATGAAGGTTCTTTTTACTCTTTCCAGTCTCTTGGGACTTGGTCTCGCTATGCCAGCTCCGGTTATAGAGGAACGTGCAGCAGCAGCACCCACGGTCACAATTAGCTACCCAAAAGCTACGATCATTGGTAAAGGCGGCGACGTGGAAATTTTCCCCGGGATCCCTTTTGCGAAACCTCCAGTGGGTGAGCTTAGACTAAGACCACCCCAGCCATTGACGGATCCCCTCGGCACTATTTACGCCACAGAAAACGGGAAGGCATGCCCACAATTCACTTTCAGCACCGCTATAAACGATGATATCCCAACTTCCGCTCTCGGTCTCCTTATCAATACACCATTCTTCCAGAAAACCCTCAATGCTGGTGAAGATTGCCTTTTCATTAATGTCCACCGACCTAAAGGAACGAAAGCAGATGCAAAGCTACCGGTCCTCTTTTGGATCTTCGGTGGTGGCTTTCAGATTGGTTGGAATTTTATGTATGATGGTGGTCCATGGGTTTCATCAGGTGTTGCACGAGGACAACCAATTATCATGGTTACTGTCAACTACCGAGTTGGAGGATTCGGATTTCTACCTGGAAAGGAAGTTCTAGCTGATGGGGCCTCAAATCTTGGTCTTCTCGATCAGCGCTTGGGTTTGCAATGGGTTGCCGACAATATCGCTGCTTTCGGTGGAGACCCGAGCAAGGTTACTATTTGGGGTGAATCCGCAGGCGCCATCTCAGTTTTCGACCAAATGGCTTTGTACAACGGTGACCATACTTACAAAGGGAAACCTTTGTTCCGTGGCGCCATCATGAACTCTGGTAGCATCGTTCCATCCGACCCAGTGGATTGCCCCAAAGGTCAAAAGGTCTACGACACTGTTGTTTCTGTTGCCGGGTGCTCCAAGGCCTATGATACCCTTGCCTGCCTTCGAGCAGCTCCATATGAAATCTTACTTAATGCCACAACTTCAGTTCCCAGTCTTCTCAGCTATTCATCGATTTCTCTCTCCTACTTGCCTCGCCCAGACGGCGTAGTTCTCACCCAATCCCCAGATCTGTCTGTATTGAGTGGAAAGTTTGCCAAGGTTCCATTCATCATTGGTAGCCAGGAAGACGAAGGTACTCTCTTTGCACTCTTCCAATCCACCATTAAGACAATTCCCCAATTGGTCACCTATTTGAAAACCTACTTCTTCCACGGCGCAACTACAGCCCAAATCCAGGGGTTGGTCGATACTTATCCCGACACCACTACCGACGGATCTCCTTTCCGTACCGGAATTTTCAACAACTGGTATCCTCAGTTCAAGCGATTGGCAGCCATCCTTGGTGACCTTACTTTCACAATTACCCGCCGAGCATTCCTCGATATCGCCAACGCCGTCCATCCCGATGTTCCTTCTTGGTCATACATATCTTCATATGATTACTTGACCCCTGTCCTAGGCACATTCCACGGTAGCGATCTCCTACAAGTTTTCTTTGGTGTTCTTCCAAACTACGCCTCTGTCTCTTTCCGCTCCTATTATCTCAATTTTATTTACAATCTCGACCCAAATAATGGCAACCTTGTTGTCAATTGGCCCCGCTGGAGCGTTAAGAAGAAGTTGATGAACATGTATGCGTGGTATCAGACACAAATCGATGATAACTTCAGAGATGATACTTACCAGTATCTTCTTAAGAACATCGGCAACATGCATATCTAAGACATTGACAGTCTGTAGATAAGGATAAGTTTACTTCAGAGGATCGTATTCGGGTACCTGAGCTCGGGAATCCGGTTTGTTGGATTTCCTGTGTTGGCCGGCCATAGGACCTTCGATGTGATTGCATCGAAGGTCTCATCCTGATGGCATTTCTTTAATAAAAATAGCATTGCATTGGTCGATGGCTAATATTTTGTCTGGCGGGGCTTTTGCGGGGTGTCCGCAATGAGGCCTATATATATACCCTGTAGTATTAATTTTTACCATTACTTTTCATTCTTGTATGTTTGCATTTCTTCAAAAACAGGAGCATTGGCGCTGTCTTCAAGAATTGAACTAGTTCAGATACATTTTCAAAAATACGGTATGAGTGCACATAATCTTTAAATTTTCATATTAGTTCCACATGAGATCATTTACCGGTACCCTAAAGGGTTCCACACAAAGTGTGGACCGCGTCTGCAATACGATATTACCCTAAAGGTGGCCCAAACCCGAGGCTACGGCTATAAAACAGTGGAGAGTCACCGGTAACACTTGCAGAAAGCTTGGTTTCCTACTAAGGGTAAGTGATATCGTGCTTTCAACCATACTTCAAAACTATAAATACATTTATCAAATAGGACTAAATTATAATAAGATCATACACCCTGCCCCTGTGTGACTATTCAAGTCTAATATGCTTCTCGGTCTATTAGAAACAAGCATAACAGCCTTTTTATCAAAACCATAGTACCAATCACTAGCACTGGGCATAGGCTATTGATCCTACAATATTAGCGCCGCAGGTGTTGTCATAATAGCTTAGAGCATGACTATAACTTCTTGATTTTTAGCTAATCTGATCAGAGTAGCACTGATGTAGTCAGGGTACGTAAAAGCCCTGTTAGCTTCATAAATTTAGCTGCTCTGCTAGGATCATCCCAGGCACTCAATGCAGGATAATAGCCCAAAAAATATTAATATACTACATTATAAACATTCGAAACAAAGCACTAGACTCCAGGATAGTGTTTGGTTCACGAGAAAAGCTGGCATAGTACGACGCAATAGTCGCTATAATCGAGCCGATAACACTAACACCAGTACGCGCAAAGTTTACATCGAACAAAGCAGTATATAATAGCCCATTCCCGTAGACATGTTCCGCTGAGGGCTTACAGGACACGCGGCACGTAGGGCCGGAATACGGATACCTACTGATTATCTTCGATTGACATATTCTAGAGTTGAGGTCTTAGTTATTTCGTATTACACTTTTTATACATGATTAAATTCGGTTGCTCATTTCCCATGGTATTTTTAATATAGCAGATAGTTTTCATTCCACATGTTGGCCAAAACTGTAAACGGGATGCTCCCGAAAGCTTGGTTTGTGAGGGTTTAGTGTTGACGCTGTTGCGATTTCGAAAGTGGAAGGATCAAGCGGCATCCGATGCGGCAATGACGTCGCCCGATCCCCTTGCTTCAGCAACTAAGAACCCTTGGACTCTCCCAACGTTTCACCCATTTCAGCCAATTCTTCCCCTCACTATCCGTTAACTTCTCTTAAACAACCTCTCTTCCATCAATTATTCTTCCAAACCTATCAATTGACCTTCTAAAATAACCAAAATGAGTTTCCTCCGCACTACCCTCCGCCAATCCAGCCGTGGAATCCGCCAATTCCACTCTACGCCAGCTAGGTTCATTGCTGTCGGTGATGCTATCCCAGCCGTTGAATTGAAGGAGGATTCACCAGGCAATGTGGTTGATATCGCTTCTGAGGTTGCGGGGTTGAAGAAGGCGGTTATTGTTGGAGTGCCAGCTGCTTTTAGTACGTTTCTCTTAGCTCCAACTTTATCTACTGTTTTCAAGTGAAGAGAGTCTACGAAAGGGTAGATATCTAGATCTGAGACAATATGGAATGAGGATTAATCGCGATTTTTTTTTGTTTGTGGGGACAGGCCCTGCTTGTTCGGCGACACATGTACCCGGATATATCGCACACAAGGACATCAAGAGCACACCGACATACGTTATCGCCGTGAATGATCCGTTTGTTATGAAGGTACAAATAAAACACCACCACCCCATCAATTCATTTTTTGATATCATAAAGGCTAATCGAAACATTTATCACAACAGGCATGGAAGGAATCTATTCCCGGAGCTAAAGAATCTGGTGTACGTCACCACCTATGCACTATTACTTAATTCTCACATTATCACCGAGTCACTAACGCAGATTACATCAGATCCGCTTCTTGGCCGACGGTACCGGTGACTTTGCAAAGAAAATGGGTATGACTTTTGAAAAGTCTGTTGGAATTTTTGGGAATTTGAGGAATAAGAGATATGCGGTTGTGGTTGAGAATGGGAAGGTGAGCAAGGTGTTTGAGGAGGGTGATAATACTGGGGTTAATGGTGAGTTATATATTTCCTGCCTTCTGACTTTTTTTTTTCCCTTCCAGAGATAAATCAAATTGAACTAAGTGCTAATCTTAATAATGTCTTTAGATACTGTCGCAGAGAAGGTATTGTAAATATATCCTGCCGCAAGGCGGTGAAGCATGTGTGGAAATGTTGTAGATATGGGTCGAAAAAAAAAAAGTCGGGCAAACACCGTCGCCCAGACTTCAGTTGACTAAGCACGACAGTTCCAGGCCTTGATCCGTTTGGTCCCAGCTTGTGATCACCATGATGAGACTGATACCACCTAACTCTGCCCTAAATTGAAGGACAAGAAGAACAAGGACAAGACAAAAATGCGAGTCATGGGTCGGATATTTAGCAAAGAGCTCTATTTTGTTTGCAACGTTTGTCGTCCCAGTTTGCATCTGATAAACGCTATTATACCACGGCTCCGGTCGGCGAGAAGGAGGGCACCGGCTGTTTGCCCGCCAGTCGGTTTTAAGGATGGAAGTTTGTTCACAAGACTGAGCTAATCCTGGAAAAAGGAGGTTCCAACCGGGCCGATGGGATGAGAAGTCTGCTGCAGGCTGATGACAAGGAAATGATCAAGCCGAGTGGCTCCGAGGATAAAAGATTGATTATCTAGATAATCTCTTCACCCTCGCCGCCGCGCTATTGCTGTGAAATAGCGTTCGATTCCCCACGACATTATATCATAGGATCGTGACGTCGCCAGATAACTTTTTCTCCGTCTCTCATCAAAGAACTACAAATAGTATTTGGCTCAGGGATCTTATCGCCACGTGCGGATTTCCCTTATCTCATCCAAAAATAAAATAATAAAATTCCAAAGAAAAATTACGGCCACTGTGAAAACTAGGCAGTAGAGAAGGGTGGCCAGGTTGTATTTTCCGTGGAGATACCCTTAGCATACTCCCATCTACCGGTCTCAGCAAAACAGCTGCATGAAATTGAGCGCTTGGAAAGACACCGTCCTTCTCTTGTGCCTCCCGCGCTATTCCACAGTTAGCTAGAACCCTGGTCTTCAATTAAATTCTTCCTGGTCTGCAATTAATTATTTTTTTGCCATATCCACCTGCTCAACTACTGTCCAGCAGCATCTCTTCATCATCCTCTTCATCGTCATCTCCATCTCCATCTTGGTGCGGTTGACATTTTGTTTGCACACAAACCCGTTCATTATTGCATACTCCAGGTAGTGTAGCTAGTGCGGTGGTAGCCTGGTTCCGTTACCGATCTCGCCTTTCTCTTCTCTTTCATCCTCCCATCCCACAACAACCGCCACCACCCCATCTTTCCCCCTTCAAACCGTCAAACTGGCTGCCTTGGACGCAAAGCTGGATCGGATGGCCAACATTGAGCCTCCGGAGGAGTACGAATATGAGGTATGTTGCCTATCCTTCATTATCACGACTTATACGTCTACACGAGCCGGCATCATATTATAGTGTCTGGAGTGTAGAGCAAATTATAAGCTTCTAAGACAGAAAGCTCCATCGGGCGATGGCGATGATAGAACGTGTTTCGCTAACTGCTATACCAATCTTGTTCTCTCTTTCTCTTCCTCGCCTCGGTCGCCGACGATACCCCATCAATTGGACGTACTCCCGGCTGACGTGAGAGGCTGAGGGCCGGAGAGAGAGAGAAAACATTGGTAAAAATGATATATTACAGGCTCTACCCCCGAACACATCGTTGCTCTCCAACCTCCTGGCCGGCGCTTTCGCCGGTATCATGGAGCATACCGTCATGTACCCGGTAGATGCGATTAAGGTAACTACTCATATACCTTGAATTCCCCTCGATACGTGTCGCAGGAGGATTACTGCGATATCGGAACCCTTATGTGGGGGTGTGTCCCACGAATCGGGTGTAGACACCTCAAACGGCGATAGTGTTCAAACGGAGTGCTGACGATATCTATCACACACAAAATGTAGACAAGAATGCAAATCGTGCATCCGGTTGGGTCAGCTACAGCATACACCGGCATTGCGAATGCTGTATCTCAGATCTCTGCGACAGAAGGCGCGCGGACGCTATGGCGGGGGATTAGTAGTGTGGTTGTCGGGGCTGGTACGTTTCCCCCTCCATATCACTATCTATCACTTCCTGCTTCTACCCCCCAAAATACGCATTTTAAACGATGTTTTTGCGAACATGAGACTAATCGGAATGACGAATAGGCCCCGCGCACGCCGTATATTTTGCCACGTACGAGTTTGTGAAGCACAACCTAGGCGGGAACGTGGGGAACGACCATCATCCAATTGCCGTCGGTACGTTCGTTCCGCGTGGAGGATAAAAACAGGGTGTGCAAGATTTATGAGACCGAAATGCTGACAGAGGATAATTAGCTACTGCCGGTGCATGTGCTACAATCGCCAGTGATGCTCTAATGAACCCCTTCGACGGTAAACATCTCCTTCTCCCGCTCATTGTTCCCCCACGTTTCGCAGAATTTCAAAAAAACAACAGGAGAAAAAAAAAACCGAATGCGCGGCTGATTTTGGATATGACGTTGGATAATAGTGATCAAACAACGCATGCAAATGCACAACTCAACATATGGCTCGGTCTTCGACTGTGCTCGCACAGTTTACCGTCATGAAGGCCTTAGGGCTTTCTACGTCTCATATCCGACAACTCTGGCTATGACTATACCATTTACTGCAATTCAATTTACTGCTTACGAATCCCTTTCCAAAGTCCTCAACCCACAGAAGAAGTACGATCCATTAACACATTGTGTTAGCGGTGGTCTGGCTGGTGCCGTTGCAGCGGGTCTAACGACACCGTTGGATGTTATCAAGACTCTTCTACAAACAAGAGGAAATAGCCAGGACCCGAGAATAAGGACTTGCAGCAGCCTGTTTGATGCCGCAAAGATCATCAATGAAAGGGAGGGCATGCGCGGGTTTATGAGGGGATGGAAACCTAGAATCGTTAACGCGATGCCTAGCACAGCCATCTGCTGGACCAGCTACGAAATGGCGAAGTATGTTCAATTGTTGAATTCGGTTTGAGTTTAATTTGTGCTAACCCTTGATAGATACTACTTCTACACTCGTGAAAAGGAGAGGGCTATCTAAGGTTCCAGGGGCGGAGATAACCAATATCGCATCTTTTAAGATGAAGAATGAAGAAAGGCTCCTTCGTCTCCATATAGAGTCGAAAAGCAAACTGAAGCCAGGGCCCCGTCGATTGTTCTTGAGCCCTATACAACAGCCAAATATGATACTATCTACGTCTACCCCACCCCCGCCGCCACAAGCATGCTACTAGCAGGGATGAAAAGGCGCCGTTAGTTCCCCATACATCGGAAACCGCATTTTCTACCTCTTTTATCATTACCTCCGCATAATACCCCGGAGGGGCGTTCGTCTCTACCTTTTTATCTATTCATCAACATCATCCTTTCCGCAGCATTTGTCCTTTCGTTTTTCTATGTTGTTTTTCTTTCTTCTATGGGCATGATGAAACGAGATGAATTAAATCTGTTTTCTCCCTTTCCTCGGAACAATGGTCTTTCTCCTTCCTCTTTGTTTTTTTCCCCCTTTATTTACGGAGGTACCCTTAATTCTTCCCTTCCTCCCCATCTCGAGTATATACTACTTCTTTTCCCTCTAACTCTTCTTCTTCCTCACTTACTTTTTTGTTTTTTTTATGAGAGTCATATATATAAAAGCTAGCAAGGTTGATACACTAGGGGTAACGGGTTGAATGATACTGCATTAAACTATCACTACTAACCGTCCACCCACCCATTCATCCGTAGCTTCTTTACTTCACTTCATTAAAACCACCCCCCACAAACCGTAACCACCCACCCAACAAAATCCACGACAAATAAAGTAGTAAGCTACATATGTCCACACCTTACTGGCCACCCAAAAATAAGCTTAAATTCCTCCTCCTCCCACACCCCCCAAGTCATTTTTCAGCCGTACGTAACACTTATTGTGTACGTACATACATATGTACATACATATGCCGAACGGGATTAATTTAATTATAAGCTTAAAAACCAAAAAAGTTTAACACGTTACGCATGATGTAAGCTGTACATGTAGGTAGGTAGGGGTGTGTTTAAGCTGTAGTGTGATGAGAAGTAGTGATCGTGCATTACATATACGTACATTACATATGCATCGCATAAGAAAAAAATTAAAAAAATATGAAATCAGATTTAATTAAGACACTACACCCCTTTTTTTTTTTTAAGGGCGACACCATCGCATCGGGTTATCGGCAGGTTGCAGGTGGGACGTGGCTTGCAGATACTTTAGTGTAATATGTACCTATTTATTTATTTCCCCCCGGTGGGTTAGTAAGTTAAGGGTCCGTTTTATGCATACTAAGTAGATATAACTGGACGGAATTGAAGTACTGATAGTGATATTGATATTTAGAGTGAGACATCGGCAGATAAGTAACTATTAGTTAGGTAAAATCCATGATATTAGCTAGATGCATCTACTGCAATGATGCATCGAATGTTTCTGAATTGTACCCGAAAAGGCAGTCTCTGTTTTCTGCACACCAGAAAAAATACCACATAGAGGAACTCTTTTTTTTCTTACGGGTCGTGAGAGAGAAACGTGTTTGGTCGTCAGTCAGTTTTGATATACAAATTTCTATATATACGTAGTCGATTGATGCCGGCCGGCCGGCCGGATGTCTGGTTAGTTTGATATGTATAAGTTTATAAATGGTAATTCAAGGAACTTGCCGGGCTTTTAGGATACAGTGTACTATCAATCTCAAGACTTCGTGGGGGGGGGGGGTTCATGACAAGTGGCTATAACGTTAAAGTTGGGGTTTGAGCCTCGCTATGGGTAGTTATGTTTAACTTAATCTATGTGCAGCCAGCTAGTTGCGTATGAAGGTGGTCTAGAATGGGCCTAAATATGCTAGTTAATTAATTTCCGTAGCCAATGATGGCAATTGAACCTCCATCCTAAATCTTGATAGAATCTTAGAAAGTTGGGAAAACTAAAAATCTTTTTTTTTCCAAACGAAGTATAGTATATACATGTATGCAAAAGGTAAATGAAGTATAAGCGACTAGGTTATATGCAAAATATCGAAGGAATTTTTAAATTGATTACATTCAAAGTTTAAAATATGAAAGAAAAAGAATTAGAAGACTTTGAGATGTATAGCTGGGTTCCGTTTCATATAAAAATTGTATGCCAAGGGACCGATATCGAAGGTGCGAGTGAAATCTGCGGGCAGGAATGCAAAAATTGGTGTTAGAAAGTACCCTTATGTCTGCGGGCCTCAGTCTAACCACCCTTTATGGTGAAATTTCGAAAACTAGAAAACGAATGAAGGGCACCATAATGAATGTTTTTTTTTTTTTGAGAAAAAAAAAAAAAAATGAGGGGAAGATGCCCTAGGTAAACGGATGTAAGAAAAGCCCCTTGAGAACAAATACTACCTATATGGTGAATGATTCTTTCATAAGTCAAATTCTTTCATTTTCTCCTAGAAAAAACGCGGTAACGCCTTAACACTTTGGATGCTGGTTTATGAGACCAGTAACGCCGGTAAAATGTAGTTTTTTTTGGTGAGAGAACTGCGGTGGAAAAGACGAAGGGAGGGTATATGCGACGATGGTGATGATGGCGTAAATTCTGTGATGCTGAGAAATTAGGTATTTTGGGTATCGAATGATATATTCAATCTGCAAAGTTATAAGCGTCTGGGTAGGGCGTTAAGCTGTCGCCTCTGTTCTAGTAAATGGGGCTTTCATGTTGACTAAATCCCACTGCTGTCGTTGACTTTCTTCGGGCTGAAGATTCCACCAAACCACCCTTGAACAACTGCTATAAACCACCCTACCCAGGCCACGATTCAATTCGAATTGCCCACTACACCTGCCCCAGGAGCAGATGTTGGGCCTGATGAGTTCGGAGTTGGTACCCTCCCCGACCTTAAACAGTCTGAGAGTACTTCATATAATTCCTCTTTCTTTGCGGGTTTCGATAAGAAGCGAGACATCCCCACTTTTATACAATGCGCCCTCTCTTCATCAGTAGTGGCAGCGGACATAGCGACCACCGGTAAATTCCGTATATCGGCTGATGGATGAGTTCGCACTTTTGTTGTGAATTTGTAGCCATCCTAACAAAAAGTTAGCATTTCAACGTTGTCCAGTGTCGTATGAACATTGCCTTACCATAACCGGCATTCGGCAATCAGTCAGTACTAAATGGGGGAGACAATCACTCTTCGCCATTTCTTCAAGAACCTCGAGTCCCTTTTGGCCGTTATTTGCTGTCTTAACTTTACACCCGGCTCCTTCTAGGTGCCGTACGAACACTAGGCGAACAACTTCGTCGTCATCGATGACCAGCACTCTAGGAGGATCGCCTCGACGGCCAACTGTGGTCGAGTTCACAGCCCGGGATGTCGAAGCTGGGTGCTCAGGTGGTGGCATTAATGTTGCCGAGACTCGCGGGACACCCGAGTTCGAGGGTATCGCAGGTACGAGGGGGGAGTTATGTAGCTGTGCAGCCCTAGCGCGAGGGGAAGGAGCGGGGCTGATAGATCCTACGGATGAAACCTCTTCATCTCGTTTCATCGCACGCTCCATCTCGAAGCGAAAACGGTTCATTGCACCGTTGCTCTCGCTATCTCGAACCGGGTCGATGGTTTTGCGGCCGTCATACCGTTGAAACGGAATCGTAAACCAGGCTACACAGCCGGGGCTGCCTTTACTTCTCTCCAGGGCGATCTCGCCTTGCATTAGCTCGACTAACTAAATTGTCAGTTAGAATATGATGTTCAATATATTCCCTTTGATGATAAGAGGATCTAACCTCTTTAGATATTGAAAGTCCCAAGCCCGTACCCCCAAATCTCGCGCTTGTAGTATGATCAGCTTGACTGAAGGGTACAAATATCTTCTTCAAAGCTTCATCCGATATTCCCACACCGCTATCTTCGACGGTAAATCGTATTCGTACCCTCTCCGGGTCCGGTTGCTCTCTATCTCTCATTGTGATCATTCGAATGAACCCATCCGATGTGAATTTAAAAGCCTTCAAACATATAATATATCAGTTATGTCGCATTCTGAAATAATTCGCCAGAGATATAACTAACATTCCCCATGAGATTTGTTAAAATCTGTCGGACTCTCCCTTGGTCTCCAACTACCAAGTAGTCTGATTCATCCAGTATACTGATATGGTCGAAAGTAAGCCCCTTTTGACTCGTTGTGACTTTGAACATGTCGATAATCTCGATGAGAAGTAGATTTAAATCAAAGGCGCTATTTGTGATGGTCATCTTCTTGGCTTCGATTTTAGACAAGTCGAGAATATCGGAGATGATCGCTTTCAGAGCATTTGCACTTCGATTGATATTGGTCGTATACTCCCTTTGTTGGTCCTCTACAGATAGTCAGAATTAATCGTCGCCAGGAATAAATAAGCTTCTACGAACCAAGGTGCGTATCCAGTAAAACCTCAGACATTCCAATGATTTGGGATATGGGCCTATATATCACTTGTCAGAACGATACTCCAATTCAGCAAAACCTAGGAAACGTACGTTCGAATCTCATGCGACGCATTTGCTAAGAATGTGCTCTTTAGTTGGGACTCTTTAACAGCTGCTGACTCCCTCTCTTCAAGTTGCATCTTCTCTTTGTCGGCTATATATCTTGCTGTAACGTCCGCTGCAACAAGCGTGACTGCATCAACCGGCCCCCCCTTCGTCGGTGAGGTACTTTCCGGCTTTCCAGCCGCGGGTACACTCCTCGGTCCGGTAGGAGTAAAGCGACACCGAAACCATTTCCCTTTCATTTCGATTTCCGCTGTGATATCAGGCCCGATAAGTTCACCCTGCTTGGTCAAAAGTCGCTCAAGGGGCTCAGTAAAGGCATCGTATCCTTTGAATGCTTCCAGAAAATTAGCGCCGAGAGCAAGTTTGTCGCCTACGGGAAATATCATCCTTCCGTGTAGAGCGGATATTCGTCTATCCGGAGTATTTTCGATTGTCATAACGCATAGCTGGCTGCTATGGATTATCTGAGAAAGTTGATTTTGAAGCCTGCATTGTTCTTCCACGGCTTCTATTTCTATGTTCGGAGGGGGTAAGTATGTCTCCGACACGCCATACTGAGGCTCACAAGCACGGTGCGACTTACGCTCGTTGACGTCTGTTAAGGTTCCGTACCTAGAGTCCGTTAGAGAGCCATTCAGAACCTGGAAGCTTGTAAAACCTACCATTTTGTTACATTCCCCTGTTCATCGGTGTGGCAGTTCGCCTTGTATGCTCGTCCGTCAGACTACTACTCTCTAAGTTCGAGAAGCATATAAACTTACCCGACAAAGCATCCAACGGTAAAGCTGAGCTGAGCTTTTACATCTAAACTGGACCTGAACCGTGCTTCGTGATGTGACGCCATTCTTCCATGCATTTTCCACAGCGAGTTGGTCCTCCTATAATTTATCCCACCACCCAGATGTAAGACAGTTGAAGGTTAAATTAAACGACGAAGGGTAGTCTCACAGGATGGCAAATACTCCAAAAGGGATTATTATATCTACTCCGTATTTCGTCCACGGATTTTAATCCAGTGTATTCGTACCAGCGTTGATTAAAGTATTCGGGTTGAATATCCGGCGTAAGGGCAAACATCTGCAAGAAATTAGCGAAAGGGAAACCAGAGGATGATTCAGATCGCCATACCATTTGTGGAATAGAATTACAAATCCTCCTAAATTCCTCTTCGCCCTTTTTATGCCAGCTAGTTTCATCCTTTAACCAGACAACTATCTCTCTGTTAGCCCCTGTTGGAGACAACGCAAAACGGGGAGACCAAAAATTTCGCAATTTGAAGGAGCCAGAATCTGAAAAGAACGCACTTCCGGCTACTAGATTCCCATCATCATCTTTGATAGGCTCCCCTCCCAGCTCTATGACCTTGCGTGCGCCAGTCGGATCGAAATACCCAATGGTTTGCCTTACAATCCTTCCTTCGGTGAGCAAAGGATAAATACCCCATTTCTCAAACGGAATTTCTGCAGAAAAGTCGGGTTCGTACACCTTCCACCTTTCCTTCAACCAGTCGATACCCTTTCCAACCTCAGGCGTGCTATCACCAAGGAGTGCCTCCGCTGCTTTGTTGGTTACAAGAAGATTTCCGTCGATGGAAAGACAGAATATCACAAGCTCATGCAAATGGTCGAGAATCTTGTCTTTCATATGCATCAGCTTGGGGACCACCGCTGTGGTGGATTTCTCGGCCTCTATGTCTGTTTCCGAAGGTATTAGACATAGACTGCTATAAATTCTCCCCGAAGAAGTCTGTATTAAAGATGACTCTATCCGGACAGGCGTTTTTGGTTTGGCATGGATGCCACTCGTAGCTGCCTCCACACAATTATGGGAGTCATCACCACGCTTGAGTTCCTCTCGAACATTTGCGAGAACTTGGTCTAGTTTGATCCATCTGTTAAGGTTTAAAGGCATTAGAACAAATTGATGGTTGACTCGAGGTGTAAATTTGGAAGGAAGTCTGCGAAAGCTGAAAGGCCATTGTCGTGATACACCGCGCGTTAGGACAGGCAGTGGCTTGATACTTACCTTCGAGCATTTTCGTCCAGAATGACTAATGGTAAATCCTTCAACTTCGAAGGCAACTCATTGATTGTTGCAGGTGTCGATGGCGATGGCGAAGGGAATAGAAACTTTCTGGCAGCGTTGTTAATCCCTAAGATATTGTCGTTGGGGTCTACAATGAGTAACCGTGCAGGACTTTGTGTGAAAGATAATGATTGAAGTCCTAGTTCCAAAAGGTCGTTCATATATTCCCCTGATGTAGCCATGGCGGTTGAATTCCCCTGTAGGTGGGCAGAGAATTTGCCACCGGACGAAAGAGAGGCCGTAATGGAAGCTTTATTCAAGATGGGTGCTCAAATTCAGGGTCGCGATCCGAAAAGTCAAACGGACATGACCGCTACTGTATTGTGGGGAACGACGTGGAAAGGGGAGTACACTTGCGAGCGGATCGAAATCGGGCAATCGAATGAACTGGCGACAAGTCAACTGCTTTCGTATCTTTCTGCATGTAAGCAGAGTAGTCTGCAGTAGTTTGACAGGCTGTTCTGCTTCGTCGTCGTCAGAGGGCCGTTTCGAAAATGTGATATAACTAACAAGAAGGTCGAGTATGTTGTCTTTTCAGGTGTCCGTGTTCGTCTCTTGTCGGTCTACGACGATGGATCAAAAAGAAAGAAAGTTCCTATGAGGGGTAGTTCGACGCAATTAACGAGAGAACGGAGGACCAGAACGAAAACGAGTGTCAACTGATATCGCCACCGACAAGCTCAGCTCGCGGAGGACAAAAATGGATATATAGTGATAGACGGAGAAATTTGCGGAAGTGCCAAGTTGGAAGGTAAAAACAGCAGAGCCAAAGAGTGCCTTTGTCCAGCACAGAGGTCGAGAGTGAAGGTATGGAAAAGCGAGGCTCGCCACAGCCCTATCAGAATAAACCTAGACCAAAGGGAATACCGCAAATGACGACTTCCAGAAAGACGGTATTTCGTTCTTTGTTGGTTAGAAGTTGTTAGGTACCTCGACTAAGCTTAGTTATAAACTTTTACTATAATTTTTTCCCTTGCACACGGAATACTCGGGATGAGCCTGGCGGGTTGGTTAACTGGATGAATCTTGGTCCTCAGTCTTAGCTTTTTTGGCAGCCAGGACAATTATGGACCTCCAAGTAACCGAGCAGCATACCCCAGTAATGGGTACAGACTAGGGTCGAGGGAGCAGGCAGTGGGCTTGAGCAAGTAGGTAAGTAGTTGCTCTTATCTAACGACTTGTACAACGACCGCCCTGAATTGTAAAACTTCTCTTACAAAGTTCTAAAATAGATATTGGGATGAAGTAGACCGAAAAACCTTCCCCCCAATTGACACAAATGAAGATGGTCAAGACAGGAAACGATCTTCCTCGCCGAAAGATTCCAAGGGGCGTGGGCAGAGGGGAGAGGGGTGCAGGGTTGCCTTCGGCTTCGTTGGTTTTTCCTCTCTCTTTTCCTCTCACTCTCTCTTTTTTTTTTTTTTTTTTTTGCCTTGTTGGCGTGGTGCCCGCTATAGCCACGAGAAAGGGCGGGTTAGAACCTACAGGAAGATGTATATATATGCAGACCCCCTAGCTGGGAAGAACAATGTATGATGATGATGCAAAACAGCCGTCTTGCGTCAACGGCGTCCAACAGCTGAGGTTAGGTGGTGTGTGACAGTCGACAGTGGTTTTGTGGCTTTCGGATACTATTATCAAAAGCCTATTAGACGAGAGGGGTTGGGGACGAAGAACGACAACAGAAAAGAATCGAGGGTATATTGAACAGTAGCTAAGCTAAGCTTAACCAGGCCCAGGAGGACACTATACCATGTAGGTAAAATCTCTGCTCGGAGTGGAGAACCTCTGGTCAGGTCTTTCCGGGGAGCGGCCTGTCCTGGCCTGTCCTGACGTTGTCGGTCAGAACTTGTGCTTGGGGAGCGTCACCGAGGGTTCTGGACAGCTCAATGGAAAGCGTCGGTTGATAGTTCCTGTCAAAGAATCCGCACGTAGGCACTTATGTATATATGTATGTGAATTATAACAGAGAACAGGGGGGCTATCGAGCAGAAGTGAAAAGGTTAGTGCATGGAGCGCTTGTCTGGGACCAGGAATGCATCTTGCAGCAAGCAGGCGGGCGTATCAAACCTGTTATCAAGGGTTAATGAGAGCTACCAACAGACGGTGAAGTGTCTTCTTTTTTTCTTTGCTTTTTGAAGGTAATATCGACTGACAAGTCACTGCAGCCAGAGCCACTAAAGCTTAGAGTTCCTTTGCTGGACTCCGATGAGGGTATTTCGATGGGGGGGAGGAATTCGAAGGGCGGATATGCCCTTGTGCACAATGTCCACCAGACCAGAACTGTGGGATCTCGTTAGTGGGGAAAAAACGTGGAGAAATCGGGTGAAGCGAGTCAAATTGAATTTGACCACAGCCAAGTCTGCTAGCAGGCATGCACATGTATGTATCAACCAACTTCCGCTTACCTACCTACTAGTAAGTACCTCACCGACGCTGCACCGCATTACACTAATTAATATAAATTAAACAGCTAACACTGACGGAGGATATGTAGGTATGGATGTATAAGATGCGCTGCTGCACAGACAATCAGGTTGGAGGTAGATTCATGGATTTAAAAGCAGGCTATATTTCCCCGAACCGGGTAATCCGTTTTCTACGTAACCTGAATCTGTTCACCCACCCACCTTTAGGCCGGCTCCTGTGATGACAAGGAACACCAAGACCTCCGTTTGGATCGAGAAAGTGAAAAAAAAAGATCTGGTAGGATTGGATGATAAGTGGGGAGCTAACAAATAGGTTCTCAAATCATCGAACAAAAAAAAAAAAAAGTTACAACAGCCCATACCAGGTTAAGTCGCATGCAGTTACTGGGACCTCACAAACAATTTACAATTTAAAATTGTGAACAAGACCATTCATTATCCCAGATGCGATATACTCGACTAACAATAGGACGGGTTGATCGAAAGCTAAGAATATCCAACCTCGAAAATAAGATTACTTCGAGAGATGTTCTGCTGATGATGTCGTTGGCGACTCAAACATCGGCAGCTCAGGGTCCGCACATCATGCTGCTGCCCAGGGGGCGGAAATCATTTTAATTTCGGGGACAGTCAAGACATTTAACGTCAACGGGAAGCTCTCCAAAGAATGACAACCCTGCAATGCAAGGCCCCGACGGGGACCACGGCACAAAAATACGGCTTCCACTCTGGTCATCACACCAGAGAATCTTTTGGCTATTTTTATTTTATTTTTTTGAGGGTAATCTTCTTCTTGGAATTACGAAATTTCGGCATCGACATTGACAATGCGTGGCGGGTGGATCACGAATATCTTTCCCGGAAATTATGGAATGCCCTGCGCCTAAGAGTAGAGTCCTCTCCGGCCGCGGTTCCACAGAATTGGAAATGAACATTCAAATCTCCGGGGCTGCAAGACCTGCGGTTAACTGCACATTCCACCAAGGTATATATGTAAGCATGTCTACCCCCAAAAAAACGTTTTTACTGACCTCAGTTCCAGGGTTTGCGCGGACACCCAGTGACCAAATTTAAAATTGCAAAGCTCTTGCCCCAGTTATGGGCTATGGTGGTGGGGATTGCCAACTAACCGGCCGTGCTCTCTCGAGAGTTAACTCGCCGGGCCTTCTGCTCCGCACGTGTGCATGTTTAACCTCACGGAAGAACAAGAACACGAAGAAGGAGCTGCACCTTAAGATTTGGATGCGTCTAATTGCCCGCAATTAGGTTTTCAGCCAGCCACCAGCGTAACCGGACAGCACATGTCTTCCCCACCCCGTCTCTCTGATAGGTATCGATTAAGTTGACCCCTGCACGCCCATGACGTCCAGGTCCACTTTCGGGCGGCAGCGTTGCTTGGATGAAAAAAAAGCAACCGGCACAATACCTGTCATTTTGGTGGAATCGAGATTCCTAATAAAACCCCAATTTAAGAGCGGCATTCAGACCTGTGAAGACAACATGTTCTTCCTCGTGTGCTCGTACCAAACGGGCAAGTTCATCAACTTTAATTGATGCGATATGGAGTCGATGGATCCAAGCCATGGAGCTAATCGCACTGGCATCAGCGAACCAGAAACCGCCGGATGTTGACAATTTTCGAGGCTTGCATTGGAGGATATCAAAAAAGAAACCGGCTTTGGTTACCGGGTCCACCGTGCCGGGAGGAATAAGACTTGGAATAAGATGTCTATTATCAGGCAATCTGAGCCTGCTACTATGTCTCTTTTTTCGCGAGCTCCACCACAACCACCCTCATCTATGAGCTGTTCAGAGACACCCATATATTAACCATGATGAAGAATTAATTCTCTCTCGTCTTTGCCTTCCTAACTAATGCTGAGATCCCGCAAAAGCGACCAGATCGAGAGACCAGATTTTAATTCAAATAACGATCTCAGTGGCGCTCGGAACTAGCCTCTATTCAGCTAAACAGTGCAAGAAACTCCAATGAGAAATTCTCCTCGCTTTGACCCTTCCCTACAGCGACAACGAAAGCGCCACATATATCATCGTGTTGACCTCCACGCAACACAAACCTAATCTCCACCTCGCTTTGGTCGCCTCTACGATACGATACGATAACCGGAGCTGCCAATTTGCTTCTAGAATGGAGATTCAGTGCTATAAGATCGCTATTAATCCTACCCGATGGATCCATATTCGCCTTCCCTTATTTTTTGCTTCTGCTCTACATCGTTATTGTAAATGCCAAAATTGGTTCTACCTCCTGACGCCGAATAAACATATATTTGACATGCAGAACGGCCTTAACTATGGGCCTTTCACGAAAGAGCCTCTTCCACGGTTCGAAGTCCAGCGGCCCCGCTGATAGCGCTGACGATCGATATAGCCAAGCTGAAAAGCAACGAACGGTTTGCTAATCTAATTTAGCACCCTTGCACAGAAGTCGATGGAAGAATTTTGAGGACGTTGGATGGAAGAGTTTCCATCCATGACGCAGGGACCTAATAACCTGCTAGTCACACAAACCACCAGGACCTAGGAATTAATACATCAAAGAGCGTCCCCCAGACTATTTTACAGCATCGTTTGCACTTGTCCTTTGCAGAAAGGTAAGTTAGGCAAGGCTGATTGATCAACGGAAGCTACATTTTGCGACCAACCCCATCTCCCCTTCTTTCCACACTGACTCCTTATTATGATTCGCCAGCATACTACGTAGAATTTCATTTTCCCGTCCCCGGCGCAGAAGTATTCCAACTGCCCCCGTTACTGTCACCGGGAAGCTAGTCCAAGGCTGTTGCATTCTCGCTAACCACTTTAAGCAATAGATCCTGTCGATCACCGCTTGAATCTTGATATTGGACAAGCTGTTTATAATGATTAATAGTTGGCCATGTACCGGCGCTCACCTGGCCCTGTGCAAAGCTCGAGCCGCCTCCAATGCGCTCATTAATCTACTATTCCTGTGTGCGCAACAATGGGAAAATTTCTTGATATTTCATCAAGCCACCCCGTCCATATCGGTGTCTTATGGCGAGAAAGTTAACAAACGGCGTCTGCAAGGCCCTACATTACATATATTTCGTTTGCGCCTTTTCAGCTATCTGTCTTAGATTATTCTCAGACTTTCGAATTCACCTTTTGTCGTTTGTCTCACCTTTCTATAATTCTGAAAGAGGTCAGGAGGGCAGGTTTACTCCCGAGTCCCTCGCACCGCAATATCCCCGAATCAACGTAGCCGCCAACTTTCCAGTTTTCCAGCTTTTCAGCTTTTGGGTACAAAATCGCAGATCGCTCCTGTGAATCTTGGAACGTTCGGAGGAACCCACTTCTGTAAAAAGGAGGCCATTGTTTAAATTTTGAAATGTCCATTCGGCTGTCAATCCCCGGCGAAAATCCCGTTCCTTTCCCGCCTGCCATATTTTATAAGTTATGGATGTCAATAGCATCTAATATGTGAAAACTGATTCTGTAATGATCAATGCTACATGAAATTCGGATAAGGGAATGACCATGTTCATAAACTGCTGCCGCAGACTATCAATTATGCACTTCTACACCAGATATCTAAATTAGGCAAATCCGAAATTCTATTCCAGAAGCTCTGCAGATCGTGGAGTTCTGGATTCGACTGTGGCCCCCATACTCGCAATCATTGTTCCTGACCTGCAGCAGATTGTTACGTTTTACATATGCACGCCTTGTATTCCAAGTGCTGATAGAAACAAAGAGAGAGTGTGAGGAAGACAGACATGATTTTTTACGTCCAAGGGGATTTCCCTCGCCTCGACTTCAATACTAGGCTCACTTATAGTTCCCCTGACGAGGCGAGCGAACGCCTTCTTAATATTTCCAAGACATATCATATAACGAACGGCGCAAATCCGACAACCCGAGCCCCCCCGGTCGATGACGTCGTAAGTCAATTCCAATGACACAAAGAGCTAGCCATGGGATCCCTTTTATTGTCTTATCTCGTCCTTCTCATGCTACCTCCTGACATCGAGAAAGGGTTGCCCCCAGATATCTGGACTATCTAAGTAATCTTGTGTAGCATCGTGTACGTACGACTGTCTTACCATCCTTTTTTCCACTCCCCGGGCCAAAAAGATTTGGTAGCTGCAGTGAGACCAGGAGTTCAAATTGGACTATTCTCCCCCCGTGGAGTCCTATTTGTCCGATAAAGTCCGGAGTCCTTTCTTTTAAGTTTTTCTGGCGCTTACTGAACAGGGCAAAGATGTGCTCCGTCAAGATCTTTTATGTTTCCACGGCCCACGTGATATCCCGCGATTCCCAGCCAATCGTTCGGAGTTCGGACATTCTCTTAAACTTCCTGATTCGGAAGCCTAATTAGACGTGTCCTTGTGTTTCCGTGGACAACGCGTTTTCTAATCACAACGCGTTTGTTTGGACGGGAAGTTGTAGAGCCTCAGCTATCTGCAGTCCAACCTCGAGCTTGAACTCTATCATTTATCACCTTATCAACGGATAGCCGGCGAGACACCCCCTCTGTTACTTGAAGATACAGATGTCCTCCTCTATATCTCGGATACGGAAACGACCGGTTGTCACTTATTCTAAGAAATCACGAACGTACCTCGGTTCTAGCAACTCTATAGACGATATAAACGACTATCCCGAGCACGACTTTAAACGAGTGCGAATATCTGAACCCGAATATGAAGATGAGGATACAACTTCTATCAAAAGTGATAACAGCGGATCATTAGAGATTACAGAACCTGGATCAGGAGCAGAAGCTACAGAGGACGAGCAGGGAGACAGTGACCTAGACGTTGACAAGAAGTCAATGCCTTCGGTATCTTCGTCGCAGGCGGACTCTGAAGCTCAGGTATCGAAAGGGGATACTACATCTTCCTCGACTACGAGAATAACAGGCTTCACTATATCTACCCGTCGAAAACCCCTTTTTAAACGACACATTACAAAGAAGACGTCGGATACACAATCGTCTTGTTCATCGCTCTCATCGACACCGTCTTCCACGCAATCATCTATTTCTATAATATCATCAACAACAGCCAAACCTCAAAAGCAAAAGCTAGTACAGATGCAAATCGACTTGGATGGTATAGGAGCCCCGAAGATATCATGCAAGGAGTGTGGAATGCAGTACGTACCATCTGCGGATGAAGATGCGAAGCTGCATAAGCGGTATCATGCACAAGTTGTCGAAGGGTTAGAATTTGGAAACACCAGGGGCAAAGTCGTTTGGGAGGGTAAAATGGAGAATAGGGGCACCAAGAAGAGACGTGATTCTTCTAGCGGAAAGAAGGACGCAGGAAAGGTCGGATCAACTACCACTGGAACCACAACAGGGGAGAAGGAGAATCTGATACCGATCACACGGTTCTTCGCTTCGGGGAGAGGGGATAAAACGGCTACTGGGAAGAAGGTGGTACCGTTGGTGGAAAGAGGACCTGTACCTTCAACCACTTCAGCTACTTGTCATGTAGTCGAAATTTCACGGCGGAGTACACCGACCGAAAAGAAGAAGGCCATGGAATTCCTTCGATTCGCAAATAGGGAGCTATCCGCGCAAGAGGTGGCGGACAGTGTACTGTGGGGTTCTTCGGCTCCCGGAGATGGGGAAATAGAAAAGGGAGAACAATATAAGATATATTTGTATCTGGAAGGTACAAAGTGTGTGGGGTTATGTCTTGCAGAGAAGATTAAAGAGGCACAGTGGGCTACGACTAAGGAGGGAGGTGCGTCGATAAGCTGTTCGCTAGATATCAGGTGTGTATACCGGTTCTTTGACCCCCAATGAAGGTATTACTAATAGCGTCAATAATTAGTGAGACAAAACGCCCAGCACTACTAGGTATCTCCCGGATATGGACTTGCCCAAAGCATAGAAGGAATGGGGTTGCTTCCAGGCTTGTTAGCTCTGCAGTTGAGAGCTTTGTGTACGGAATGAAGGTCGAAGCTGGAATGGTTGCGTTTAGCCAGCCGACGGATTCCGGGGCATGGTTTGCGCTCGGGTGGGTAGCCGGACAGATGCCTGTGGAAAATGCTTCCGGGGAAGATGCTACAGAAAAGGGTTTTCTGGTTTACTTGGACGGTGTTTGAGGATCAAGATGATTATAACGGTAACGGTTTGGCCTTGAGATACCCCTAGATTTCAAATTATATACCAGCTGGTGTAGCGATAACACCAAAGAATTTCATATAGCATAGCCTTGAACTAAAGGCCACTGATTTATATAGACCTATTTTCTTATATAGACGATTAATTAGACATAATATACCGCTGGTCTCGTATTGCAGACGCGGTCCACACTTTACTATACCACTTTACCTAAAAACATGTGTTCAAAATACAGTATAAGGTCCAGAAACCTATATCGCCACATCTGCAAGGAATACCCGCGTTCGGCACCCCGACATGTCTACTAACCCTAGCTACTAGCCATAGCTAGAACACCTATATTCTACAAAAAAACAGAAGGAGTGTCCGAACTTAAGACCCATCTGTAATTGATACTAGTTGTTGCACTTTATATCGAGGACAAGCGCCTCGAAGCTAGCTAACAGGGCTAAGTATCTGCTTCATGCATGCATAATCAATAAGATTTAAATTCGCCACTCTGATTTAGTTTAGGGTCACGTCACTTAAGCTGGTTTAAACTTTTGATACCACCCGAGAAGTTGACCAATTATGAAAACCTGTCTGATCGTAAGAATATTCAATGCTCTTTTACAATAGTCATGTTCGGTGAACCCCATGCTTAAGTTTTGAGTATATATATACAATCGGTCGTATGCATTGGGGTATTTATATTTAACATTCAAGTAGTGAATTAGCCTATATAAGTACCTAGTATTTTCTAAATCCATCGTCTATGGCTAGTCTAGTTGTTAGGTCTATAGCTATCTTTACAGATTGATCTAAACATATATCTATACCAGCAAGTTCGATATGAGGCCCTTAAGTTATGGGGAGGACATTAAGTCCAGATCTCGTACCCATCGCCACCTAGAGCCCTTAGATATATATCCGGCGAATTATCGATCGTCTTAGATTCAAACGTTAAACCAGCCCAAAAGTAAGAGTTCAGTTTGATATTGATAGTTGATTATAGACCGCGCTATGTAGCTAGCTACGCATGTTCTTGCCGAGTCGATGGTGTCAGCCCTTTATCAGTTAGCCAATTCTAGTTAACTAATATATATATTCTATAGGCCAGATTATCAAAAAAAATGAGGCCACGGAAGAGAGGTGATTATCAACCGAATATCAAGAAGCGCTAGATCGAGGTTTCACTCAGTCAATTTATGAAAAATATATATATTGAAATGTCGAGCTAAACAGGAATTCGAAATGCGATAGTGGTGACAATTAACCAATCCTATAACGACTACAACCTTTTAGTCGAGTACTCAAGTCTCGAGTCTTTTAGCTTTGAATACTGACGAGTTACCTTGCTGCTATATAATATATATGAAGCTATAATTCTGTCCAGATCCCCGAAGCCACCTCCGTCCTGTACCGTACGAGGGTTTTCCAGATCGGAACTGAAGCGTATAAGTTTGTTGGATTTTATTAGCCTTGGCAGCTAGCTCTCGCACATATGCGTCGGAATAGCTGAAGTTACGTTGCATCGTAACCCTACAGTCAATCCATAGTAAATGTTATACTAAATTAGCTGCGTGTTATCTGCTCGAAATAGGTATTAAATATTGTAGCTATCCCATATATACCGGGGTTGATTTTCTTAGCCAAAGGCGTCTTGCTGAGATATCTATACTAGGTACCCGAATTCGAAGGCTGGTCCTATAGCTAGATAATATAAGCATTCCAATAACTACAAAATCTACCCAATCACTTGATACTACACGGTAATACTAGACTGGTATATTAACGACTTAAGTAGCTTTTCTATTTGTATATATACACATAGGGTTATTAGAGTGAATAGCGCAAGTGACAGTGACTAATAATCAAGTGCTTGTGATATTACGCTCTGAACTGATATTTCCTGCGTCTATATAGTTGTTTCGCAGGCTTTGCAGTCATATATTTATGTTCTCGACGATATGTATACATTGGCGCGGGCATATCATCGAACCTCGAGATTAAAAAGAATAAAGAACAAAATAAAGACTAGCAGCGCTACTTCCAAAAACTCTTGATAGCCCCATTTCGATCGTTATTCACTAAAGTAAGAGGGTTAGTTCTATTCCATAGTATATATATACCCCAAGAAGCATAGAAATTTCACCCCATACTAAACACAGAAATTGTGCCGTTGAGATATTGGTAAATATATTAGTGATCGTGAGGAAATGAAAGTTTCTCTTGACTTGATGGAAGGAAATAATGCATCATTATGTGGATTCGGAGAAGATTGCATGAGGAGTCAGATTTTGTGTAGGCACCGTTGGGTTTATATAAAACCGTTAACGCATGGAGAGTTAGCTGGTAGAAAAGTTGGTTTCGTATTGCGGATGGTGTCCACACCGGTTAGCGGAACAGTAGACAATGGAAACTTGGTAGGTATGTACTCTAGAAGCTGGGATTTAAGACTACGGCTTAACTCAGCCACATGGCTTTGTCGGTATCAAACACCTGCTATGTAAGTACCTATTTGCTTAGGTGCATGATGTAGTACGGACCCACGAGCTATTTCAGAAGGTGGGCCACGTGCACCACGGGTTCTAGTGCACCCGCCGTACATACGAACGTGAATCTATCCCTAAAAACTACTCCACAAGGCGATAGATGTCTATACTTCTTTGGGCTACTACGTTTAAACTCGTTCTAGCTCGTGGATTTTGGGATTCTCAAGTTTAAGTATAATTTTTGGGTGAGTGTGTTTTTGTATATGTATAAATATTATTATTCGTATCATTAAAATACACCAGAATATAGAAAATAGCAATAGCATCCAGGACGCCAGTATGAACCCCTAGAACGTAACTTCATAAATACAAAAAGGATTGTCTTATTACATGATATCTTATACCGGTACTATATCAAACGTAAGTGGTCCAACCTCATCGGAAAGCATAGTTGAGTCAAGATGCATCCTAAAGAAGGGTGTACCAGTAGGATTCGAACCATCCACACGGACAGCACCCAGCCACATATAAGTGGGAGGGAACCACAAAAGGATATTCGTTGAAGGTAAATCGGCCCTGAGATGATGAATCCGACGTGTCGAATCATACCCCCCTATTAAAAATGGTGTTGGATTGCCCGAGTTCGGGGGAGTTGCTGCGGAGAAAGGAGCATTGTTCGGTCCGAATATATTGCCGTTTACCGGATCGACTGTGAAGATGGTAGCATCACCGATTGATTGGAAGAAACGGATACGCGGGAAAGGTTGACTTTGTTGGTCTTCCTGTCCCATGTACCAGCCTGAATATATACCGTTGTTTCCATTACGAGACCGGATAACAGCGCTTATGGCGGCTGGCGGCGCAAGGCCTTGGAAGTGGGGAGGTACAGCTGCAAGAATTAGAGGCCCGACGCAACCCTGTGGGATGAGGTTGTTAAGATATGAATAGGCGCGGAGTTTGTGACCGTCGTTAGGGTCTGATGCCAGGAAGGTGGGTGGGCTGTTGCACGAAACCAGCCTATTCTCGTCGATTTTGCAGGTATAGTCTATCCAGCCCGCTAAAGAGGCGGATTCTTGCCAAATGCCAGGCCCGGTCGCGGTGTCGTCGCGGGCAAAACCAAAATTGCCCGTTTCTGTAGATATAACGCCAGAGCCGTCAGTTTTATATAGTGTGGCTTCTTCGACGTTCTGAGTAAACATTAAGCGTTTTCGGTTGCCCTTAGTTGGGTCAGCTTCTGATTTTAGGAAATATCCTTTAGAGCCACCGTTGACAGTGTCTTGTGTAAGTTGAATGACGAATGATGTGTAAAGCGGCTGGATAACTTCTTCAGTCGCTGTTTTCTCGAGAGTTGAAGTTTCCGTCGCGTCGGCAAAGTCTCCGACTTCGGTGGTAACGATGGTTTCAGTTACAGCGGCGGTTTCAGTAGAAGCAATGGTCTCTGTGATCGTAGTCGTGACTGTAGGGACCTGCGTCCATCGTGTCCCCTCGGCTGAGACACCGATGCATGTGCAGGCCGAAGAGTAGCCAGCGGAGCCTCCGCAGAGAGCAGCAGAGGCAGGAATAGATTTTGCCTGACGCTTCCTTCGACGGCGGCGGAGAGGAGCCTTTACGGTTGTAGTGAGATCTCCAGTGAAAGATCCAGCTCCAGTTGTAGTAGTTAGGGTCTCCGTGACTGTGGCTGTGATTACTTCTAGGGTTGTCGTTCCTTCCGTAACGGTATTGATTTCAGTCTCAGATACGGTCTCTGTAACGACACCATTCGTAACAATATTTGTGACGGTTAATGTTCTACGCAGAATGGTCAGTTCATGGTTTTCGTATACTGGTATGTTGCTGGTGTAGAACATACGATGAGCCCCAGGTACTATGTTCCCAAAGGAAATCTCTGCAGTCTTCGATACTAGGCTGCTTCATAAATGGAAGGTTGCCAGCCAAAACTATTACAATTAAACCGCATAAGCTACTTTTTTTTCTTTATTTCGTGATATCACACTTAAAGACTTGATTCAACCTTACCTTCAAAGCAAGAGTCAATTTCACATTGACATGTGCCATCGCATTGTGCCAATACGCCGCCAGATAGCGCCAAAAGCGCGAAGACTCCAATCGCAAAACGCATAATTGATGAGCTTGTGAAAGGTGGGAACGTAAGACTTTTGGTCGGAATTCCCGTGATGTTGAAAAGGAACGTTGAAATCCACGTTGACGTTCAAAGGGTCCGACTGAAAGCGACATCTTCGGGGCCCGGCTGGCTTTATAATGGGCCGTCCGATTTCCTTCTTCTTACCAGCCATTTACAGAAATTATTACGGGAATCCGCGCTTTGTGCGAGCCTGCGCTATCAATGCGGGCACCCACATCGTGTACGGTGGGTCGTCGTGGGTTCTGGCATGCATAGCTGTTGGAATTTTTGGACGCCTGCGTGTTGACATCTCCACATCTGTGAAACTCTAATACAGTCGCTTTTTATATACCAAATACGGCATAGTGTTAAGCTATTGCTCCGTGTAATGGAGGAGAGTTTAAAGGCTGAGATGCATGGCATGGTCGGTAAACAGGCTAGATGTTCACTAGACCGGGTTTGTCAATGCTGTCCAGCCCTGGTTCTCTCCGTCTTGGCAAGGAAGTCAGGTACGAAATCATCGGTCGACATGGTCTGTTGACATTGAGGGAAGGCTGATAGTTAGGCTATAGAACGAGAAGTATAGAAAACGTGTGAGTATCACAAATTTTGACTTATCATATCGTGATATCATAGAATTGTACCCCCGCCCTCGTGTATCAGCTCACATGGCGATCCCAATCTGGTGGGCTGGAGGGTGGTACTGATGCACAGACTTTTGGGATGTGGCTTGATGCCATGTCCAATGAACATCGGTGAAGGCTGGTTAGCGTGAACAGGGAAGGGTAAAAGGAAGTAAAAGATTGACATTTGAAAACTTGAAGCTCGATCGTGAACGAAGCTGCCTGGCCTGAAATCTAAATCAGGAACATCTTGCTCGAAGCTACATGTATGAAAGTACTGGCTTACAGATGTAGCCGTATGCATGTACCAAGTCGGTAAAACCGGAAGATGAAACATTCGCCTTCGTTTAGAAAGAAACCCTCGACTTGATTCGCTAAATCGGATGACTTTTTCCCTTACCGGGGATGTCTGATGTTGTGACTTGACTTAAAAATATCAAAAACTCGGAGGGGATCGATGCCTAGCAGATTAACGAAGGTGGGCGCACATCATGTTAGGTAATATAATACTCCGTACATGATCACCGAAGCTAGGGCCTCAAACTTAAACAAGAAGGGAACGTTCGAACCAGTTCACGCGTGCACACCGAAGAACGCAGTTAGGTACATGTACGTACTTCTCGGAGAAATTCTTGAAAATGCGGCGGGAGATGTGTCGATTCGGGCCAGAACAGCAATCTGCCTGCATAGATATGCATATAAATATAAATATATCCGATGGGTTAAGAGGTCGTGGTCATAAAGTGATCCTAGAATTCGGAATCCAAGGCTCTGGTTTAGAGGAGTTCTTCGACAAGCCCAAGCCACCCGTGCGGTCCCTGTTTTTTGGGCAAATGCAGGCGATGCAGCACACAGTATATTGCAACATTCATGCTTTAGTTTGAAGATCGAGAGGGCCAGAAGGGAGATTGTGGCTTCAAGGAGGGGGGCTTGCATAAGATCCCAAACAGAAGCGGTCGCCCAGATCCGACTATTAATAATATAAGTACGATAGACACCAAAATGATCAATTTACCCAGGATTGCAACTAGCTTGAGATTACTTAGTAGTTATAGTGTGCGGGATAGAATCCTAACTACCATGCACTTATCCTGTCAAGCTAGATTCTGTTCTAGACTCAAATTTGTCCACCGTAATTACTAAGTACTTACTTACCTGCCTGCTCTGGCGGGACTATGTAAATTGCTACCCGAAAATGAAGGTGAATTCAAAGTGAAAATGTGTTGATTGTGTTGAGGTTGTGGTTTCAAACCGATGATGCTCAACACATTGCTCAACACATTTCTTTCTGAGGCTCAACAGCTGCAGCTTCTTTTCTCTTGAACCAGGTCCATTCATTCCAATTCCAATCCATCTCAACTACCACCGCCTCTTTTTATCAACGACTTCAAGTCCTAGATACCAGAGACTAGCTTGAAAACTAGAACCCAAAGTACCTATCGGTTTTCCCTACCTATACCCAAGTACTTATATCGTAGCGATATCGATAAGGTCCGATACTGGCCCTGTGGCGATTTTGAGGCTCTTTGGCGACTCTGGATCCGGTTAGCCGGCCCTCTGCGTGACAGCGCATCGATGCCCTCTGCTGAATTCCGCCCAACCAAATTTTCAGACGAAAGCTCGCGTTCAACATCATTGACATAAACCCTTCTGACATACATATCAGGTTTTACCCAGCTTCATCCGGCTCCACCTTGTCGTCAAATATCGAATTCGAATGGCTGTTGTAATCTAGGCCTTGTTTGGTTTTCGTCATTCGCAACGGCTTCCTCCCGCACTGCGCTGCAATTTCTTGTGCTGTGCGAAAGAATCCTTCGAGTTCCCACACGGCAACCTGCAGCAGCATTCGCTCTTCCTGCCAGATCCTTCCCATCCCGAAATCTTGGTTCGTTTAGCTGGCCCGGCCAGTATAGTTCCGACCGACTCAGAGGGAGCCTTAGTTTCATCTCGGTTTGTCGGTCCTAATCCTTTCCGCTTGGTCTATGTAGTCATTCTGCCTGGTCTCGTTGATTCTGCCTATGTCTTGTGATTATTTCCATCCGCTCATGTTTTGTGATATCAATCTCAGTGTCAGAACTCAATCTTATTCCGTGCCCCTCCTTTTTAGTTCTGCTTTTGAAGAGTGGGACACCAGACCATTCCTTCTATTCCTTCGCTGTTAATTCATGCTGTGTGCTGACTCACAAGGCTCAGTGTTCTTGAAACGCCCAGTCACGTTAGAACGCTTAACGCCAAACCACGCCTTCAACTGATCCACCTTCACGTAACTCTCCCATCCCACCCAACAACGAACGTAGACGCTATTTATATCCTAGAAAACAACATAAAGCGTTAATTCATCCCGGTTGCCACTTACCCTCCTTCGAACTTCGTCAACTTACGTGATAACCCCCCTCGATACACGCTATCTACGAGAATGGACGGCACCGGTGGCACCGGCCCTCACGGTCTTTCCAATGGAGCCGGGACCAACGGTGACACGCCCCACCAATCTACTCCATCCGTTCAACAGATCATTGCAGCTCTTGAGGTCATCCATTCACCCCAATCCTCCAATGCCCATCGAAAATCTGCCGGCGAGTTCCTCGAAACCGCGAAGGCCGATTCAAAGGCGCCGCTACACGGTTATACCCTTGCTAGCGATGCGTCGCAGGTCCCTGCGGTCCGACATTTTGGGCTAGGTTTGCTGGGACACGGCATTCGATACAATTGGTTGGATTATGGTAGTGAGGAAAGCGTAGCTATTCGCGAATGGGTCGTGCTGCTTGCCAAGCATGTTGCACCGACAGACCCGAGCTACCTACGTAACAAAGTTGCCCAGTTATGGGTCGAAGTTGCGAAGAAGAGCTGGCCTGGCGACTGGAGGAACATGGACTATAATCTTGTTGAGTTATGGAATATGGACCTCCTAAGACGGGAGCTCGCTATGTATATTCTGGAGTCCTTGATAGATGAGATTTTCAACAGGGAGGAGTATACAACGGCGGCTGTAGGTGGCATAGCCGGAGAGCCAAAGACTTCAAACTTACATAAAGCCTGCGTGGATGTGGTTACACCTTACCGAGTTCTAGCTGAGAGCTACCCACAAAGGGAGAATAAAGTAGAAATACGCTGCGGGGAAGAGGGTTGGTTGGGAAGGCTGGTTGGACAGTTAGTAGAATGCTTAAACGGAGGAATAGTAGACGCCAAAGTCGAAGGATTTGCAGTGCAAGTTCTCTCGACTTTGAGAAGTTGCATGGCATGGGCAATTCCAAAGTGGGTGGACATCAAGTCGGATCTGTGGATTGGGGACTGACATGGGAATTAGGGCTATTATACAAGCCGGAGTTGTGGATTCTCTTGGAAGAGCTATGATGTGTGGGAATGCACAATTGCGAGTTGTGAGTACATCCGCGAAAGCTATGGGGGAGGGTACTGAGTGTTTAGATTGCGATAGAAGCTCTGAATATGTTGTTCCAAAGAGAGTTCCTGGATGACGACGACTTTAGAGCAATCGTCGGGCCTCTCTACCGAACAGCCACAATTCGAGAGTTGAGAAATATTCTGGCAGGGATAAAGGTTGATGCTGATGGCCCCGATGAGGACGTCTATCTTTTCCTTAAGCGATTTGCAGAGGTAAGTCAACTTCCCCCCATGACTTGGCAGACTGTTCGATCCTAATCATTACTTAGATGGTATCTCATCTTGGGACCACGGTCGAGGAAAGGTATAGCAGCATGCCACCAGATGCTGACCTTTCTGAGTTTCTTCTACTGCTTTTCGAATTTGCGAAGCAGGAGAGCTTGACGGTATCTCAGCATAATGTCAACGCATTTGCGAGGATACTAAGGAAAGAAGGAATTCGAGACCATCAGACGATCCACGCCTTGGCTCCTCAGTTAGTCCAGTTTTGTGACGAACGCCTGATACGAGTAAGAGGTTTCATAAAGATCCGACGGGGTTCTTTGCTAACGAGTAGCTAGTACGAATCGCTTCCAACTGACTCTCAAAATCCATCTTACCTTTTCCTTTTTGAAGACTTTGAAACGATGCCTGAGCGCCACGCCTTTCTTGGAAATTATAGACGATATATTTCGAGTATTATTGACTCCTTGGTTCGCCGTCGACCATTTGAAGTTTTCCCATTTATTCTTCAGAATCTAGACGCAGCTATCAGCCAGATGCTTAAGGATATGCCGTCTATAACACCTGAAAACTACATCAAGAATTCGGATTTTTTCCTAAAAACAGATGCCAAGTTTACTGTTGTTGACGCAGCATTGAAAGGATACATCAGGTGGTTCACGACATTACCTCAAGAAAGCATTCGCGAGACCCAAGAGCCACAGGCGGCTTTTGAAAGTAACCTCGGTCAGTGGTGTGAACGATTACTTACGATCGACTTCCAGGATCCCCTCATCAAGAAGAAGGTTGTCCAATTGGTTGTAGCGCTGTCGACTACTGCGTTGGAAACCCAATCTGGGCTGATGCTTAAGGCGTTGGAATATGTGCTACTCACGCGATTACCCGAGAACACGCAAAACGGATCATACAATGAGGCAGTGAAAGATTTACAAGGCACTTGCATTAGCGAGCTGCAGAGGTTGGCACTGAAGATGCCAGATAACTTGATTCAAGTCTACGGACAGCTTCAGATGAAGATAGATGAGATTATGACAACACAGCAACTGGATGATAGACACCGATTGGCGTACCGAACGTTCCTTTATAGTATTATTCTACGAACCAAGCATATTGAAGATGCGCCGAGGATCCAGACCCTGGAGGGCCATTTGGCACCGGTGGTACAGGTATGGTGCCAACAGGAGTTGACAGAAATGCTGTCGTCGTTCGAAGGATTCTGCAAGATGATGATGTTGGATCAAGTCGAACAATACCTCCACAGCCGGAAGGCACATCTCATCAGAGACTGGAGTTCACACGAGTTGGATCAGGAAGGGCAAGCATTACAGGCGCAACTGACGGAGAAGTACAACGTACTCCCTCTGAGGGCTACAAAGGGTTATCTGGCGATTACGGCGGATAAGATCAGGAAGCCCAGCGCGACGTATGAGATTGCCTGCCATGTTTGGCGGGATAAAATTAACTTGATATTACCGAATTTGCTTAAATTCCTGGGTCACGCGCACGCCTTCCACAACCCCAAGAACTGGGGGAATTTACCGGTTGAGCTGCATCCCGTGATGCAAAGGGTGTTGACGGATAGGTTCTGGCAAAGTGGGATTTCTTCGGGAAGTCGAGATGAGTTTTATGAAAATGTTTCGAAGACAAGGTTGACGATGGAAGGGTTTGCAAGTAGTATTCGAGGGACGGTTAGGACGGTTCGAGAGACTTGCTATTCGATCCTTTGGGCGCTGGGGAAGTTGGATATCGGGTTTTATGATTATGCGGAACTTCCGGGACCTCTTACCATTGCTATGTTTGGAGATGCGGATTCGCTGAGCAGTCATCAGATGACGACGTTGATTAACATTAGTAGGGTGATATTGGACGAGTGTCCGGGACAATATCGACAACACTTCTTGACACCTTTCTTGTCTAGTTTGTTTTTACAAGTCGATAAGAAGGTTATCGGGGAATGGACGAGGTTGGTGAATGCCGGGTTGATTGCGACTACGGAGGAGGATAAATTGGCGGTTGAGATGAAGGAGGAGAGTGTGTTGAGGCAGTTGACTTATACTGCGGTTTTGGTCGTTGCGCAGCTTTTGGATCCGGGGAGGTTGGGTATGTATTGTCAGGGCGACTTTAATAAACTTTCTACATGAAAGGGGGGTTGTATATGCTAACAGATGGGGGTTTGACAGAACCCGGAGCGAATGAATCACAGGATGCCTCGCAGGCGTCGGTGAATGCGAAAAAGGAAGGACAGATGCGAGAATTTATACTGTCGAGCAATGTGATTCTGGAGCCATTGATACTGTTTTGCACGCACGTTCTCGGGACGAGGGATTCTCGATGCTGCGGAATAATCATCCGAGTTTTCAGATCTATTATCGATGAATTCGTGCAGAGGCCGGAACTTAGGGAGTTCATATGTCGGGAGGTGTTTATGGCGGCTATTAACGTTGGTGTTCCCCCCCCCCTCTACTCTACTCTACACTTACAATATAATAACTTTTGAATTGGGTGTTTATAGTCTTTCAATGACGACTATTTTGTGGAAGTACAGAAGGATCTAGCGGGGTTGATCGTTCAGATTTATACGCTATACTCGCCGTATACGGATCATCCACGACATTTACTATTGAAGATCCCGGGGGTTACGGAAAGGAAGGTTGAGACGTTCCATAGGAGGTTGATGTCATCATCGAACATTCGGGTTCAGAGAACGCTCATGTTGGATCTTTTGAGTGATGTCAGAGGGGTGGCGATCAGCGAGAAGGGGAAAGTGGTTATTCCCAAGGCGAAGGAGAAGGCGGAGAGGGAGAGGGAACGGGAGAAGGAGAAGGAGAGGGAGAGACGACTTGTTGCGGAGAGGGAGGCGATGCAAGGTGGGAGGACGCCGGAGTATGGAGGGTTGGCGGATATGTTTTCGTGAAGCCCTTTTGTCTCTTTTCTTGATCAATTAATTATTCTCCCCCTTCCCAATTGGCTATTCCTTGGACTTTGGCTATTGTGATTTACAATATTCACGAGCGAGCCTTTTTCTTGCGTTCTCTTTTATATTATATTATTTACTAAGTATTTATTTATTGGAGGCGGAACGGCTTGGGGGGATAGCATATAGAATTGGCATTGGTCTTTCTCTCTCTCGATATACTTATTGGATGTGAGATGTGTTGGTGTGTGTGGTAAAATGGAGGGGGACTCGTATGGGAAGAAAGAAGGCAGCCTTTCTGTCACCCACATGACTGGCTGACTGGAAAAAAAGAGAGGGAGATTGAGCCGACCAATTAACTCATATCATATGGATGACCACATCCCCTCCCGGATTTCACGCCGTATTAAAATAAAATCATCCCTACTGCAGTAGCTACTACTTAAGTAAGTACTTAGTTATACCAAATGGTAGTTTTAGAGAATGGAGAAGAGGATGTTTGACAGCCGGGACGAGAGGAACAAACAAGCAAGCAAGTGTGATTTTTTCTTTGCCTGTCATGTTTTTCCTTCTGCCCCCGCGACCGAAAGGTAAATTCAACGACATGCGGTCAAACATCTTTAAATTTGTAAGATTTGCCAATGAATGACCCAAACTAGAATTTCTTAGTACTGACAGGACGACCCCGTACAAATGTTTTTTGTGTTTCTTTTTTTGTTGGAAAGATTGGAAGAAAAGAAGATGTGAGAGAATCGGGGGAACCTTTTTCTGGCGTGATTTAGCGACAAGGCGGGGCAGCTTTTTGTTATTATTAATATTTTTTTTTTTTTGTTCTCTTAGGCGAAAAAGCAAAAGTCATCTTCTTTTTTTATTTTTTTATTTTTTTTTGGACTGTGTATGGATGGATGTGTATGGATGGGATGGTTTTGATTTCTTCCGCCAGCCTTCCCATTATGTTGTATTGTAGTATTCTATAAAGGTACTGTTTGGTCGGGTATAATATTGTGGTTGGTTGTAGTAATGGTGGTGGTGGTGGTGATGATGGTGATGATGATGATAGAGAATGGCAACGAGATGATATACTGTGTATCCATATGCTGCTTATCTAATCTAATCTATCCATCTATCTGCTATCAGAGAGAGTATCTACTGTAAGAGAGTATATACATTATTAGAAGACAGAGATAGTCTCGAGGGCCATTTTATGTGAATTTATTGTGTTGCCGGGTTAGTTAACGTTCCCCTCTTTTTTTTCCTTTCTTTCTTTCTTTTCTTTCTTTCTTTCTTCTTTCTCGCTACTCTTTTTCTTTTTTCTTTTCTTTTTCCTTTTTCTTTCTCCTCTTTTCTCTCTTTTCTCTTTCTTCTCGCTTTCATCTCTTTCATCATCATCATCTTCTTCCTCTTCATCATCACCGTCTTCTTCTTCTTCCTCTTGGGTGAATCAAGTAATTTGTTTTTTTTCTCCCAATCGCCAATCTATCAAATATTCAAACTATTGGCGGTTTTTTTGGCCTGCTGCAGTCTAAAAGTCCATCCCCCCTCCCCCTTCTCATCTCGCAGTCAAACCTACCCCTTCTTCTTCTTCCTCTTCTTCCTCTTCTTCTTCTTCTTCCTCTTGTCCTTCCCTCTTCCTCTTCTCTCTAACCGTTTTCTTTTTGTGTTTTTTACCGGGTTTGAACGGGCGCCTGTTCAAATCGCTTTCGAATCAAACGGCCTGTTTGCTGCCGCCGCTGCTGCCTTGTTAACTAATACTACGGCTACTGTTGCTGCTGTTTGCTGTTTGACAGCTGCACACCCGCTATCCTTCCCATCACACACACACACAGATACTCCATTGAATGTTCATTCACCCGCCACTATTATACCACCAACCACTGTCCGTGTGAGTACTTACTTCCCCCCTCCTCTCTCTCTCTCGACCAATCTATCGCTGTCGCTGTCGCTTTCATGTCGGTCGCTATTGGTCTCTCATATTCCCTCTGTGTCTAACTCCGACTCTTTTCTGTATTTCATCGTACTAATTTAAATTAAACTGGTTTCTGAACCACCTAGTAAACTGGCGAAAGGACAATCAATAATCTACCTACGATAGTGGTACCGCTGCTTGCTTGCTTGCTTGCTTGCTTGCTTCTCATCCCATCCGGTACGCGAAATAGGTCAAACGTTCTACCTATCTACCTACTATCTATCTATCCATACCTACTATACATTCGACTACTACTCGTCATTAGTAGTAGTATTATTATCCTTTCGTCGACTTGTTCGTGTGTCTGTGTGTCTGTCTGTCGGCTTTTCGTTTTCTGTTTGGCTGCTGTGGCTGGCTGGCTTGTCTTGTCTTGTCTTGTCCTGTCTAGTCTGGTCTGGTCTTGTCCCTGTTCGTCGCTGTTTTGGCCGACTAACCGGCCAACCTGCCCACCCGCCCGCTCTGCTCTCTGCTCTGCTCTGTTCTGCCCGCCCTTCTCATCGGCGACAAACATCTTCAAAAAGCAACCCTGACTTAAATTACCCTTCATTACTCTACTCGACAATCCTACGGAAGATACACACGACAAGAACCTCTCTTACTCCTCCTCCTCCTCCTCCTCCTCCTCCTCCTCCTTCTCCATCTTTTTTTCTTCCCTCTCTCTTTTCCTTTGTTCTTTTCCTTTTTTGTTTTTGCTTTTCTTTTTCTTTTCGTTTAAAAAACAAAAAAAAGCAGTTTGCATTAATCGCCCATCATCACACAAAGGATTATCGCATACCCCACCAACCAAAGATGGCCTTCTTGGGTTCCCCTCCGCAGACCTACTGGCCATCCCAGTTTGTCACCGATCCTGCTTTCGATCCGGAACTAGTAACTGACCCTTCCGCCATACACGACTCCCAGCAAACTTCCTTAGCTCACGCCATCCAACCTACCGACAATGCTCACCATATCCTCGATCCTGCTCTCTCCGACGAGATGCCCCCCCAGGGTCATACTCCGATCATCTTCCACCAAACATCCCCCCATTCCTACGCTCCTCCTCCTCCGTTTGAGACCGGTCTACCTCCTCCACCTCCCGATCAACTATACTCGCCCGGTCGCATGAGACCTCCATCCGCCAAGGAGATGCAAAGCCAACATAGCGGCGAAGTAGTCATGGATGACGGTCACGGAGCTGCCTACATCGCGCCGGCTCAACATCCATTCCTAGGAAACGGCATGCACCATCCCGATATGCACCAACCTTTAGGACAACCCCCACAGATCAAATTCAGAGCTACTCCCAATAACCCTTCGGGCGGTGGAGGCCACGGTCGGCGTCCCAAGATGACAAAGGAAGAACAGATGGCCAGACGGAGGCTGAGAACCGACACTGACGAGTATCGTACCCAAGAACGCGAACGAATGAGACGGCGACGTGCACGAGAGAAAGAAGAACGGGAGAGACAGAAGAGGGAACAGGAGGAACAATTACGGGCTGAGGGTAAGGAAAGCTGGATCGCTCCCGCTACCACCACTACACCGAAGCGAAAGACCGTCAAGATGGTGAAGAAGAAGGCACCTGTTGCGGCGAATAGCGGACTGGGTACGGCAGGATAGTTTCCTTTTTTTGGTTTCTTTTTTTTTTTTTTTTTTTTTTTGGTTTGAAGAAGAAAAAGAAAGAAAGAAGAAACGAAAAGATAAAAGAAGAAGTTTATTTTGACTAACTGATGATATGAATGGTGGTTTTTTTTGGGCCATTAGATGCCACGATTGAAGAAGACGATTCACGAGAAGCGAAACGACAGGCCAAGGTTGATAATAGGGCAATTTCTCACGAAGACGAAGATGAAGACGAAGACGCTCTGGAAGCTATGGAGGATGAAGGAGATGAAGATGATGAAGATGATGATGAAGAAGGGGCCTTCCAGGAGCCGAAAGGGGATGGTGATGATACTCTTGGGGAACAAACACTGACGGAAGAGCAAATCGAAGAAGCTGCTGCCGCCGCTGCCGCCGATCATCAAGACGAAGAGGCCGGAGATGATGCCGCCGCCGCCGCCGTTGAGGGAGCTGTAGGGGACGAAGATCCTGCCGATAAGAATGAGACGGGGATCCGAACTTCAGCTCGACGAGCTGCTCTATCCAAGACAACCGGAACACCAACTTCGAACCGAGCTGCCCGAGCTGGTTCTACCAAGGCCACATCCGCTAAAGCTACAGCTCGTCCAGCGCGAGGTCGTGCGGCGGAACCGGAGAAGGTTATTCAAGAGGTCACCACTACTAGGTCCGGAAGAACTACACGTAGCGCTCTAAGTACTCCGAAGACTGTGGAGAAGAAAGATTCTCCGACCCCTCAGGCGGCACCGGCGGCACCCGTCCCGCTCAAGATCACCACGCGAAAGCAAACAGTAACTACTCCGGCGAGTCCGTCGTCGCCAGCGATCAGCAAAACTCGTGTTTCGCTGAAATCTCTCTCGACTACTACTTCGGCACCCGTCCCGCCCCCTACCGACGCCAAGTCGCCGAGTTCGATTCGCCCACCGAGTGACTCTAAATCCGCGGTTGCTCCGGTCGTGATGTTATTTGGTTACCCCGCCGGTGTTAACCCGCCTTGTGAGGTATCCTCGGTCTCTGTCACTGTGGAAAGCACTAAGACCGGTAAAATATGTATGATGACTGCCGGTGATATGCGACGACCTGCAACGCCGCCTGTGGAGGGTGAAGAAGGTGGTGATGTTGCAGTTGTTGCAGTTGTCGGTGGGAGTGGTGATGATGATGATGACGACGGTGGTGAAAAGATGGAAATAGATGAGATCAAAGAAGTGGAGAGTACTAGTAAGGAGGAGACTGAAGAAAAGCCTGCAATGGAATTGGATGCTAACGGCGAATCACGAAAGTCGAGTTCTCCGGATAATGCTACGAACGGGAGGTTTAGCTGGGACTTGGTGGTTCAAATGTTGAAGGCCGATATTGCGTTCGATCCGTCGAAGGACGAGCTTGTTGGATTTCATCATAAGGACCCGTTGTTGCTAAGCTGTGACCGACATCTTAATACGGCAATGGTCATGGCAGCTAAGGAAGGGGTTAGGATGCCGAAGTGGTACGTTTATGAGAAGCAACAGTGATTCTTGTCAACATTTTTTTCTTCTCTCCCTTGGCTATCTAAGGAGCAGTTCGTGCTGTTGTTATAAAATGGGAGGGCATAGTGTACATGGAAGACGACGAATGTTTCAAAAAAGAATGTTTCCTTTCTGTCTTTTTCGTTGACACGCCATCATGGATTCTGACTGCCCTTTCTTTTTTTTTTCTTTTTTTTTTTTTTTTTAATTCTTAATGTTTTGGACTTGCAAGTTTAAATACCCATTGCTTTTCTACTATCATGCTTCTTTTGCGGTTCTTTTTTGTTTCTTTTCTACTCTCATGAACATCGCATCTAGTTACTTCCTTTTCTGGTGTCTACGGACTTCAGAGGCGGGCTGAGGTGCTATGGATTGTACAGACCCCTTTTCTTCGGATCGTTTTTATTCAAATTCAGTGGTTTTTTTTACTTCATATATACTCAAGGTGCTGGTTTTATTCAAGTGCACAAAATATTTACATCCCTTTTTCTGATTATCTGAACGCTTTTTGCGCTGATTTTCTTCTTCTTCTTTTTTTATTATTTATTATTGGTTATGGAATGACTTCGGTTTTTTTTTATACTTCTTTTCTTAGGTATGGGAAATTTTCTTTTAAAATTTAATGATGGATTGATTGAAAGGGTGGACGGGGTGGAACGAACGGGATGGATTGATTGATTGATTGATTGATTGATTGATTGATTGATTGATTGATTGATTGATTGATTGATTGATTGATTGATTGATTGATGGGTGGATATTTTAGTTTAGTTTTTAATGGGATAATTTTTATTTTTTTATTTTTTCACATATTGCCTCTTCTTTCTCTCTCTTTCTTTCTTTCTTTCTTTTTTTTTAAAAAAATACTTTTTTTCTCTTGTGATTTACTTTTGACGACGTGGGATGGGATGCCCGGGGAGGGGGAAGTAATGGTGATTGATTGATTGATATCGGTTAGATGTGATATTGTATCAAGGAACAAACTTCAGGCAACTTTTCTCATACCGGCTTTTGAGAGACGGGAAACCGAACTGAACGAACGGGTTGAAGGTGTTTTTTTGATCATGTCATATCAGCGGTTGCATTGCATTACATGATAGCTGAAGAAGAAGAAGAAGATGTCAGCCCTGTGGTATTATCATGTTTGAGACGAGGGGGAAGGATGAGTTTTTCTTTTATAGGCGGGTGAGTTATATGCAAGCCACAGCTGAAGGGATACGTGAAGTGAAGTGAATGTGGGATGATATACGGCTGAAGTTAGGAAAGAAAGAAAGAAGAGAGGTATATCGCAGTCGCAACTTCTTTTTTATTATCGATTCTACTATCTATATTATATTATATTAGTGCGGTATGTATATTTTAGGAGTTCAGGTATTCCGCAGTGCGGTCGGTTCTAGTTCGGTAAAAAGAAAGCGGCGAGCAAAGGGGGGAAACGAATCAGATGTTTGAATGGTTGGACGTGGACAGGGGGGGGTTGCATTAGCTTGGTTGGGTGTCTGCACCTTGCGCATCAACAGCTCAGCTGATGGTCGTGATGGCTCGGATTATAACCGCGTCAGATGGGCAGCTTAGTTTAGCTTACTTACAAGCTTAGGAGGTTGGGAAGATCTTTAAAAAAGGATAGGGAATAAATACTTAAAAGCTTCCCCCCATCCCCCCAGTTTTAATTCTTCGAGCTTCTATTCTTCTCCTTTTTAACCATATCCTCACCAGTACTCAAGAAGTCTAACCACCACCACCAAAAATGCATCTCCAAACCCTCCTCCTCCCCGCCGCCACAACCCTCCTCCTAACCCTCCCCCCAACAACCCAAGCCTGGGGTTTCTACGGCCACAAAACAGTCGCCTTACTCGCCTCCCGCTACTTCCTACCCGAAACCGCTCAATTCGTTCAAACCTATTTATATCGCGGACAATCCATCATGGATGCCGCCGTCTGGGCGGATAGATATGCACATATACCTCTAGGACGGTATTCAAAAACGTGGCATTACATAGACGCGCAAGACGATCCGCCTAGGGTTTGTGAAGTTAATTATAATCGAGATTGTGCGGTTAGTAAGGGGGGGTGTATTGTTAGTGCGCTTGTTAATATGGTTTGTCTCCCTTTTCTCCCTCTCTCTCTTCACCATCTTTCTTAGTTTATTTATTTATTTATTTATTTATTAAAATTGTAATATTGGAAATAGACCTCAAGAATCCAAGACGACACCCTCCCCTGGGCCCAACGAGCCCAAGCACTAAGATTCATCCTCCACTTCATCGGCGACATCCACCAACCTTTACACACCGAACACGCCCAACTCGGCGGTAACCGTATAAAAGTCCTTTTCCACGGCCACGAAGCAAACCTGCATTCAATCTGGGACTCCAAAATCCTCGAATCCCACCGCGGCAGACCCACAGAACGTGGTATAATCTCCTTCACTAATGATCTACAATCACGTATCGAATCCGGGGAATATAAATCTGAGGCTTCTTTAAACAATTGGGGGAAATGTTTGAATACTACTAGAGCTGAGGAGTGTGCGCTTGTTTGGGCGAGTGGAGCTAATAGATGGGTTTGTGAGTATGTTTTGAAGGATGGGGAGGAAGGGGTTGAAGGACAGGAGTTGGGGGGGGAGTATGCTGATGGGGCGGTGGGGATTATTGAGAAGAGTATTGCGCAGGCGGGGTATAGACTTGCTGGGTGGATGAATATGTTGGTTACGGGGAGGGATGGGTTGGATGAGGGGATTGGGAGGGATGTGAATGTGAATGGGTGGGAGGTTTTGGAGGGGGTGAAGGAGGGGTTGGAGGAGGGGGATAGGGAGGTTGAGGAACAGGTTAGGGAGATGGAGATGCAGAGGGGGTTTGAGGGGTTGAGGGTGCAGCATTAGATTGTTTTATTGATATGGAAGGGAGTATGGAGTTAAGTTTTCTTTTATGAGCGTCCGAGTAAAGGAAGAGGTGGCGGTTGTGTACGTTATGATACTAATGCTCATTGTTATCAATTGTGTAACTTATGTACTTTGGTATATATATAAACGGGTATCTGATAGAGAAATATATATACGTCTTTCCAATATTCAACTATGATAAATATCGTGGTGATGGTCGTGATGCTAATATTCAACTATGATAAATATCGTAGTGATGGTCGTGATGCTAATATCCAAATGCTTCAAAACTAGTACCTATTCCATACATATTACAATCTAATACCAACTACCTCAACCCCAACCTCTCCTCAACCCGTCTCTTCACCTCCGCCATCTCCGCTCCTTGTCCCTCAAACATCCTATCAACCCTCATCCTCAAACTCGCCCTATCTCCTGTTCCCAATATCTGTACCAACCGATCAATAGCTCTACTATCCCTCTCCTGTACTTCTTCTTCCTCCTCCTGCTGTTCCTCTCCAACTTCCACCACACCACCACCTTCTTCAACCTCATCCTGTCCGTTATCATTATCATTATCATCATCACCAATCACAACTCCAAACCTCTCTCCAAACCACCCCCTCAACTCCCGTGGGACAAGTCCAACATTTATTGCCAATTCAACACGATCCGAAAGTCCCATCTCGGCTGGAAACCCGATTCCATCTTCTACCATCGTCACAAGCGTAGCTCTCAAATCATCTTCTCCGACTTCAAATGTTCCCGTTTCCTGCTGTTGTTGCTGTCGTGGTAGTTGTTGTCCTTGATTACCCTCCACCACCGTAGCAGCAGCATTAGCAGCAGGTGCTTGTACCGTCGGCTGTGGCATATCAGGTGGTCGAAAATCCGGTAACAGACTTCTAAAGAATGCTTCAAACAACCCCCTCGCTCCCACAGCTTCAATCGGAATACCTCCCGTATTTATCCCACCACCAGTCTCCGCCTGCATTTCCTTCTGGTATTCACTTTCCTTCCCCACAGGTGGTAAAATATCCCACGCATAACCCTGATCGTTCCGTAGCTCTGCAGGTAAGAAACCGATCAACCCCCTACTCTCGTTCAAATCCATCAAGAAAATATGTCTAGCCAGATCTCTCAATTTGACATCCACGTATACAGAATCCATACTCCCCAGTGTTTTTCTATCTATTTTATTAAATTTCTTGGGGTTTTCGAAGAGTACTGAGAGGAGGAATTGTGCGTGTTCGGGTATATTCCACAGATCTCCCATTCTTAGGGTATACATCTCTGCCAATAGACCGTCGATTTTAGTTCGGGGTAGGATACCCCATAATTCTTCCGGTAAGGTGGTAGATGTGGAAGAAGTGCTTTCGAATGATAATGCGCCGTGGAGTTTTGTGATTATCCAGGGGTATGTAATTATCGCTTCCGTCAGTCTTGATTTTGCGGCTTCCAGGTTCCCGGCCATGAATTCGGCGAGGGAGAGGGAGTAGGCTATATTTGGACTTTGTGACCATGTTTGGGTTAATAATGGGGTTGAAGATAATGAGAGTAATAGATCGAAGCAGCGGGATTTTAAGGCGTATTGGTCGATTATTAGTAGGAGACATAGTGGATCGTTTATGGGATCGAGTTGGAGGAGGAGTTTTAGGAATTCTAGACCTGTGCGCCAGAGCCCTCTGCGGGAGAGGGAGAGGATGTATTTCCAGGCTGAGAAGTAGAGTTCGCGGTTTTCGAAGTGGTCGAAGGAGAGGCGGGCTAGGCCTGATGTTAGGGATGTGGGGAAGACGGAGTGGCTGCTTCTGCCCATTGAGAAAAGGGCGCGGGAGAGGAGGGTTTGGGAGGTTGTGTGGTCGTTTGATTGGGTTAGTGCTATGTGACTTGTTTGGAGTAAGGTGGAGATGTGGTATGGATGGGAGGAGAGGTGGGAGATCATTCGGTCTGGATCCATGGAGCGGACGCAGAGGAGGAATTGACGTTGGGTTTCTTGGTAGGCGCGGGAATGGGAGTATTTGAAGGAGATTGTGGAGTCGATGGGGGATTTGGAGAGGAGGTCCATTGATAGACCGCCTGAGGAGTCGCGAGGCCAGTTGTCGGAGGGTTGGACGAAGGGGTTGCGACGGGATGAGAGGGTGCGGGGGGTGGAGGAGCCTGGGAGGTTGCGGGTGCGAAGGGGACGGGTATCTTGTGGGTTTTCGCGGGTGGCAGAGCGGCCGAAGAGTTTGCGCATTTCGTTTTCGAGGTCGAGGTGGCGGGGGTCGATGTGGAGGAGGGTGTTTAGGAGGGATGAAGGGGATGAAGAAGAGGAGGATGTGGGGGTGGAGGAGGATATGGTTGTTGATTTGAGGGCTTGTAATGCCTCGTCAAAGTCTTTATCGTCATTGTCGTCCTCTTCTTTGTCTTCTGAGATAGCTTTAGATTTGCCTTTATTCTTCTTCTTTTTCTTTTTATTCTTCTTTGATTTTGACGGGGCTGTTGAGGTTGATGTTGATGTCGTCGAAGGGGGCTCTAGGACGTCATTTTCGTCGTCGTCTTGGTCTTCACCCTCTGCTTCCTCGAGCTCTTCTTCTAGCATAGCAAAGAGGTTTGGCTTCTTTGAGACGATAGGTATCTCTTCTTCCTCCTCCTCTTCTTCATCTTCTTCTTCGTCGTTTTGGGGACCCTTCGAGAGAGGGGAGGCGGCGAGAGCGGCCAGACGCTCCTCTTCTGCCCGCTGTTGGGCCTTTCTTAGTGCGCGAGTGGACATGATGTAATCGTCGTTCTATATACTAGCATTAGCAGCGCTCTTTGTTTTGGTATGAATAAAGTACTTACCTATTACGATACTAATCCATGAAGTTGAAAAGTAGGTAGAGCGATGGTAGCGATATCAATATCGAGGAGGTTGATATTGGAGGGATGTTGGAGGGGATGTTGGAGAAGAAGAAGAGCGGGACGTCGTCGTTATGAGTCGCCAAAAGGTGCGGCTTAAATGCGGCAAACCACAAACACCATTCGCTTGGTCCGTCGCCACTTCACCCGGACCACTTTCATTCCGGCTTCACCACTTCGAGCTTCAACCATCAAAAACTAAAATAACCATCGCCAAAACCACCCGTGCGATGGACGCCTCTCAGCCTCCTCCTCCTTCCCCTCCTCCTCTCGATAGTGAGGAGGTGTGTACTCACTGCGCTTGGGCTCCTTATGCAATCGTCGCTCTTCCCGTCGTCCTCCCGTTGCTACTCCTAATACTACACAGACCGTTATTACGACTTTTTGGGTTCTATATCCGCAGCTTGAACGGCGATAAGAGGGAGATATTGTTCAAAGTATCATCGGAGGAAGCTCTTAGGGCCAATCAATCGAAGACACCTACTCAACAGCCGACTACAATCGTTGGGTTCTTTCATCCTTACTGGTACGAACAAGTAGCTCGTCTATAGCTTCCTCAATCCTCGAGTTTTACTTAATACACGAAGCTATTCTACAAGTTCTAATAAAAGACTAATGGATTGAACGACAATAGTAACGCCGGTGGTGGTGGTGAACGCGTCCTCTGGGCCGCAATCCACGCCAATCAACTGCACTCCCCCCACATCCTCAACGTCGTCTACACCGGCGACCAAGCCACCAAATCCACCATCCTTTCAAACGTCCAAACCCGTTTCGACATCCACCTAAACCCCTCCCTCGTCCAATTCATCCATCTCCAAAAGCGTCATCTCGTCTCCTCATCAGCATGGCCACGCTTCACACTCCTCGGACAGTCGCTAGGATCAATCTTCCTAGCCATCGAAGCATTCGGAATGTTAGTACCGGATATTTACATCGATAGCATGGGATACGCGTTTACCGTCCTCCTTGCTAAAAAGGTGTTTGGAATACCGACTGCAGCGTATGTTCACTATCCGACGATAAGTACCGATATGTTGGGGTCTTTGTCGCCGGAGAAGAGTGTGAAGAAACGGTATTGGCAGCTTTTTGCGATGTTGTATAGTTATGCGGGGTCTGGTATCGATGTTGTGGTTGCGAATAGTAGCTGGACGGCCGGGCATTTGAATTCTTTGTGGAGGGGCAGACAGGAAGGGGGTTCTGCTGCACCGAAGTTCGATGGGGGGCTTGCTGCAGCTATTAAGTGGATTTCGGGGAGACAGAAAAAGGGTGATATCGAAGTTCTTTTCCCGCCGTGTGCGGTTAAAAAGTTGGCGGAGAAGGTTTCTATTGGGAAAAAACGAGAGGATGCGATTCTATACATTGCACAATTCCGGCCTGAAAAGAATCACATCTTAGTCCTGCAAGCGTTCGAGAAGTTTTTGAAATCTGCGCCTGAGGAGTTGAAGAATACAAAACTGGTGTTGGTGGGAACTGTTAGAGAAGATCAAGATGAGAGGAAGGTTTATGAATTAAGGCTGCTGGCGCATGAGTTACAGGTTGATAATAATGTAGTTTTTGTCACGAATGCGCCGTGGGGGGATGTTATAGGCTGGTTGGGGAAGGCAAGTCTCGGTGTTAATGCCATGTGGAACGAGCATTTTGGTATCGGAGTTGTGGAGTATCAAGCTGCTGGGTTGATTGGGGTTGTGCACGATAGCGGCGGGCCGAAGTTGGATATTGTGGTTGAGGTTGATGGGTTGAGGACCGGTATGTTTCCCGTCCGCGAGTTTAGATGAAGATAGAAATACTGATTTTATGTTTAGGATATCATGCTACAACCGCAGAGGAATTCGCGCAGGGGTTTAAAGAAGCTCTATCATTGAGCGACGAGGATACAGTCGCGATGAGGGAGAGGGCGAGGAAGTCATCACTAAGGTTCTCGGAGGAGATCTTTGAAGAACAGTGGAATAGTGTTATGGACACCCTTTTGGGACTGCTCGAAGGTAAAAAGAGGAAGTAATTATCTAGACTTCTTTTTTTGATTTGGTGTTTTTTTTTGGACATTTTCTCGTTTTTGATTTGTCGAAAGAATCTTTTTGGATACCCGGATATTTCACCATATACTATACTATATATACTTTACATTTGGTATTACATATTTACACCGCATTTAACCCTTTATCCACTCTATTATAATATTACTTATATTCTTCTGTTTTGTCCTTCTTTAACCAACTAGGTACCTTCTCCCCGACTGGAGCTACACTCTTGGGTGGCGGTAGTACCGTATGTAATACCGTATTCTGTATTAATGAGTAGGTACCCGATGTGATCCAATACAACAGCAGCACGGCCGGTGATCCAATCGTCAATGGGAAAGCAGCAAGACTTATCCCCATCAAGGCATTTCTCAAACCTTTTCTCCAACCTGTAGGTTCCTTAGTAGCTCTTGCTGTTGCGGACTAAAAATATATTCTAAGTTAGTATAAACCAAACTAATAAAAAAAACAAATCCTCGAGAAAACTCACCATAACGTTTGTAAACAGGGTTAGGGAGAATATAATGGGAAGGATCATATACGGATCCGGCTGTAATAAATCCACAAACCATCCGTCTATTCCTCCTGTTTGCATTTCCTCCCTGACTTTTGCTGTTATTTCATCGAGTCCTGGTGTTCCATTCTCTGGTATCGATACCAGTGGTGATGATGACGATGTAGTAGATACACCCTCCTCCATCACTACCTCAGATTCTAAACCAGAAGAAGAATTCATCTCCCTCGCTCTTTTCGAAATATCAATCGGAGCATCCCACCCATTCACCCCCGTAACCCTCCTAACGCTTACAGAAGCCAAAACCCACACCGGAATCTGTATCAACCCCACAAACCCCTTCCAATACTGACATCCAAACTGTTTGTATAACTCCACCCTTTTATTTTTCGTTCTCTTTAATACTTCTTTCGTCCATTTCTCTGGTGTGTTGAATATTTTCTTTCCTATTAATTCTTTTGGTATTGTACTATTACTACTGGTAGTAGGTGGGTAGACTTCCTTCGCGACTTGTCGACGGTAGATGAATGACCAGGCGTGGATTATGGGGGATAAGGAGAGTTGTTTTATGGTGCGTTTGTGGGAGTAGAGTGTGAAGGGGAGGGTTATGCAGGTTCGGACGGTTAAGGCTACTAAGGGGATCGTGAGGAGCCAGGGGAGGGAGGTTGTGGATTGTAAGGTGAGGATTAGAGAGGTGGTGGTGGAGAGGAGGGGTTCTATGGTGGGGGTTGTGGTGAAGGAGCGACGAGGGGGAGGGGTGGTGGTGGGGTTGCCATTGTGGGTTGTGAGGTTGGTGGGTGAGAGGAGGGATGGGGTGAGGGGGCGGAGATGGTGATGACGGAGGTGTCGTGTGAAGGTGGCGGTGGTGGTGGTGGTGATAGTGGTTGAGCGGAGCATGGTTGGGCTGGGTTTTGGCTGGGGTTTGGGAGGAGGGAGACGGGGATTGTTGGATATTTGGGTGGTCAACGCGGTTTTGGGGGTGTTGTAAATTCTATTTGACTTTGCTTGTGTGGATGGTTCGAATTTGTGCATGTATATGGGATTTTTTTTTGTTTATGATGTTTTTGTCTTTTCGGTTTCTAATCCGATTATTTTGTTAACCCAGGAGAAGAACTGTTTGGTCCATTCTTCTATTGTTCTTTCTTCGGGTTCTGGTGATGTATTTGGGGTTTGTTCGGTGGGAAGGCCTGGCGGTTGTGGTTTGGTGAAGGTTGGTGGTGGTTCGGGAATCCAGCCGGCTTCAACGGTTTGAACGAATACTGTGTCTTCGATAATCATCGTGATGGTTTTTGTTTATCGTTGGCTTACTGTATTGTATTGTATTGTGATATCATATCTACTAGTAGTATGGAATTACAATGCTTGATTGAAGAGAAAGAGTAGGTAGAAAGGCAAGTTCGCATATTTTACATACAAAAAACCTACAACCTCAATTCTGCTCAAACCTATCGGGCTATCATCAACTTTCAAAAATAGCTTCACACACATCCACTTTTTTTTCTATCGACAAACAATTTCCCCCAAAAAAAGGCTCACTGGCTGGTTTGAGACTCGAACCCATGGTTCACCACCACCTCCTGCCCTCACAAATTTGGGGTGTCAAATAGCCACTCAAATTGGGGCTGCCGAATCGTCCGAGCGAAAATCTAGAGCCTTACTCCGTATACCTACTAATTCAGTAGTCTCGGAGCCAGAACTGATATATCTCCTGTGCCATATTAATGAGAGGGCATTTCTATAACTTTGTCTTCCCAAGCAACCTTAATATCTATAACGTCGCAATGTTAGGTTATTTGCCCCGCGAGAATGTTCATGATTTTGCTACAATGATTCTTCTCTATATCTAACATGCTATCGTGCCAATATTGAACTTGAATATCACGACATCATGTGACTTTGGTATTATACCAGCCTCAGCTTCTTAGATCAAAAGACCTATTTAATGGATAAGGAGCAGTGTTCTAGCTAGATCCAATTTCCGACGTCGTTCAGATCCAAGCCTAATCGTAACTACTATAGGTATCGCCGATTTAATGAAATACTCAATGGTAAAAGAAGAAAATGTTAGTTCCTTTTTCCTCCGTGACGTAGATCGATCTGGAGAAAGCCGCTATACATGCATAAGGCATCAATTCTAGCTAGCATATAAGGCTTGGCTAGTTGGATCGGTCGATATTTTGGGTCATTTGATCCCTTCATATGCTCAGGAATTATCCTAACTGTCGACCGGTCTCGGCTTACACCCCCTAGCTTTTGCTTTTCTTTATCAATTGCGTTTTAGATCCCGCGTTCTAACGCAGTATCCAACATTAACATTTCAGATATCGGCTCAGCTCGCGCCGAGCTGAAAAGAAATATCCAACAATTGATATGATATGTGAGACAGCGCTTGAGTGAAGAGGTCACCAGATGGTTTGAATACTTGTTGCATTGTAAAGATAAGTTGCAATTGGACGATAAAGCGGATGTTGGGATCGGAAGGTCTTAGAAGATCCGTGTTGGATATATGTTTCACTTTTTATCTGTCTTACGATTGGAGCGATATGAACTATACATGCATGGGAATCACATTCGGATTATCTAGCTTACTAAAGTTACGAATATGTTAATACTAAAACTGCAAGGCAATCACCAGAACTCGCTCTGTTTGATTAGGCAAAAAATACTATGAAGGTAATTAGATAAGTATTCAAAAAACTTGGATATTCTGAAACAGATTGTATGCGCGTGTATGTATGGTGTCCCGCTGACAGGTTTCCGATGCAACTAGAATATGCGGTTTGCCGTGTCTTATATTTCATAATTACTAGTGGTACCTATGTACCCACCTACCTATGCTTTTTTACATAACAAATATTGCAGACGCGTTCTCCCCGGCGATATACATAAATGTATTCTAATGTGTCGATTGCGAAATCTCGTCGAAAAGATTATCCGGATCAAAACTTGGATATTTCCTTCTGCGCGTCGACGAAGATCAAGGGGAGGTGGTATTCTATACGGATACTCTTTCCCCCTTGCTGCTATAGCTACAGACCACATGTTCTATTCAAAGAATTGATTAATTAATCTCCTGACTAGTAAAAATCCGGAATGAAATTCTAAATACCTTGAAACGTCCCGATTCCCCTATTTTATCGATAAAAGCAAGTTTTAATCAGTACAAGTCTCTTGCTATATTAGAATAACCCGCTTTTCGAAACACCCATCCTCGAATACTTGAGAATTTTCAAGTAAGGGAGGGGGGTCATCTGTGGCACACAAATCAACTTATGCATGTATGCATTGCATTGCATTCGAAAAGACGCGTCAGAAAGATATGGAATACCTTGGAAGAAGTGTATGGTGGAAGTCAAGATTTCGATGATCATTACATGGAACATCTATATTTGTAGATCTTATGGTGTTCTTCTTTTTATTGATATCACAGGGTCCCGTTGACAGGGTTCCATCCTAGATATTTTTTTTTTGTATTACGGCGGGTTGGGGGGAAAAAACATCTATAATTTTCAAGTTTCAACTTCTTCTTTTTGTTCCTTGTTTGGATTTTCGGATATCGGATGTTTGAGGCAAGGGCTTTTTACGTTTACCCGCTTATCATCTTTGGGTATGTTAAATGGTCAATCGATATCTGTTGGGAGGTATTCACGAGGTGAGGGGATGAATAGAAATGAAAAGAAAAAAAGCAGGTTTTTTGCTACGGTTTTCTGCCTTATCAAGAGATGTTTTTATCGGAATTTATCCGGATTTTTTATTTTTTTGTTTTTATTGAAACCCCATGGGATTATAGGTTATATACTCAGGATGACCGGGGAGGGGATGGTACTTCTAGACATGTAGGTTGTGTACATCTAGTACATCATCTTTGGTACTCCCGGGCACCCCTGGGACATCCTCATAGCAAACGATTACCTACGTTGAGACCTTTACCAATTCTTCAAGGAAAGGCTTCCCCAGGAACACGAGGTTATATCCCACCTTCTTAAAAATTTTAAAGGAAGGGGTAATGCTAGAAAGTTAATTAACTAGTATCGCAGTGGTCGGAAAGTAGAACTGATTTGGTTACACCTGATAGTTTGATTAATTCCATTCTTTTTGTGTAGTTAATCAATGACGTTGATATATAATTATCATGGTATATAGTATAGTTAATTTAATTTACGGGCGGGTAACTACATCGCTATAATTCCTAACATGCATATTGAAAAATGCAAAAGGATAAAAGAAAAAGAAAAGAGAGAGAGCTTAGGAAGCAACAAAGCATACGTACGCCACCAAGGCGCAAGAAAGGATCGTCTATTCGTAGTAACCCTTCTAAACGGTTGAAACTCTCCTTTGGAAGACGGGATTGTCCATAACAGGTGGAGACTCGATCGAGCTGCGCATGAAAAGAAAGTGGGATCGTGACCGCTATTTGCCCTAAGGTATCTTTAACTAGTTCCAAAAAGTCAGAGCCATGGGAATATATTGAATAGAGGAGAGGAGACGAAGCGGCGACATGATAGTCAGTTACTAGATTATGAGTCAAACATCGAGGGGTACGTTGGTTTGTAAACTGAGACTATGTCGGTGAAGACGAGATCTTGAACTTAGTATAGCTAGGAAAAAGCAATCATGGAGGAGAGAGAGGAAGAGGAGAAGGTAATACCAAGGCAAAGCAAGGCCAGTCGCAGTAGCTAGCTAGGTAGCTAGCTAGTAGACAAAAAGGTCAAGCCTCGAATCAAAAACCGGTCTATGAAAGTCATGGGGCCCGAATTTCTGTATGTACAGCCCAAAGGAGAGGTCCCGGGAACAACGATATGACAGGTCTTTACTGGATTTGTCTAGACCTGAGTCGATATCCAAGGAAGCGAGTATGCGCTGCGATTGGTCGAGGAGTAAGAAAAGCGTATTTGGTACTATAACTTTTTTTGAGAGAGAAGCGGGTTATTTGCGCTCGTTGGATAAGTGGGGTTTAGATGTCGACAATATGTCGCAGTTATAGCTAATGCGGAGGGGGAAAATGTGATGGCATGTGTCAAAAGAAAGAAAAAACAAAAAAAAAAACAGTGAAGAACGAAGCGAAGGAGGGTTATGTGGATTTTGGGCTGAGATGTGAATATCTGGTGGTTTTGAGGTTTCTAGTTGGCTATTGGAGTTAAAACAGGCGCCTTTGGTAATACCTTGGTGGCTGTCTTGAGAAATCCGGTTATCTGGAATGAACAGACAGTCGCTAGGTCCAGAACGTAGATGATATGTCCATATGGGATCGATGGTCCGAAAATCAGACCACTTAAGAAGTTGGGCTTCCGTTAACCCTGTTTAATGATGAAAGGCCGAGGAGATATGGCGGGAACCCCTTTGATGGAAACTAGCAGGATGCTAAGAAGGAGACTATCAGAGTCGCCCAAGATGCAATCCAACAGAATGTTTTCTATGCATATGCTGGATGGGATAATTAATTATAGAACCTGTCACTGTAGCTTCATATGCATGCGCCCCCTAGGCAAACTAAGCAAAAGATAACTTCTCTGGTTGTGCCGTTATCTCGAGCTTCTCTCCTGTCTAGTGGCGCTCCCAACTTGCCTCGAGTAAAACACTTTAGCTTCTCTCCTCTTCATAATCCTAGACATTAACTAGTATTATTAGTACTTAGTTAATGGCAAGAGCCAAGGCCCGCAACGGCTTTCATGCACCTGGGAAATCGGGGCTAGGAGGGAACTAGATCGCTTACGTCTTCCATGCAACCACATTGCGACAGGAGCTACATTCCAACGGAACACTCTGCCTCGTTTCTTGCCGTCGCACGTGAAAAATCGAACACAAGGTTCCAGATAACGAGTAACACCGGGCGGGCGCACTTACTCACTTTGTCTTACCCACTCGCATTTCATCTTCTAATCCTTTTTAGCCATGGGAGAATTATTTCAAGATCTTGTTCTTGTTCAATCAGTTCTCCAAAAAGGATTCCTGTGAGGAGGTGTTGTCGTTTGTGGTAAGTTTGTGAGAAAGACCGGGGAGGCGGCTAGCTATCGATATTGGAGCAGGGAGGCGCAATTAATCCTTTTGACTCCACTTTTTTCTTTTTCTTTCCCTCTTTTCTTTTCATAGCGTTTGCCCACCGATTTTTTGGAGCCCATGGAGAGCAGTATCTTCAGCCAGCTTACTACATGAATAAAAATTTAAAAAAATCTAGAAAATCCACTTTGGCTAGTGCGGAAGGTGGCGGATAGCGGAGCTGGGAATATTGGCCTAAAATGTAATATCAAAAAAGCATAATTCCATAGCATCCAAGGGTGATAGCATGTTATGCTTGAAAAATTAGTATTAAAATGGAGTCTAGTCGGAAGGATGTATCGGTACTTGAGAGCTTGGTCCTAGTTCCCCACTAGCCACAGTTTCCAGATGTACATAAGTATATTTCTTATGCTTTAAAAATTCTAAATCATGGAGTTAAGAACTAGAGCACAGGCACCACGGGTTCACTCACTAGCTGCATCCTGGGTGTGCCCGAATGACCTGAGCAGCAGGGATATAACCCAATGCATCTGTGGAGACCGTAGATGGGAACCTTGAGTGTAGACGATCCAATAGGTATATCAGATGAACTGCACAGGCGGGATGGTACACTGCAGTTATGTACCTCCCGTGCGAATAAGTCCTGGGACTGGTTGGAAATTTTGCTTTGTTGCATGGGGTTTGCGCGCCCAGATGCGCTAGCTTCGAATTGAAGGGAAAAGAGAGACTCGATATGTCGACTCTCTTTTGTGTTGGGATTCTTTTTGTGATAGAATGATTGATATATGCAGAACATCGTCACTTGCAGGTAACATATGCAAGCGGTCCATGCAAGCCAAGACACACTAGGAGCCGCGTGTGGAGAGTGTAGAAACAGAAGCCAGCGGGGTCGGTTATCTTCCGGCGATTGATTCGTTGAGACAGTGTTCATGTTCATGATTCGACTATTTTTTCTCAGCCCAGAACCAAAATTAAAGGCTGAAAAACAGAGGAGTTTCCCGCATTTTTTACGTTTTGCGATTTAAAAGAGAAAAAATAGTGTTATGCGGGGTGGTGTCTACCGCTGTCAGCTCGTACGTAAAGGTTTGAAAAGAAAAGCTAGCAAGAGCTAGAACTTACGAACGCCACCTCGCAGTCGCAGTCCCGATTTGGATTTTGCGACAAGCCGCGCCCAGACCGGTATACGAGTTCGAAATATTTGAGTCGGTATCTGGAAGGCCAGAGTGTCGACAGGATGGATCAAGGATCTCTTGACGACGGGCAAGCCTGGCCTCGTCGCCCTTGGGAGATAATAATCCTGTTTGACTGTTTCTATTCTTGATCGAAAAGCCCGCATGCCTGTATCCCTGTAGGTGGCTTACTGGGGTCCTTGTTCAAAAAAACTCCGTTGATTCGCTACGATACCTCCCAGAGTTCGGACGAAATGTTAGCGATAATTTCGTGGGGGTCAATGCGGGGAAGAGGTCGAGACGATATGAAGGTTGAAGGCCGCAAAGAGGTCAGTGCGACTTGTCTTCTCACATGGATTTATTCTGAGGGCAAGGAAGGCCCTTGCCACACTCGTCTACAAGAATAATCGACATCTAATGGAAGTAGATTAGAAGTGAAAAGAGGAGGGAAATTGCTTTTGAATCTGCTTCGCAAACAGCGGAGGCCTTATGCAAGCCCAAATTTTTTATGATCTTATCCTTCGGTGTAGCTTTCCTGCTCCATAAAATGGCTACCTAAATATCGTAAGATTTCCCACATGGCATTCAAGATGGTGTACGCTCTACTACCTTAGTTGAATTATGTTATCAGAGGCAGCTTACACTAATCATAAGTATACTAGTAGTACTTGGCTGCATCATAAGCACGGTTCTCATAGTTATAGGAGTCTCGATGCCCAGATTTGTAATAACTAGCGTTACTTTAGTCTGTGTGTTTGTGTAAATTTTAGGCCCTTTACGGACGGCTTAGAAATCTGTAGCATTAATCGAACTGGAGGCTGATTTACAAGTGATTACATCCATAACCACCGGTCCGCATTTAGATCTACCAGCACAATGAATGAGACCACAACTTCACATTGAGACTAACATGGGTAGCATTCTTTTGAGCCTGTGCGACTTTGAATTTTCAGTTGATCATATAGATGCGGTAAGTAATTAACGGAAGAACGTGAGTGTGGACGTATCGAAGTAGATCCTTAGGCTCCCAATGATACAATTGGCCAGATCTGCAGAATGCAATGCATGTGCATAGAACAGACGGAATAACATGAGCAGCCAGTGGAACCATTGTTTGAGTCTGATATCTACTCTGGCGGTAAATTAAATTAAACCATAGATACTTACTTCTATATGATTTCGAAACAGGAACAGAGTAGAATATATACAAAGGTATATAGATGTATAATATCAATTCAAACTCGACAGGGTACGTAGCCTGTAGGTCTCTATTGTTATGCATCAGCTAATTAAGCCACAAGTCCCAATACGCCGAAACTTTTGCATTTAAAGTTCTCCACACCATACAGTTAACACCTTATCGCAGCGTATTCTGGTATTAGCGCATTCCAGCCACAAGTAAATTTGCTTAGCAATACCGAATTCCTATGAGTCCATTGCGCTTCGATGCAATGCTGTGATTGGGCCGCTGCTTTCGTATGTTGCAAATTGAAGATCAAATGTGTTGCGGGTTGGCAGGAATAGTCTGAGCGGCCAGGGTGACCCCATGACCTTCGTGCATGAACTTCGGCAAAATACGACTTTACAATGAGCAAGAGAAGTTGATTACTTGATTTCAAGTACTAGGGAGTAGAGTAAAACTGAAGATACTGACTTAGGGGATTTTAATCGGACGAAAAATAAGAATGCCGGCGGTTTCTTCCGACATGCCCTCGTCCTGGCCTCGAAGCTAGATATTCGCCTGCAGCGTCCACGGCCACCAAACCATGGATGTCGACTAGATTTACCAGCGCTCGCAAAAATGACAGCCGGCTTTTACTTTTTTCACAAAAAAGAAACCATGGAAAGGAAGGAAAAAGAAAGGACCGGTTCACACAAAATGTGGGTCTGATGAGAAAAAGGTGGTGTGGTAAGTGCATATGCATGCTGCACGCAGCTGTTCTGTAGTTAGTGATCTTTCGAATGCGACTCTCAGAACCTGCCTTTTCATGAACAACCTCGTGGTCTCTGCTGTTACATATGACGAACCAGACTTCTATCTGAATCTTGGCTCACTTCAAAATTTAGAATGGGTCGGAGTTTCGAGGTAGATATACTTCTTTCTACTATCGTTGTCGCCTATGACAGGGGTAGTCTTGACGTCAATGAAGTTTGTCGCTATCTGCGGATATTTCAACAGCGACTAGACTAACCGACCCCGCAAGAACTGAACTTAAGTTAACTTAACTTTTCGTTAGCTCCTCGATATCCTCGACTCATGTCTAAAAAGATCCATGATCGATCCTAAAGTCATATTCGGCGTAGGTACAGCCGTATCCTTAGGATCAACGAAAAAGTAAAATTGCCTAAACCGTGAAGCGGCGCGGGCGCACATTCAAAGTGTCATGGGGAAGTGGAGAGTCAAACGGAACATAGAAAGTTTCAAAAAACAAAAAACTATCGGATTTATTGGAGAATCTACTTTATATTGTCCTATGAGCGAGAGGCTGCTCTAACAGTATTCGTAAGACGTTTACCAAGGATTGAGGCTTATATCGTCTGTGCCATAATCTTTGCGACTGATGATGGCGACCATGTCTGTCGCCGTAGGTCCACACCCCCCCGATTTCTCACCTGCGGAATCCACCTGCCCAATGCTTATTCTCCTTTCTGTACTTCAACATTCGGTATTTTAGTGAAGGAATTAAGGTCTGACCCCGGTACACCGTATTTCTCCCTGGTCCACACTGGAGGGTTGGTCGGCTGCATGTATCATTAGCGAGGCCATCCTGACCGCATCTCTGGCGGAAAGGATTCGCTGCAGCGAGTATATATCCCAAAGACACTGCATCCCGCTCCGTCCGATGCATGCATTAATCTCTTTCTCCTTCCTCCCTTCATCCCATCTTCTTACTCGATCGCTTGAAGACATCTATCTGCAAGAGATAACTCCATCCAATTACAGTTCGACTTCGCTATATATCGTCCCACAGACTTGGTAGTATCTAGGAGGGTTGCACTTCTGCCTCGACATATTATACCTTCTCGCAGACGACAGTATTAGGAAGCTTGAGATGTAGTTTTGATCGACTATACAGCAAACTTGTTCTTAGTTCTGACGATCGATACTATTAAACCTACCTTTCCGTTGGATCACAATTATACTTCACCCAGTAGGTTGTCCTAGGTCTCACGAGATATATCTATCAAGTGCCTCTGTCATACTCGTATAGGCCGAATGGTATATATATTCTAACAGAGGACCTTATAACTGACTGTTCCTCAAGGCTTATGATAGCAAACCTATCTATTTTATCTTCTAATGTGCATTGAGATCGAGATCGATAAAGTCTCGACTGTATCCTCATCGACAACAGCTGTTGCAAGAAGAGTATCCACCAAACCCAAGATGTCCAACTCAGATTCGACTGGGAGGTCCTCCTACCGCTCTCCGGAGCAGAAAAAGGTATCTCCTCAACCCATCATAGTTGAGAGAGCTTCTTCGACCACTCGCAAGTCCAGGACCTCTATCTTGAAGAGAACACCCTCTCGCAGCCCCAAGGAGGACAAGACTGTTAAGTTCGCAGTGGATGACTATGACCGACCACTATCTCCAAGTGAGATGCATCACCACAAACAGTCCCCCAAGGTTGCCGGAGAACCACGCAAGGCCGATTTGAAAGACAACTTGTCTGGCTTCCCAACTAATGGATGTGGTCATGGAGATTTTACTTTATTCCCCTCACCACTTCCATCACCTCCGCAGTCACCTCTCTTCGTACCTCTTCCATCCAAGGCCGAAGAGGCACGTCTGAGGGCACGTCAACAAAAGTTGGAGGAAGAGATCGACGAGCTTACCCGTCGTGCAGTTGCTCGTGAGGCAAATCACCGGGAACAGTTGCGCCGCCGAGTTGTTGAGTTTGAGACCTCAACTCGAGAGGATCACAAGAGAAGCAGAGAGATCGATATCGAAGGCTCTTTCTCTCGCAGAGTGGCCGCTAGAAGAGAGCGTTCTCGATCTGAGGACGGCTCCATCGATCTCTCTTCTTCTCCTCGTCATAGCTCCCCTCGTCCTTCTAAAGAAACCAAGACTTTTAGTGCACGTTTTACTGGAGCCTTTTCTGCTTCTCATAATCCTGCCAGTTTCTTTCCTTCTCCTTTGCCTTCCCCAGCTGTATCACAAGTTCGCACAACTGTACACTTTGAGAATTCTTCTAGTCGACCCCTGTCTCGTCGACAAAGTCACTCCCCTACCCGCCGCACCCAGCAAATGTCATTAGTCCCCCGCGGTGAGTGTTATAGGCCGCGATCGCTCGATAGCATCCCGACGCCGCCCTCCGCACAAAGCTTTGTATCTGCCACCCTCCCCCCTGCTGCTTCTCTTTTGCCCCCTGCCCCTTCCGTTCCTACCTCTTCTTCTGTTTCTACCAGCCCCCGTGGTCGTTCTATTACTCCCACTGACAACCGTGCTCGTGGAAGGTCGCCATCACCCGCCGATTCCATCTGCGCGGTTGTCGGTGGTACGGATACCGAAGAGGAGCTGGTTCTTGCGTCCGATGTAGAGATGTCAGACAGCGAGGACGAGGAGGACAATACGTCCACGACCACTTCATCCGCACCTTGCCGCGATCGACGACAATGCGAGAGGTGCGGACTGTTTGGGCATGAGCTCGTGGAGTGCGAAACCCCAGCTCTAGACCTTTCTTTGAGAAGGAATAATAGGAAGAGAGAATGGGAGCCCGGTAGCCCCAGCTTGGAGGGTGAAGTTGAAGGACCTCCAGCGAAGGGCTTGAGGCACGTTAAATGGATGAGTTTCGGAAACCGAGCTTAAGATGGTTCGCCGCGCCAGTCTTCATGTTTTTTTTTATCTTTTTCTTTTTATTTGATCTCCTGGTTTGCAATGTCTTCTTTCTTCTTTGCTAACAAGTTAACTTTCTACTGCTTCAGGCTGCCCTTGATTCTTACCCTTTTTTTGATACGTTCCCCCAGTTACTAGTTACTCGTTATGCCTTCAAACATGCATGTTACACTCGTTCCACCTGCCTTAATATCCCCATACATTCAACATTTTGCAACATATCACTGCGTTGTTTTCGATTCTACATTCGCTGAAAGCACTGTCATCTTCATGCATGTCACCCGATCTCGTTGCTATATTTCCCAGTCTTTTTTTTTACTTACTTTATCCCGGAGCAAGTAGTCAGTTTCCAGTTTCAAGCCTTCCTACCCCTTTTCAATTTCTGCACCTCGTTTTTTGTTAGTCTTAATTTTTTTTTTTTTGGTCTTCACATCACATCAGGATTGTCATTTTTTGGGATGAGACGCCGGATTATCCGGCAGATTAACGTTCCCTACCCTTATTTCCTTTGTCTATTTATTTTTAGTGTTTCTTATGCCCCGGCGTCCGGCGTTGGTCATTTCTGTTCTTCAGCTGGATTCGAGGAAATCATGGTCTTCCAACGGAGTCAGGTGTACAAGGGCGTTCCATGGCGTATAAAGGCGAAATCGGGCGTTCATATCATTTCTTTCATCCCCTTGTTTTCTGTTTCTTCACGCTTATGTTCTATTGCACCTCGTTTGCCTTGTATTTTTCAATTCAAACAGTATACCACTGGTGGCATTTATCTTCACACACTTTCTGTTTTCATTCGATATCCCCCTCAAAGTCATGTATACCCGGAGTTCCTTTTTTTTATTAGACAATGATGTACCTTTTCCTACCATTATTCACATATTCCTTTTAATCCTAGCTTCGGTAGTTTATGACTAACTATCCTGTAATTTTTTTTATTACTTTCCTAAGTACAAATTTGTTCTTCAACTTTCTTCCTTTCTAGTTTTCTAGGGCATTTCCACCGGGTTAGACAAAGCTTCAAACGAATGTAATAAGATGACTTCCTGTATATCCTATTTCCCCCCCATTCATTCCTTTATTTCCCTTTATTCCCTTTATTCCCTCCTATTCTACTTAAAAATTACCAAAAAATCATGTAATATCTTACCCCCCAAACTATTCACCGTATTCTCTTCCTCCCCCTCCTGTAACCTACTTCAAAAATTCAACTTTCTCTCTCCCTCCCTACCTAAAATTCCAACAACTTCAACACAGCTCCCTCAGACGAGGAGTCAAAAGTGTAGTTTTCGTCGTCGTGATCGCTCGATTCTAGATCCGGTGATATTCTGCAGGTAACCTCGTGATTTACAGGTGCATATTTAGACGTCCCCACCACCACCAGTGTACCCCGGACCCATGTAGATGTCTAGGATGTTTTCGGAACGAAACGGCTAAAGAGAGTGCTTGGTAGGCTGCGATGAGATGAGCTTATATTTACTATTATATTAATTTGGAAGAGAGAGGTGTGTTTGGTATAATCCGGAAACCGGTTTTGGAGACGAGATAGAAGTCTGACTAGGGGGGGATTCGACAGGTGTGGCGGTGGAGTCGGTAGATTTAAAGGCTTGATTTTTGAGCTCAGGCCGTGGTGATAAGCCTTTCGGATCACGGCTGATAAAAGTTAAGTTATAATAATATAAGTAACTTTCAAGGATTTAGATAACATGGTCTATTTGACAAATAATCCAAAGGTTTCCGGCTCTAGTAAGTAAGTATGTACTTACTAATCTACAAGCGCTATAGAAAGTTACTTCATACTGAAGTTTTTCTCTCTGTCTTGTATATATTAATTAACAAGATATCCCGCTTACTCTGCATAGCCGCTCGAGAGATATCACAAATGCGAGATTCTCTCGCATTTAGTGCTTTGGAATCGAAAGCCACATATGCAAGCTCTGGATGGATAAGGGATATGAGATCATGATATTAAGCATGTGAACAGCTGCGTTTTGATAGGAGCGCTCTGACAGGGTTGGCGAAAAAGTATAGTATGCAAGTTGCAGGATTAGGATTAATTACTTGTTCTAGCAGCTCGGTGGCTTTCTTCATAGCAAAGTTGGTACCACGTTCGGGGACGAGGGTCAACCCCTTGCATAGGCTGCAGATGCATACTAGTCTGGTGGTCACTCCGGATGCATACCGGGCTTGAAGAGTTCTAGTTAGTTATAGTGGAGGTAGCAACTTATAACTTAAGTAATCATACTAAATTAGCAGTCAGGAACCACAGTTCGAATCCTTTGAGAGTCCAAGTGGGTCGATGACGAGAGGTGTTTAACGTTTATCTCGACGACTGAGAGAAATCATGATCCTCTGCTTCAGTTTTTGAAGCTTCGTGATATACTCACCTGCCTTTGCGTTGTCGAGTGTTCATCTTCAACAACACAATCATCCCACAAGGTCATGATGGTCTGCTGACTATTCCGACTGGGTATGCTTCTTTGATATCCCAGTTTTAAATTCTAAGAGCGAAGGAAAGTCGTATGTGCCTTGCATATTTCCGCTTTCGCGAAGGATTTTGTATGTGGTTGTTCAGCTGATGTTTCGTCTGATATGTTCGGGTTCCTGAATGACTTGCCATGGAGGTGGGCCTGGGTTTTGACTCATGCTAAGCTATGGGGCTGATAGTTCTTGAGATCATGATCATTATAAGATTCAAATAGGTTCGAAAGTATTGAAGTGTGATGTAATAGATCATTTTGTGGCTATGAGTATTACAGTAGTTACATCAAGCCTAGGATGAATAACCCCTCGTGAAGGCTGTCTGTGACCATTTCATAGGGCTGAACCTTTAGACTTTAGTTTTGTAATGTACCAGTACTTGGACTTATAATTAAATTAATCTTGAAGTCTTAAATCAATTCGTGACCGCTTTGGTAATGTAATATACATGATTCGTAGCTGAGAAGTAGGACTCGCTATGCCGCTGACCTCTCATCTTGAGGTTGAATTTACAACCGGGCACCCTTGCCTGCTGAAGAATGCATGTATGGGCTGTCTTTACTCCTGCTCACAACCTTTCTAGCATCCTCTGCTGTAATCGGTCTCGCCTCGATTGCAGGGTTGTATCCAATATGGTTCTTCCAGCCTCCAGCGCCACTTCCATCGCTCTTAAGTCCCTCCTTGCCGTCTCCCCTCCTCAAAACACTAACGACGCAGGCGCCACCGAGTCCAAGGTTTTGGGCAATTGCAAACTCTACGCCCTTTCCGTCGCCACCGTAGAGACGGTTTGTAGCCCAGCCTCGCAAATGCCATACGAGCTCGGCGGCTTGCGCAATTCCTGTTGCACCGAGAGGATGGCCCTTTGAAATTAAGCCACCGGATGGGTTAACGACGCATTGACCGCCATATGTGATACCACCCCGTCTAACTAGCTCGTGGGCCTTTCCATGGTCGGATAGACCAAGGGCATCAATAACTACCATCTCATTTGCTGAGAAGCAGTCATGGACTTCGATAATCTTCGCCTTCTTTGGATCCGTGACACCGGCCTCTTTGTAGGCGATCTGTGAAGCTTTAACGGTCATCTCTGAACCGACCAGCGATATTGAAGAGTTTGAGAACAAATCTGGAGAGTCTGTAGTAAGTGACTGGCCGGCAATAAGAATAGCACGGTCTGCAAGTTCTGGATGTGCCTTCATAAATGTCTCGTTAACCATAACTGCTGCTGCTGCACCATCTGAAGTAGGACAGCACTGCAATTTAGTCAACGGATCGTGAATCTTCGGGCTACCCATAACTTGTTCAAGAGTATAAACATCTTGGAACTGGCTGTACGGGTTATTCACACTGTGTGCATGATTAACTCGGGCAATTTCTCCAAAATCTTCTGGCTTGGCACCGAATTTCTCCATATATTCCCTCCCTGCGTTTCCGAACAATTGTGCTGCTCCGGGGGCCTTGGGAGAGGCACCACGGGTTTCATGCATCTTCCACATTGTCTTATCCAGCGGATTTGTGCGATCGTCGAATTTGGAAGAGAGGGAACCTGGTTGCATTTTTTCGAAACCGACTACTAAGGTACAGTTTACTGCGCCGTGCTGTAGCCATTGACGGGCCATAAAAAGGCCCGACGAGCCTGTAGAGCAGTTGTTGTTGACATTGAGAATGGGAATTTGTGTCATCCCTGTTTTCCCATATGTATTAGCACCGCTGATATCCATCGCTGAGTGCGAAAAATAGATAAATCCATGAACATACCGAATTGATAGAAGACACGCTGACCGCAAGTGCTGTCGCCGTAAACGTAGCAAGCAACGCCCTGCTCGACGTCGTCGTAGTTGATGCCGGCATCAACCATAGCCTTTACACCAGCCTCGAAGCCCATTTCTGGGTAGTCTACCAGACCGCGTGGCTTGATGAACTTTGTCATCCCAACGCCGATGATGTAGACATTTTGCTTGGTCGCCATTTTGACTAATATAATATATACTACGCTGAAAAAAGAAGAAGAAGCTATATGTATGGTTTAGATAGAGTCCAACGAAGCAGTTTTGCCAAAGAGATATCAAACATTGTAGAAAAGTTTCAAGGTGGAGGGAGGCAAAGATATAAAATATTCCCCAGACCTCAGGTCTCGGCTACGGACCTTCCGCTTGCTGAGAACCGACGTGATAATGCAGCTAAATGCGACAGGGCAAGGAGCGTATGCTTGTGATTTAGTTTCCAGCCGCGGCATCTACGCCCGACCTTCCTTGGAGGTGTCGCCTTCCCCAACATTCATTCGAGAACTGGCCGCGGCCTATTTTCAAGGTTTCTCCCCACATTCTCCACAGTTTGGTGCTTTGTGGACAACACTTTGGCTTTAGCAGTTTGAGACATTGGCATTGATATCAGCGAGCTAAATACGAAAATACGAATCGACATAGGATAGTGATATGTTAGGTGGATTTGCACTTCAGGTAAAACCCACGCGGTCAAAGTTCACTTGAATAAAAGTTATATCAAATGTCGTTGTATTTTAAATGCGTGTGTAACGTTATTCAATTCTATCTCGTGGCCGCATGGGAATACAGAGTTGGAAGACCGGCTCTACCCAGAACGTTAAACTCAAGTCGAGATTCGAATTAATATTAATAAGGTATTCACGATTGACATGCGATTCTTAAAAAATGCTAATAAGGATACCAACCTCAACTCGATTTTGAGCCGGATCAATACTAGTAACGCTATCATCCAAACTCGGAAGCAGCTCTTTCCGAGCCCCATATCTCCGCTCTATCGGCTGCTGAGTCTGAAAATCGTGAAGATCTGCTAACATGTCTGTTGGAAACTTCGACCACAACGCATTTTTGAGACCATTTCTCCGAAAGTTATACGCTATAGACGTCCGAAGAACGAAGTTTTTATCCGTTTCAAGAAAATGTGATTCACGAGATATTTCGTAGAAAGATGTATTTATCTCACTCTATACAAGATAGATATTCGCGATGATGTACAATCTGAGCTATGTTAATCACCCTCAGCACTCCGCTTGAATAAAAGCACATCCCCGTAGCAGGAGACCCACGAAAGGATATTCACCCAGTTACATCCTCCTAGATCAGAAGATAGTACCTACACATCATTCGAAGATCGCGTCCCATCTTACCACGGATAAACTCTTTTTTTCAAAACATTATAATTTCCTAGTTTCGTTTAATTCTGAATTTATATCATGTCTGCCATGACCATGGAAGCGGAGCTTAAGCGAATCCGTGAGCTCTACGATCCTCGAAGAGATTCCACGGATATATTCGCGAAACAATATATGATACCTACGCATAATAATGATTATGAAGATATTATTGTTGACCCCAGTGGAGTATACGGGAACATGTCAAACACGGTACCTCCATACTCCCTAGAAACCCCTGTGGAACCTACGGAGTTGTACACCAACCCGACGAGTAGGCAATTTGGATATGGCCATGCTATTCAATATTCAGAAGAAGAGAGAATGCTGCATTGTATGTTTTACCCTTTTATCCCTTCACTATGATCCGAAACTGACTAATTACCTAACTTACGTTATTAGTTGATCCTAGTTACCGTCCCCACCGTCGGCTCATCCGCACCGGCCAGGCCGCAACTATTATTTTTGGAATTGTTTTCGTCCTCTCATCTGTTGCTTTTTCGATTACGATTGTGGGAAAGCCATATATAAGCTATCCCGCGAAAATTATTCAGACTGTCTTGGTAGCCATTGGGGTTGTGATGTATTTGCTTCGGGCGTTGGTAAATTGGCGCGTAAGGGAGGCTCTTGGTAGGGTATTAGGGAAAGGCAGTAGCTGGGGCTGTGAGAAACATGTGCAATGTTCCGAGCAAAGGTATCGGCTTTATGGGGATAGAAGATTGGAGATTGCGTTTGGGAGTTTAGTGATCTTTATGGTGGGTTCTTGCGCCATTTGCTGGTTTGTGAAGCTCTAAATAGAAACTAGCGGTGTTTCTTCCCTGATACTAGCCTTCATGCGATATAGTTTACCCCCTTGGGTTTCTCGAGAGTCTGATATTTGTATTTTACGATACTATAAAATGTTTCCTTGGTTAGCACTGTTAATTAACCTAAACTAAAACGAGGCGTTTAACATCCCCCGGCGAGATTCGACCTTTGTATACCCAATATAGACAAATTATAAGCACAACTAGGGGACCCTATAAATCACCTTCGTTTTTTAAAGACCTTGGATATAATGGTATCCTTGCGTCGCGATATTGACATGATGAATTAAGTACAGCCTGGCTAGGACCCGACCGGTTCGCGAATTCGAATTCGACTAAAGAGATGATTTGCATATTTGTAAACCTGGTCGAGGGAATCCTAATCACCTAGACAAGTTGGCCGAAAATTTAGACATCATAATAGATAGATATAGGTTAATTGAATTATAGTTTCGAGAGGCGGTATTCCTAACAGATGCAATTTTATTAGCTATCCAGAGCGTCGCTGAAGACCTCGGTGGCCAGCTTAAAGCAGAGATCCAACAACAACACACAATTTCAATCCAGCAGTGATCGAAGTTAACCAGTTCCTCCTATATGCAAATATCAAGAGTCCTTTGGTCCTGTCATAAATGCTGTCTTTGGATCCAAGTAAAAATATGCTAGCCGAACTTACTTTTGAGAAGAAAAAACCGAATCGATGGTGTGATGAAGAAAACGAGGACAAGAGATCTTGGTAAAACTCAAGGAGCCTATGCTCAGCTAGTGAGGGGCGGTAATTGTTCTATCGGACCAGTTTTAGCTCCAACCCCCGTCTGCCGGACCTTCGAGGTGGCCCGAGATCGGTTTTCAAAACTGTCATCCCAAAACCTGTCCTTTGGTATCCATCAGGAAGGCCTAGGCCCCTGAACTTTCCTTTTCGTATGCAGATGGTAAAATATCGGCCGTCTAAGCTGTAGCTTAGGCTGTCTGCTGCTTTTCAACAAAAGGTATCATTCAGGCAAGGTTGTATCGAGTCATGCCGCTAAACTTCGATCTAAAGAACCAACTATAGGGTCTAGACTTAAGAGGAGACATTATTCCACCGATCCCTTGCCTGCATCAGCTCAAGTTACTCACCAAAAGGTAGCTCAGCATATTTACATGAGCTCCGTAAGGCCTTATCGCTCGAGTAGTAAAGCAAGGTTCTGGTGGTCATTCGTATATGCAAGTTCTTCCATAAGCACCCTTGTAGATGCGGGAACGAATCCGAGCTCGCGACCAGTAGCAAAAGACTCAACCTGCAAATGCAAAATGCGGCCTCAACATTCCAAGACAAATTTCCCACACATGATTCTCACACATCCAGCTAGCCGTTTGGAGGAAACTTTCTATAGGACCAGAAAAAAACAAATGCATTACATACACCGTTGGATAAGGGACGGCTCAGTGGGACTAGCGTACCGTTCTCACGAAGGAAACAAATAGAGACACGGCTAGAGCGGCAGGAATGGGAACGTAAAGGGGAAAGCTGAAAAGCAAGACATGCGTCGGCCGACTCGACAAATAACGAAGATACTGCCGCTTGGGACCCTCTTTGACTCACCTTATGGGAAAGACATTGATTCGGGCTAACTGCAGCCGGATGAGCGCGATACTCGATGTATATTTACGGAACTCAGTGAAAACATGTGTGAGCTCGACTCGACTTCCGACGAAACATACGTAGGTATGAGGTACCCTCCCCCCCCGCAAGGGAAGCTAGGATGAGGAGGCGTCCACGTTCCTCCCTAAAGGCTGCAGCCGTGTCACTAGAGGCCCCGAAATTGACCAATAAATCAAGGACTTGGGTCTATTGAGGCATATTCGCTCTCCCGGGAACTATGCAGTATATGGTTATTGTCATCTGCAGAGAGTAAACTTTCCATATTACCCCCTTGTGCTCTGCAGGGAACTAGAACTTTATAGATTCAAGAATAAGCGTTTGAGCTTACCCATTTCTAGGATTTTCAAGCGAATAAGCATGCCGTGATAACAAGAGGAGAATTTCTCCTGCCGGTTGGATGTGTAACTATCACCAAATACTTTACTTCCTCGGAATATAGCAAGCTTGTGAAAGAAAATATTAGCATTTAATTCTAGCATACCGACAGATAGTGAGCCAATAGCGTTCCGATGGTCCATTGGAAAAGCAGCTGAACGGCAAGAACCACCAAGGATCGATGATTTAGCGCCTCTCGTGATAGATCGGGAAGCGAGGGTGTATGCAAGAGGTTCGAACATATCTTGGCTATTAGTATTATTGATCAACAGGTTATGGTTCAAAAAGCCAAAATAACAAGCTAGTAGTTTCCCAAACCTTGTACGACGCATTATTACTCGCACCATTACCATCCATTCTTCAAGGTATGGGGCTCTTACGAAATAAACTTATCAGGCCCCTGGAAATGGTTGGCTGAGAGGCTTCGGGGCACAATCTCGATCTGGACTTTCACCATTCCGGTATATAGTGGGGATCCAATTGGAACAAGAAGGCGTAAGAATGTCGGAAATTTTCCAGGGCTATTTCCGCGAGCTTAACCCAAAATCTCGCACCATGGCTCCACGATAAGGGCATATGGAGTCAATGGCTTGCTTACCTAGACATTAGATCAAGATCTGCGGGATTGATCGGTAATCTTGAACTTGCATCCGACGCAATGAGAGGTCACGGAACTCGTATGCAGGTCTCCTTTTCGGGTACTAAAGAGTGGATTTGGGAAGGTTTCTTCGTGTTCTATAACATCATTATAATGCATGGTTACTTTTTTGTGGCCTTAGTGCAGCGACGGATTCATGGATTCGCTTCGACCCATTGGCTGCCACGATATCAGGCTACCCAAGCCCCTGGGCCGCTGGGTATAACACCACATTTGCCAATATAATAATATCTATAGCTACGGGACGGCGACCTCAGACAATTCTTTTGATTCTGTTGATATTCAGGGGCGTTAATAAGTTTGGTCAATTGATCAATATCGGAGCCCTGGCTGGATCCAAGACATCACGTAACATATATAATTTGTTTAATCGATCATATACAACCGGAGCTATTATACCAATCTAGGTATAGGAGAAAAGCCGTCTAGTCCACATTTTCCAGGGATGGGATCATAAACTCACAAACTGATACAAAATGTCGCAAATTGTCAGCGCTAGAACATCGATCTATCACCTGCCGAGTAAGCGAGTTCCGCTGATGTTAGGCCGTTTATTACATTCGGGAACGTTTTGTGAGGTCAGAATTGCACGTAGCTTGGGGGCACAATTGTGATAGGTGCCTGCCACAAAGGGTGTGCAGAGCTAGTTAGCGGGCTCCACCCAGCACTACATACACAGCACCTACATTTTGCGTTGCCCGTAGTTTTCCCACACCAGAACTTCTCTGGTTTCATTCGAACATGCGGCAGGAGGCAAAGACATCGTGGGGAGCATTTCTGGTAACTGGCAGCTTAGTTCCATCCAAACTTAGAGCCAGCGTCAGGCCAGGTCCAGCTGGGGGGATTAGGCATATATGCTGATCTTAATCACGTCGAAGGGGGGTTTATCAACAAGCCTCCAATCGACGCCATTTCTACGGAAAAGATTTCCCTTTGGTCTGAAGTTCGTTCCGGCGGCGGCCTCCTCCTGCGCCATTCGGCTATACTTCCATCAAACAGGAACAGCCCAAGTGTCGCCAACATTTCCCGATTCTTCATTCCTTAGACAAACAGGTGCTGCACATGCAGCTGCCACAGACGGACGAATAGCAGCGCGGCGTTCACACCCGATCGAGGGGTGGATCTTTCGCGAATCTGGGTTAAGCCTCAACCTCTCAGCTGGCTCAGCCCCTCTCCCCCTGATTAGGAGTGGCGAATGCCCAGGATTAACCACGCCGAACGGCCATACTGCTGGACCATGCCATGTACATGTCCGGTTGGTCTCAGATTACAATGACGACAGCAGCTTCACTCGAAGCAGCTGCACCGACGAGGAGCTGAAGTGGTTTCTAGTGCATTTTTCCCTGATACCCCTCATGCAATAACGGTCCCAGCTATAGGCTTGCATACTGTCCCTTTCCCATTTCGAGGTTAGAGACAGTACTGCAGTAACCCAACCTTCCTCAATGTGGAACCAACCTTGCTTCATGATTTCCGCAGAAAATCTAAAAACAAACGGCAGATACCATCCATAGCAGAATCGGTGGTCTCCTGCGAGATCTGCCAAAAGAAAGCATTTTGGTGTGGAAAAAAAAAAATAGCAATCACGAAGTATACGGCATTGGCCTGGCGTGAATCTTGCATTTCTCGGCTGCCCTCGAAGCTAGCGGAGCAGAAAATACGCAAACTCATCAAGCCACACCCTCTAAAATCGAACAAGGGTCTCCACTCTTTGGGTCCGATTAATTGAAGATCTAAACCTATCGATTGGGTATCCACGATCTGGATCTCCAAGGGAGGAAATTGCGACCTTCCCAGCACGCGGGAAGCGAGCGACGGGACCCAGATAAAATTCCTCCAGCTCAGGTGATATTTATTGTGATCGTACAACGGGAGACAAAGTAAACGACAAAAGAAAAGACGAAAGAATATTCCGCCGTCATTACAGGCACATGCCGCCATCCCTGACCCGGGACGAGCAACTAAGGGCCATACCGACTAACGATTTTAAGTTCTCTATAGCGAGGTTGTCGGAAATAATCAACCGTGGACATAGCTGGATAGCTATTTGCAAGCCACGAGTCGTTGGTGTGGACAAGCAATTGGAGGACGCTAGTAAGTTGATAACCGAAATAGTGTCTTGATACAACCAGTACGAATGGGATGCGGTTCCAGCACTTGCCATGTCCCTCTTGTGGCCCCACAAAGATCTTGAACGTCTCAGTCGACCGACATGTATCTTTGGTGGGCACCACCGTCCAATCCGGGCTTTAGGCATCTGCGTAAGTGCGATCTTTGTAAGAAAAACAAACCAGCATTTTCAAAAGTATTGCAGCCCTCCTGCTAATCCACTCCAAAAGCTCACCTGCAGCTGCATATCTGTCCCGTAACACTGGGAATCCAGTTTAGGGACGTTCCAACCCGGACCAAAAAGGCATTGTAACAAATCTCGTGTATAGCGCGAGAAATTTGCGAAGCTAAAGGTAGGAGGCCGGCACTATCGCTTCCCAACCCCTGCTCCAAAATCCGAAGAGGCATCAAGCGGCATCTCGCATCTAGAATCTAGATCTATATATTACCCCACGAACGTCAGTTTATTGTTCCTGTTTGTTTCATTGCCTCACACTGATTCACTTTCTCCCTTTTATCCAATATCTCTTTTTTTTTCTAAGACGGTGTACTCTTTCTAACGTTCAGGGTATCTATCGGAGATTTTTATTTCAGTCATATGATCCTTACCGCCCAACTCTCGCGGCTTGAGACACAGAACACCTGCATTTCGACATAACGTTCGCGCATCGAACAACGAAGCCGTCCTCGTGATAATCATAAGGCTAGCCTTGTCCTCAAAGGTTAGTTCACCCCGCGTTGCGTTGTCCAGTGGCAATATTATCTTCGTCGAAGCACTAGAATTTGAAGTTACCACATTATGATGTAGCATACTGACAGGTTGGAGAAGAAAATCGCCAGTTGGCAGTATTAGCTACCAAAGTTCGAATTTGCACTGCAGCTACACGGCCCCTTGGTTGCACAAAAGATTTTTTCTCAACCGGACAGGTAGAGTCACAAAACAGAAAATAGGGCGGGTACGTGTTTTCCGAGCTGAACTTCTGTTTCATAGCCTTAACAGTAGTACGCAAGATATAGACGAACTCCAAAAATTCAATCCGAACTACTTGTCACAATAGAAATTAAATCCGCAAATTTAGAGCTCTAACACCATTGTTACGTAAATTCGAGGTACGGAATTAACAGTTAGCCTGATTATAGGTGGCTTGCTACTAAGTAGTTAGCCCTTTTTAGACCACAGCGTCGCTTGAACTACGCTAATATCATAGCTACATTTGCTCTACAATAGACTTTATTGCGTTTTGGCGACGATTCCACAATCTCTCGGAATGTCATATCAAAACCCTGCAAATCCAAGTTCAAGCCTTGCCGATAGGCCCCGGTTCGACATAATCGCCTGGTACCCCCATTACCAGTCATGCCTCAAATATTTTCTAAACACCGCTCAACACTCTTATCCATGCCAAGCCCTTGCCGCATTCCTTAACATCCGTTTGCCGTATCAACAGTCTGAGCCAGCGAACGAGTATGTCAACATGCCGCCCGCTTCGCCCGGCACATCAGGATCTTCAAGAACCAGAAATCAAGTCTGGGTGTCTTTGATTCCATACATCCGAAGGCTTGTCGCTACAGGTTTTGATAAGCCAGGTATTTTGCACGGGTGGTTCGGAGATGACTGGGCTTTGGGTATCGGCCCAATGCATGAGAGCGAGAGGAGAAATTTCTTGTTCGCAGCAAAGAGTGGTGGATGGTCGAATGTTAAGAAAGAATATGATCAAGTCTCAGACGAGGCTATTCCGTTCCTGCGACCGCTAGACAACGTTGGCGACGCAGAAGTCCGCGCAGCTGAAGCATCTTGGAGTGATTGGTGAGTGGTACACGTATAACATAATGGTGACAAAAGATACCGAATTTTATTCTAATGCGGAATATTAGGCTCGCACTGGAAGACTGGATGTTCCCCACCACTGACCGACAGAAATGAGACGTGCTCATGACATCGCTTTAAGGCTATGTCCTTCCGATGTCATGACCCCATTTTCACGCTCACATAAGTCAAGGTATGCACTGGCAAGTGGTACTTTCAAACTTCACCGGCACATGTGTTGGCCTCCAAAAAATGCAACATTTTGCGCTCACAGGGACGGGTAGGCCCACCGCCATGTGGTCCGAGTGCGCAAGCTATTATTTTCTTTTCTTCTCTCACAGAAGTGTAACTTTCCCCTTCCCTTATAATGCTTGTAGTAATCCATCTTTCTATTCTCTCATTTCCTTCCAAGCCCATCTTAGCGGATATATCATTTTTGTAGTTTAATTGCGTCAAGCGCAAATGTCAGCTAGCTGAAATGTATCATTCAATTAGTATCGATATTGAGAAATCCTATTTCTGTTTCCCATGGAAAATTCTATGGCGAACCCGAAGATTGCTACTTCTGCCTATTCGAGTAAGCGGTAACACCGTTTAAACCGTGCAACTGCCGTAAAAGCGCATAAAACGGTTAAGGCATTGGGTTCAACCTGCTAGCTTCGATCCCAAGCTCCTTTGTGCGATCCATGGAGATCGCCACCAGGACCAACCAATCAAGGAATTGGAGTTTAAAGGGGATATACTACCCAGCTTAGAGTTTGTGGCTGCGGCGCAGATGGCTTAAATTAGCCCATGTTGAAGCCACAGCGCGATATTCGATGTTTGATCGATATTCGCCAGCCGTCAACCGATTGTAAACTTAATGTGTGGAACATAGCTAGGCTGGTATATGAAGAATTCGGTTTGACCAGAAAATATTCTTATAATCGTAAGGTTTGATAGTAAAAAAACCCAGATAACTAGCCGATCCTATCCTTTTCTTCAAATTAAATGCATCGGGTCTGCAATGTGAAGTGATAAAAATGGTATCAAGCGAACGGGACCCTGCGTCTAGTATGATGCACTGACATTGACATGGTTACACAACTAGGTAGCTGGCCAGGCCTGTGTACTCCATACGTACTACGCCGAAATGGAATCCCGAATGAACTATTTCGAATTAAGCCATCCTAGATATTTTCTCAAAATCGAATTATCAATTACACTCGATATACCTGCATGCTTGTTGGACCTCCACGTTGGAAAGCTGGGTATATTGCGTTGAAGAGCTCGCGTACATTTCCCACCGACTTCTCCCGACTTATCCCGATGCCACTGCGAGATCGCAACACATACCCTGAAGCTTCCCCATCTTCATCGCCCCGGATTACGAAAGAACGTCAGCCAATTCGCCGTTACTGTGTTTAGATCTAATCAGATCCATCAATCCGGGCTCTCATTCGCGGGGAATACTGAGGCGCTGCCTAATAGCAATTAGGGTACTGGTGTTCGCCGGCGTATTACGAGAGGCTAACATAGAGCTCACGCTACCACCCCTTCAATATTTTACGTAGTTTTTATGCGAACCTTTAACGTGAGCCAAACTCCGTATCAGTTGGTGCCGGGTGAAATCGCACGAGGGATCCTACCGCTTTTAGTGCATACGGTGTGGTTAGCCCGGCTCTGCCCATTTGGGATGTGAACCCGACCTATCGAATGCCTCTCCGGGAAAATTATCGGGTTCGAACGGCGTCCTCGCCTAGTCCAAGGAGAACGCGGTTCCGATTTCCATGCGATATCGGATGGGGAACATAGGCCTTGACTTTCGGAGGTCAAACTGTCTGAACAGCATTATGAATCGGGCACGACTTACTACCCGCCAGCTCTACTAGCTAGCCACAATGGCCTGAAGCTAAGGTGCTTTCGAGGAAGGCTACAAGACAGCTTCTCAACTTTATCCAACAATGATGCGCACAGAATGGGGGCTCCCCTGTTACAGGCCGCAGGCTTCCCTGGACTTTTATTTGTCCGGTAGGGAAGTTAATCTGTCGTTCAGAGACAAAACCCATGCGCGGATGCTAAATGCAACCAAAAACCTTCGACGGACGATAAATCTGGCTGATAAGGATGGAGCTAACGCAAGCCATCAAGGAAAAATTCGACTATTCGGCGACAGCGGCACGCACTTGAGATGACAAGCCTCACCTCGTGTCGTGTCGAATGCATGAAACGGCGCTCTAATTGGAGAGAATCCTAAGGTTTTTCTTCACTATTTGGGGCTGGAGATGAGCTTGTCGCCATCGATATAACAGCGTAATATTGTTTGCAAGCAAAAACTCAACTCATCATGCAGGTATTCTGCAGCTACTTCTGCGGGGCAAATTTTTTCCACATACTCTTATCAATTTGCAACGTACGAGACCACCACAGACCCTTCAGGCAAATGTCAAGAAGCTCTAACGTTTGAGGCGAAGACTATCGGGATTTTCGCCCATGGTTGGCACCCAATTGGTTTCCGATCCATTCTTCGGCAAGGTTCACAATCCCGGACCAAGGCGTGGGGTGGCACCCCTTCCATTATGGATGCTGCATGCTGCAGACCCCTCCACCACAAGCTTTTTATCGCTCGCATGCGCAACCAAACACGGAAACCCCGCGGGAATACCAAGCAGATGTATTCAAGGAGCGTAATGGGATTCTCTAGTCCACACTTACTTGGTAATTCAGCGTGTCGCTCGTGGCAAGTGAGACCATGATTTTGCTTCTTTAGGTTTTTGAAACGCCGAATACGCTCATCCTACTAGAGCCAAAATACAACTAACCGGCTGTCAATGTGGCCAGACGATGATTATATAAAGGCGAGCTTCAGGACTCGAGTTTAAAGATTCTCCTTTCTAGAGACCGTGCTTCACATCCTCGAACTCTCCAGCGTAATTGATATAGCTTCTTGAAGGAACTACACTCCAAAACACACATCTACATATTCCGACTTTTTAAAAGATACCATATACCTTAAATCAAGATGTCCAACCTTCCAGTTGAGCCAGAGTTCGAACAGGCCTACAATGAGCTTGTCTCCACCCTTGAGGCTAGCAGTCTCTTCGAAAAGCACCCAGAATACAGAACCGGCTTGAAGGTCGTTTCTATTCCTGAGCGTGTCATCCAATTCAGAGTCGTCTGGGAAGATGACAAGGGAGAACTCCAAGTCAACAGGTTAGCATGATATTTGCCACCTAAACTATACTATCGTAGAAGCCTCTTTCTAACATGGGAACTATCTCTATAGGGGTTTCCGTGTCCAATTCAACTCTGCACTCGGTCCATTCAAGGGCGGTCTCCGTTTCCATCCATCCGTCAATCTGTCTATCCTTAAGTTCTTGGGTTTCGAACAGATCTTCAAGAATGCTTTGACTGGCTGTAAGATGCATTCATCTAAACATACATTCCTCGATTATAAAAACTAACCGTATCTGATAATCAATAGTGAGCATGGGTGGTGGCAAGGGTGGTTCCGACTTCGACCCAAAGAGCCGCAGTGACAACGAAATCCGACGATTCTGCCAATCTTTCATGCGCGAGCTTTCGAAACACATTGGTGCCGATACCGACGTTCCAGCCGGTGACATCGGTGTCGGTGGCCGAGAGATCGGTTATCTCTTCGGTGCCTACAAGAACTACAAGAACATCTGGGAAGGTGTCTTGACCGGTAAGGGCGGTTCTTGGGGTGGTTCGCTTATCAGGCCCGAAGCTACCGGTTACGGCTTGGTTTACGTAAGTAGTCTTTCGGATGTAAGGTATTTGGTATGACGACCGGGTGATGCTAACTCGCGGCAATAGTACGTCAACCACATGATTCAATACCGTACCAAGGGAGCCGAATCCTTTACCGGCAAGCGTGTCGCTATCTCCGGTTCCGGCAACGTCGCTCAATACGCTGCCCTCAAGGTCATCGAACTCGGCGGTGATGTCATCTCTCTGTCCGACTCTAAGGGTGCCATCGTCCTCGCTGAGGGTGTCAAGTCTTTCTCGAAAGAGGATGTTGACAAGATCGCTTCCCTCAAGTTGAAGCACGGATACCTCCACCAACTCCACGCCTCTGACTCCGAATTCTCCTCCAAGTTCCAGTACGTCGAGGGCGCCAGGCCATGGCTCAAGGTCGGCCAGGTCGATGTTGCTCTCCCATCTGCCACCCAAAACGAAGTCTCCGCTGAGGAAGCCGAAGGCCTCATCGCCGCTGGCTGCCAATACATCGCTGAAGGTTCCAACATGGGTTCCACCCAAGGTGCCATTGACGTCTTCGAGGCTAACCGAAAGGAGGGTGGCCAAATCTGGTACGCTCCCGGTAAGGCCGCCAACATGGGTGGTGTCGCCGTTTCCGGTCTTGAGATGGCTCAGAACTCCGCTCGTGTCAGCTGGACCTTCGAGGAGGTCGATGCTAAGCTCGCTGATATCATGGAAACTGGCTTCAAGGTCTGCTTGGACACTGCTAAGGAGTACATTCCAGCCAAGGAGACTGAATTGCCATCCTTGGTCGGTGGTGCCAACATTGCTGGATTCGTCAAGGTTATCGAGGCCATGCACAACCACGGTGATTGGTTCTAAATTATCTCCCGCTCACTGGTTGGGTTGGCAGGATTTGAGAATAATTTAGTATCTTGAAGAAAGAAAAACCACCCGTTTTCGGTTTTCGGTTTTTTATTTTTTATTTTCTTGATTCCCTTTTTTATTTTATTTTTTTTGTTGCTCTTTTGTCTCTTCTATCGCACTGCGACCATGCATGCAAATTAGTAACTAAGTAGTAAGTATGACTTTGGGTTCAAGTTTACGGGATTTGGCATGGTTGGGGGCGTTTTTGTAAATACTCTGAGATACCGGGATAGTTGATGGCATATATCCTTTTCCCTTTTTTTTTATTTAGTTTAGCATGATATCAATGAAATTCAATGAACCAATTACTCAAGAATCTACGTTTACATTTTCATATTAGAAAAGTAGTATCTATTTGACTTTGAAAAATATTTGGTATCACAATTTGTAAAAGTGTACACGTATGAGCTGAATGTCGCGCTATGGGCTGGTAGTCGCGCTGGATTCGAAGGGGGGCGAAACGGGTCCTATCAGGGTTAGGGGTTAGGGTGGCTAGGTTTCGGGTTTAGGTGAGCTCGTGTGTGCGGGTTTAAGGTATCTATGAAGTACCGAAAACTTAAATTTCGTTGTTCCGTGAATTGAGCGAGATAGTTGTAAGGCTAGCCTTGAGCTAAGGCTGCGTCCGAAACCGGATTCATGGATTTAGATATGAGATTTTGGGTATTAACCGCCATGTCTAGAGAAAGTTATGGGCTGCCGTATATTGGTGGAGAAGTATCGTACATACAAATTTTTACACGTTTTCATTACAGGTGTGGCTCTAGCATTCACCTAAATTATAAGGCTATTACATGCACTGGGTTAAAACATAAATGATAAGATAATAATTATCTTAAATGGATATAGAACAAATCATTATATTCCACAATGCATCAGCAGGCCACACTTCTAACTAGGAAACCACTCCCAACTACTCTCCTTTTCAACCAGGATATCACGGATTGAACCTTCAGGTCTTGATCATGGTGTTAATTAGTGATCTTGTGGTATTTTGTGCGTTGACATCTGCAAACGCCAAGGCTGTAACCTTACAGGGAATCCTTCGCAGCTCATTATCGCGTAACAGCTCTCATCCACTTCCACATTCATTCGGCCACGCCATAAAACCACGAGGGACCCATTGGCCATGGCTTCAACAATCACCCCAACTTCAGCCGAAACATGGTGTAAATTCCTACGTAGAAGTCTTTCTATGCGTGTAGATATTGAACAGGTATGTTACCTCCCCTTTTTTTGCCAATGGTACCCTTTTTTTATATTTGTACTTTTCTAGCACCCCCTTCGGAAGGGTTAACCAAAAAGTTATGAAAATTAGCCATGATAAATAAGTTAACTCGTATATTCCACCCACTATCCCCTCCGGCCGAGGAGGGGGTATGTCTTTTCTCGAATTTTTCCAAAAAAAATAGTTTGAAACATACGCTCGTTCCATACTTCGAAAGGCACCGATACCACGCGACGATCTTGCGGCTGTTTTGATCTCGCCGACGGCTTATCCCACCCCGCAGTTATCGGTCGATCCTCGGTATTTGCTGTATATACAGCGACTGGTGTCAGCGAATATCGTCCCTCTGTCGAGTTTTTTACACGCGCTATGGTCGTCGGATCGGGTTCAGCAGAATCATGTGCTTCATGGCGGTGAAGGGGATATGGCGGCTGCGTTGTCGAGGGAGGCGGTCGATACGGCGATTTTGACGAGTTTGGTGCTTGTTGTGCAGAGTTTACAGGGTGGTGGTGGTGGTGGTGGGGGGAATGCGGCACCGAGGGAGACACCGGCGGCTTTGATTGATTCGCTGAGTAAATGGATGGATGCGGTTATTGCGGCCAATGATGGGGATGGATTGAATGCGCTTGATGGGCACGGTCTTGATGGGTTGGGACTTAGTAGCGGGATAATGGGACCTCAGAAGAAGGCGATTATAGGAGAACTTGTGATTGCTGTTGGTGAGAACCAGACGTTGAACGGGTTCTTGAAGACTTCGCATGAGATTAGTAAAGACAAGAGGGCGAATTTTGAGAATACGCTGCCGATGTTCGTGCAAGGGTTTCAGGCTTTGAATCCAGAGTTGGCGATGAGGCTTGATGCTTTGATTCCGAAGAAGGCGGATGGGCCTGGGAGTGCTGGTGCAGGGAATGCGCTTTTGGGGATGGGGATTGGACTGGACGCCATTGGGGAGGCGGGGCAGCCGTCAAGGGGTGGGCTATACGTCTTTATAAATTCACTGGTAGGTCTTGCTTGTCCAAATTTGGGGTCTTGGGGGATATTAACCAAAGTAGTTGTTCGCTCGTCCTCTCGTCGACGATGAATACCTAATTCATCACCTCCTCAATCGATACAAGGAGATAGGCGGCCAAGTCGCCCTCGATCTCATCATCGCCGCGCTAGATTGCATTGCGAACGCCATCAGTCGCTCAGAATCCGAATCCACGATCGCCCTATTCCGTCACTTCCTCGTTAACAAAATACCACTTCTACTCCAACGCTTCAACATGCCAGTTATCCAGGCGCAATACGTTGTAACACAGGCGCTTGCGAAGTCAGGCAGTAACCCACTTTCGCTGGACCCTTCGCTGGATACTATGCTTGACCTTTCGAATGATATCAAACAAGAGTTCTTGTTTGCATGTGCATTACACCAGATCATCGAAGAGTCTTCGGTCGAGGTTATTTTGGGTGATGTACCACTGCAGACGATGGCGAAGAGGCGGTATACCCAAGGTGAACTAGTTGCAGAGTGCATGTCAGATGGGGACCGCGTGGAAAGACTGATCAGTGAAATCGAGGAACTTGACGGGAACTCCGGGGCAATAGTCGGCGCCGTCGTAGAGGTACAACTCGAGTTACAAAAATGTTACAAGTATTGATATGCATGCTAACGGTATCTTAGATGCTCCGCATAATGTGTGAACAGCGTGCGACAATGGGTCTCTACACGCTCTGCAAAAACCTCATATCGCGCCCCAAAACTATTGATTTACTACTCCTCTACTCCTCGCCGGCTACAATCCTAGAACCTTTGTGTATCGTCCTCGAAAACTGGCGCTATGATGACGACCAAGGCGAATACGAGCCCGTCTACAAAGAATTTGGTTACATTCTCCTCTTGATTCTTACGATCTACTACCGTCACGACCTCTGTTTCTCTAGCCTAGGGCCAAGTATTACGTCTACAAGCTTTGTGCCTATGTTTATTAAGCAATGCTGGAAGGATATCTCCGTTGAGGATTTAGGGAGGATGGGAGATAGGCATGCGCAACTAGGGGGTTGGATTAAGGCGTTATATGAGGGTGAGGGCATGACAGATGAAGTAATGCAGAGTTGTAGGCCGCAGGAGTATTATAGCCTCGTACCAACATTGATGGCGCAGACGGTCGAGGCTTATGAGAGAGGGGTATTAGATATGAGGGTTTTGAAGGAGGGGTTGGATTGTAAGTTTGTTCATGTTTCGATTTATACCAGATGAAACTTTGCTAAACAGGTTCCATTTGGGGGGTTAGATTTCCAACTCCCATCGCTCATTGCGTCGGAGGTTGCCATTATATTCTGGTTGACCGATTACATTTGGCAGACCATGTCCTCGCAAGGAGATATATCCAATGCACTTCGAATACTCCACACGCTTGTCACCAATGCCCCGTCTGAGGTCACACAAACCCACAAAACTATCCTTGCCATATGTTCACACTCTCTTGAACGTGTATTAAAAGACGTCCTTCGTTCGGAAGGCACAGCTAATAACCCTAGCAGCGCTATACACCAACAAGCGGAGCAAATACTTAAACATGTTTCTTCGTCTAGAGACTGGCGCAGAACCGGATTACCATCAACAAGTGAACTTGAAGGATGGACAAAACATTCCGGTGGTATTTTGGGGGCTTTAAAGAGCGCAGTTCAGGGTGTAGTGATGTGGAGTTCTACGCCTGATTTAGCACTTCAACCTGCCGGGTGGAATCCTCGACTCCTTTATGCGGCGTGGAGGTTGTTAGGCGCTAAGGAGGTTGTTAGGGTACTCGTTGATGAGGTTGTAAGTGTTGGAACCGATGTTGGCGATGTGGCTGTGGATTTGGTGGCAAGTTTGATCGTTGCGCCGGTGGTTGAGGATTGGAGGTGGAAAGTTGGTGAAGTTACAGGGAGGAAGGAACATACGAGTGTAGGAAACGGGGGGGTTTTGACGTTAGTTGAAGCGCTAAGGTATTTGGAAGATGATTGTAAGTTGTTAGGTGGAGAGGAGCAAGGAAGGAGTGAGGTGGTTATGAAACTTGCGAGAAAAGTGGAGGGGATGATGGTTGCGAGTGCTGTTGGGGGCGTTGGAGGGGCTGCGGTGGTTGGTGGGGTAGTAGATTTGGCGGATGGGGTGCTTGGGGATGTTATGGTCGATGGGGATATGTTAATGATGCCGGATGCCGGAGTGGATTTGGGACTGACTGCGGATGAGATTATGACTGGGATGTAGGATTCTTTACAAGAGAGTGATATTTTGTCCTATTCTAGGACGGTAAGAGTAATATTTGCGAGTATGCGGATTTCAGTTGGGGATTTTGATGGCAGAAAATAATAGATATCTCTGTTTAACATTTATTTGATGCCCAAAATTATCATTTACACTCTGATTCTGTGGTAATTCATATCTCCCACGAGATTACGGTTAGAACGCCATGGAGATTACTTGACTACCGATTAGGGTATATATCAAATCGCGGGCTCGAGGAACTTGGTTCTGGTTCTGGGCACGAACTTAAAACAATATTCTAGCTAGTCCCTAAACTCCAACCCGACATATGAATGGAGACTTCAACATATCCTATCTTGACAAGTGCCCAACCGCATGTAATATACGTGAAGCCTATCTATTCTGCAGGCGGCTTTTTGCACTAGGCGATATTACATCATCGTTGTTAACATAAAACTTATACATCCTCCGTATCTACTAGACTTCCAATGCTGACCTGCTTCCTCCAACTGTCACTTCAATAATATAACCCTACCTCACCTGGCGCCTTATGGTATCATCAAATTCGCATACGTCTTCAAAACAGGGATAGATCTTGAATACGCTGATATACATAAGTCCTGTACTAGTTAGGAAAGTTTAATTACATTCATAAGTTGTAATCCGAATTAGCTATCTGTAACCTTTCATCCTTAGGGGGGAGCGTCAATTGTCTTCTAGCTATAAGCAATGTAAAATCTAAAGTATCCCGGATATATCAATATTGGAGAAATAAAGGGCTTGAAGAAGGATCAGGATAGCTGACCTTCACACGATACCTATGCAGATATACCGCCATAAATTTAAATTCTTCTCAAATCCTGCTAGGTAAGTAGTTTTGAGCATTTGCTGCTCTGCAGGTCATTCCTAGGCCTAGCTTCTCCTTCAATTCTTTAATCATCAATATTTGAATCCGATGTTCCTAAATTTCGGCTCTATGTGTATACATAACGTAATCCTAGCGTTTAGGTATATAGGTTCCTGATCCTAGTTAGGATTCTTATATTCGGAATCAATTGCTACAAATCCTAGATGTATTCTAGACCAGGCTTCGTCACAAAGTCTAATATCTCCGCTTAAAACAATAGGAATACTTCTAGTCTAAAGTCTTAAGTTCACGGGATTCACAACCGACTCGAATCGAACCTTGCTTTCCTTCCTCAAACATCTACCTGTGATAAATCCCTGTTGATGTATAAGTTATTTAAATTTAAATATATTCAATTCATTATAGAAACAAATTTTAATTTAAAACAATCGCTATCATAAAAAATCAAATCTTAATCAAGAGACTTTTGTTAAGCCTCCTATATGTATACATGACACCAGCACCGCCGCTTCAACATACTACAAACAATATTAATACACCCCCCGCCCGCGTTCTGTCTACCTAGTATAATATATCTGCAACCGGCCGGCCCACACTTAGAAACGAAACGGTTACACAAAAAAGAAAACGGGGTGCGATTACTTGTTTTAAGGGAGAAGTAGAAGGGGAAAATTGCGGCTGAAGAGCTCTTTCGCGTTTTTCTAAAGAAACGGAGCTGAAAGGCTGAAGTGCGGGAAGCTGGAAGATGGAAGTATTTAAATGTTTGTGCTTGTGTTATATACACTGTTTGAATTTCCTGCGTAGATATGTAACGTGATAGATTCCTATTCCTAGTACTATTCCTATTCCTAGTAGTATTCCTGACATGTTCCTGTTCCTGTTCCTGTTCCTGTTCCTAATCATATTCATGTTCCTATCCTAATTTCTATTTATCTTCATATTCCGGTTCCTATTCCTATTTATCTTCATGAATTTCCTATTCCTATTCCTATACCCGACCCGTTCCTACCATACTCCCCTTCCTATCCTTTTATATAGCGTTCCTATTCCTAGAATCCTAGCGTCCTAACACGCGAGCAGACCATTCCTAACAAGGTTTCTAATACCAATACTCAAAAAGTATATAAATCAAACTACACAACCCCATCCAAAGTCGACGACGTGTACAATTTTTTATTTTTTTGTTCAGGAATGCAAGAATCTGTGGAGATATAGTACTAGCGGCGCAGGAACTATTGACTATTGGTCGGTATTGCATTAATGCGGTTTTGGTCGTTCTTTCTTGTTGACTTGTTAAATGTTGGGATATATGGGTATTAACTAATGTACTTAAATGTAGATATATAATATTCGACTATTTACGGAAGTTTGACTAGTTTTGATAGTTCTTATCCAATGATTTCTCGTTTTTTTTGGGGAGAGTTTTTTCCAGCCTGGATGGGAGATGTCATGATCACGATGGTAAAATTTAAAATGGATGAAACTAGTAATGCACGCCAGATACAACGTATCTGCAGATGTATATGTAAAGTCGCGAATTGATCACGCATGGGTTTTTTGGGGAATGTATTCTAACGTTATATATCCCGAATGACTTCGCGCGCCGGTTTTCTTGGACTGGCTGGTGGGGTGATTAAGGTGGAATACGAGATGTCCTAATCTAATATTTGAAAATTTTATATTTTTCTTTACCTTCTAGATATCCAGAGAACGGGTCGATGTCGACATCATTCGGGTGGGAAAAAAATATGCCTTGCATGTAGTTAGGCTTTTTTAATTCCTAATCCTTGGGAAACTCTTTTTTTTTTTCCTCCCCTTCCTTTCTTCCCTCGTACCTCGTTCGCGGTGACGGCCAGCATGCATGGTAGCAAGCAGCTAGCTAGCTTGTAAGTACATACATACATACAGCCAGCTGTGTAAAAGAATTTAACCTATAGAACCGATTGAACAAGGTATGTATGTATGATGTCTACATAGATTAAAACTCTGGGGAATCCTTGGCTTTTTTTTTTTTACCGTGTCTACTTACACACATACATATATTCGTTGTGTGATTAAATTTTTGGGAATTTGATTCCGTAGGCTAAATTAATATACATGATAAGACATGGTATTTTCTGACAGCTTGGGGGGGGGTTGATTAACTTTTGTGGTCCCTGAACTGGGGTTGTTTGATGTTTTGATTTCCCTGGTTTTTTTTTTTTTTTTTTTTTTTTGGCCTTGATAGCTATGGTGTTTGTGCCTGTATAGATGACCATAGCTTCCAAGACTGAGGGGGTAGCTTGATGATCGTATCACATGGACATGATGGTAGATTCTTGGGAGCTTGGGGGGGATTTTAGCCGTGTACATACTTACATACTTACATACTTTTCTTAAACTTCTACATGGTCCACATATGTACGTATGTATGTACGTATGTATGTATGTACGTATGTATGTACGTATGTATGTATGTATGTATGTATGTATGTATGTATGTATGTATGTATGTATGTATGTATGTATGTATGTATGTATGTATGTATGTATGTATGTATGTATGTATGTATGTATGTATGTATGTATGTATGTATGTATGTATGTATGTATGTATGTATGTATGTGTGTGTTAATATGTTAATGTTTTATGGAGGTCCTTGGGAAAAGGTTTGATCGATTGAGGATGGGGATACCAAGGTATTTCGGCAGTTTTTTTTGGTGGTTTGGTTTGCGATTACATGGGCCCCGGATGCGAGCAAGTTCCGACGTCCGAGGCTTAGAAAAAAAAGTAAAGAAAGTTTTGTAGAGTAGAGTAGGACAGAAAAACAAAGTATTAGACAGAGACAGAAAAGTTAAAACTCTGGCTTGAAAGGGTTGGTTGGTTGGTTGGTTGTTATGGAGAGCTTTGGAGGTGTTAAGCTTCAAGGTCGGGCGCTTGATGAAGCTGAGAGGGTTTTGTGAATATAATATAATATTGTTTGTTGGTTAAAGATTTTAAGACATCGTTCTCCTTTTTCTTGGATTTCTAAATAAAGCTTTAAGCTTATCTGACTGACCCTTTCGATTCTTGTCGATCGAGGGCGAATAGGGATGTTTCTATGTGTAAAATGGTGACGACGTTGGACAGAGATCATGTCAGATTTCTTCGGCAAGTATCTGTCGATTGATGAAGATACCTGTGTGTGTAATACGTGGTACTTACGAATACCCTTCGGGCCCGCTTGACTTTATTCTCTCTTCGTATATATATTAGACTTTTTTCTTCGCCATGGCTGTACCTCGTATGTATACGTAAGTACTATTAGTAGTTACGTATGGGTCCCACAGATGTAATGTACCGATGGCGCCGACCGACGGGGTCGTTGTCATTCACGATCTTTTTATTTCTTTTTTTTTTCCTTCACAAGAATTGGGAGGAGTTCGGTTGAGGAATTCGAATTCGAACTCGAAGTGGGGCTGTTGGTTTTTTAACCCTGAAGTTAAGTTAACTAACTTATTTTCTTCCCCATGGTTTGCTGCTGCTGACCGGCCGTGTCTTGTCTTGTCTTGTCTATCAAAACGGCGAATTACGGGGTTTTTTACTTCTTGAAATTGGTTCGTTGGGCACAGGTAATAAGGCCTGTCTTTGAAAAATTTTTAAAGCTACGACTGCGACGTGCAGATATATTATATGTGTCTGTATGCATCAAGGGACAGCCGACCAGCCTTGTGATTTATGGATATCGATGGAATGGGCTGCAATCGGCAACTCGGTGTGAGAAAAAAGTGGGAAGAAAAAAGATCAAGGGTTCGCAGAGGAAGGGTAAAGACCGAATCGTGGAGACGGAGTTTTGTACTTGCCGAAGGGTTCCGGCAAACAGAATAATAAGTACTTACACACCATCATGAAGTGATGATACATCAAATGAAATACATAATTTCGATTGGAAGAATTGGTTAGAACCCCGCCCTCATCCGTCCATCATCATCCGTCCGTCCATCCCATCCATCCATTCCGGCTGCCCACTTTTTATTATTATTTCCCACCTGCCGGTTTTGATAGTTTTTTTTTTGTCTTCTAAGTGAGTGTTCGTAACAGTTGATGGTGAGTTCTACGTAGGTTCATAATTATATTATGAATCATTGTTACTAAGTAAAATAAAGTAAAGAAATCCTCCTCCCGTTGACGATTCACAACCGGTACTGGTACAAGGGTGTGTGAGGTATGTATGTAAAAGGACCTGCGGGTTTTGGTAGGTTATATGTTTCCAGGGCGTCGGGATTTGTGAGACTTAGTACTGCGGTATGATGTGATTGATTTTGATTCATAACCCGCGATCGCAAGAAGAAGAAGAAAAAAAAAAGCGGGGTTCTAGATTTTGGAAGTAGAGAAAAAGAGAGTGTTACAAGTTTTTTTTTGAATTTCGGGCCTGAGATCCATCTTATCGTTTCTTGGACACGAGATGCCACGACGGGTGAATATGCGATATACTTTACAACCCAAGCTTCTAAGCTTCTTGATATGTTTCTTGTGGTTCCAGATGATGCTCTTAAACTGGTTGCTATGGGAGGTAAGTAGGCTAATTAGATTGGCGGGATGGGGAAGGGAAGCAAGCTATGTATGACCCCGGTTGAGTTTTGTACCATATGGCCATTGCATGAGTCGAATCATTCGAAGCGACAGGAATTGGCCAGGATATTTCAATTAAGATTGATTGATTGATTGTGTGTGTGTTCGGATGCCGTGGGGTGCCCGAGGACCGACGGGTTTTCGGTTCTGGGCCCTGGAGGGTCCTGGAGGATCCTGGAGGAGGGGGATGAAGTTTCAAGGAGCATCGTCATGTGTGTGTACTGCGTAGTATGCGTGCTCTGGAATTAACTAAATTATAATACTGATGGAATCACAATCACGATCAAGATCAAGATCTCAAATCGTCATACTCCGCCTTACTCCTATTCTCATTATTATTTTTATTTTTGAGCTTCTGCACGTCATTTGATTTCAATCACAAAAGAGAATGTTGAAAAGTGGGGACTTCCTGCGCCGGCCGAAAAAGCTTGGTTTTTAATGTTAAATTTGTAAGCCCTTTGGAAATTGGTACATTGGTTACCGCACGAGACCGAAGGAGAGTGTATATGTAATCAACTGCACTTTTTCTTTTTCTTTTCTTCTTCTTTTACTGGAATTGAATTGGTTGCAGAACTCTGCAGGATCCTTTTCGGTTTAGAGCCAGGAATAGGGCGAAACGTTATTGGGGCACGCGGGTTTACCGGGAACGCGGACTTAGAGAGGGTCCGCATTGAGATCTGGAAATTTGATTTGACATGTTCTTTTCTATGGATCACTGTCAGAATGCCCATGGTCGCCTGGAAGATGTCTTCTTTTTTTTAAAATATGTTGGATTCCTCACCGGTTTGGGCATTTAATAGAATAAAAGTAGACATCAAGGATAATAGGGAATTCTTGACGATGTTGAGATGCATCGATGATATCGTTCGAGGTTACAGTAGTATACGTACAAGTTTGGATCGGAACAAGAATACATCCGACTGCCACCCACATCAGCGCCGACAGGGTCTATTTTTGCCCAACTAGCGAGGCTAACAGCGTAGGTACTTATGCAATGGGACCCAGCGAATTGAATAGTCATCTGTTGCTGAATGACGGGTGTGGCAGTAATTCCTTTTTTCTTCTTTACTCACTTTCTTTTTTTTTATTATATCAAGAAGAATAAGAATATTTTTTGACCTCCGCGCTCCGTGAATTGTGTTCGTTTCGACCGATCGACCGATTATTAAGCTGGAATGTCTCTTCTTTCTCGTCCACGTCTTCTCAAATTTACTTAATTTCTGGTTCCACCCTCGCCGGTCCAGATTCTTGTTTCTTTCTTTCTTATTACATATATTGCATATATCTTCTTCTTCTTCTTCTTTTTATCTATCTCGTTTTGTCTTTTTTTAAAAAAAAATATATATATATATCTACAGATACATATTTTCTTTTTCGAGAGACTGAGACTGAGAGAGTATATCCCACGAGGGTTCCTACATTACATTTATTACTTTAACTAGCGAGAGGGGCACTTTCGATATATAAAACCGACAGAGTAACATTAACAAACAACTTGATTTCCCAACAGCCAGAACTCGTATTCATTCAACCGGGTTACAAAAGAAAAAAACAAAAAACAAAAAATAAATATCAATACCGTTTCGGTCCTCGAAAGGAAGGGAAGAGAAGAAAGAGAGAAGGATAAAAGAAGGCACAGCGACTAATAGTACAGCCCTATTCGACCTCTCGTTGGCGGGTTATTTTCAGTAACCTGGTACTAGTACTGTCGAACAACCGAACGAACGAGCGAACGAGCGAACAGACGAACCAACGAACACCAACTGGTCAATTAAGAGTCAACAACGTTAAGGTCTATCTATCTGGGTGGCAGATAAATATTAATATCCTGTGGATGGTTTCGAAGCAAGGCTGCCTGACCTGTTCTGACCTGTCGTGTCCTGCCTGCTTTTGACAACCAGCCAGCTGCGGTAGTCGCTGCTTACGAAACTAAAACGTCAGCTTGCAAGATCATCTCGGGCCCTCTATACGGAATACAGCAGAATATACCACCACCATTTATATACTTAACTATATTATTACATGGCATACGACGTGTAGTATACCTTCCAAAAAGTACGTTAAACCGGATATAAAACATATCAGACAGGCGGTGCGGTGTTAGGATCAAGTGCTCCGCCCGGATATAATTTATATCACCGCCCCTTCTGTCATTCCTTTATTTTATTTCTTTTTAAAATTTTAAATACTTATATATCTATATATATTTCTATTTTTTATTATTCTCCCTCTTCTTCCCCTTGTTTCTATCAATCCCCGGATCTACAAAGTTCTGTTGTTATAAAAGTCGTTTCACAGACGAAACAATCCCAGTTCTGGTTCCTGTTCTGTTCTGTTCTGTTCCTTCCCTTGCCTGCACTGCACTGCACCTCTCTCACTCACCCGCCCTCACCCTTCTCCAATCTTAATTCACCACCACTACTACCACCCCAGACTCTTACTCACTCCTCTTCTCTGTACTTATTATTATTTTTATCATCATCATCATCATCATCATCATCTTCATCCCTCTCTTTCTCCTTATCATTTATTCAGCTGATCGGTTTTTAACATTAATATCAACTATCGATAGTCCTCTGTTCGGTTCCGGTCTATTTCTTGTCAACCATCTCCCACTCGACAACACATTTCTCCCGCCGCTTGCGTCGCCCTTCTATTACATCATTTCATCACCAAACCGAATCCCTTCTAACTTAACTTACTATCCTTTCACCTTCCCTTCCGCAAATCAACCAAACCACATCCCTCCGTTTCTTTTTCTTTTTTCGACAATACAATCAACTTATCATCGCCGGGTTTCCTTTCGTTAACAAGTCTTCCTGATGGAGACACCGGAATCCTCATCCTCCGGCTCGACATCCTCCTCCCAATTCTCTCGCACCACAAAAGCTTCCAGCGCCCTGAGCATAGGTACCAGAATGTCTTCCCTAGCGCGAAAGAGAGCCACAAGTGTTAGCAGCACCAGCATACGTGGCCAATGTCCGGAATGCAGAGATAAACGACAGGATGATATGGGTCTCAAGATCAACACTGCTGAGCTGGCAGCTCTGGCTCAGTCGTTAAGGGGGAAGTCATCGACTTTCGGCGAGAAGACTAGTACCGGTACGTAAATAAAATATGTCGTCGTTGTTTAGGCGCCCGCCCTGATTACCCGTTTCGTCGACGTTTCCATTTCTGTTCACATGCATGATGCTAAGAATGTGATTTCCTAACTTTTGCCTTTTTAGCTTTCGATTACGGTGTGGAAATATTATTCGAAGATGGTGTATCGTGGGTAGCAAAGGTACCCAAACCGTGGAGGTCGTCGCACTACAATGAATCCATGTACAGTCAGATTTCGGCCTGGAGATACCTGAAGAAGCATACCAGCATACCCGTCCCCGAAGTTTATCATTTCGCCTATGATTCCGATGCCACGAACAATGTCAACGCCTCTTTCATGCTTTACGAGAAGCTTCCCGGACATTCTGTTCCAGAACTTGACGTCGAAAACCCGACATCTATCGGCAAAGCAGCCCGATTCCACGGCCAACTCTCCGACATCATCCTACAACTTTCCTTGTGCGCGTTCGAGAATATCGGCTCGATCCAACAGTCCACTATCGACCCCGAAGATTTCATCGTCGGTCCCCTCTACACTGTTCAGAATACATATCCCCTTGCTCGTGGCCGATTAGCGACCAACCGAGGTCCCTTCAACTCCGCATTTGAGTACCTGACAGCCTTTGGCGAGCTGAACTACAAGGATGCTAAATCGCACTCTCACCGACCGGCGCAATCCGACCTTTGTGCTCCTGTCGACGAGGAATTGGCCCGTTTCTTCTTAATCAATAAGATGATTCCCAAATTTTCCATCGAGACAGGATACAACAATGGCCCTTTCGTCTTCCAGAATTGGGGCCTCGATTCGGCTGGGATCTTGGTTGACGAGGATTGCAATATCACTGGTATTACAGGGATCACCGGCGCCGTCGGCCCTCTTACGAGTCTGTGCAAATACCCTGATCTCATCTACGAAACCAAGAAGAAGGGTCCTCTTTTCGACCGTAAAATCTTCCTCGGTGCCTTTTTAAATCACGAGATGGATTCCGACCGATCTTCCGTCCTCAAAGACCAAGATGTTCGAAAGGAACTTCTAAGGGCAGCGCATAAAGTTTGGCAATTCGAAAACTCGATTCTCGATCCTAAAAATAAGCACCTGCACCTTAGCGGCCGTGGCGGTCTGTACGAATACGTTTTCGAAGACACAAAGTTCTCGGAAAAGTCTGCCTTCAAGTCTCTCGGTGACCAAGACCCTGACTTCCAGAACCTCGCTCCCAAGAGAGAAATGAAGCACGGAGAATATTCGTGGGATCTACCGGAAGAGCTTAAGAACGGCAAGAAGCGAAAATCTTCTGCAGCAGCATCGGCAGCGAAGGAGACCGCCAGCAAAGTTTGGAATAAGGCGCCATGGGTTAAGTCGCGGAAAGAGGAACGATGGGTTCGCGAGTACGTTAGGGTTCACCGACATCTTCCCCCCGAAGTTAAGGCCTATGGGGGAAAGCGACGAAGCAACGGACCCGAGAAGGCGTTCCACATGGCGTGGGCGTTTATCCGATGCCGAGATGCCAGCTACATGAGGCGAAAGTCTCAGAAGAAGAGAGTTGTAAGAGTCGGTGGAAGGAACCGAAGCAGCAGTGTTAGGCAGACCGGGAAGAGGGTTCGAGGGTGGAGCTTGACTGGGGCTGATAAGAGGAGCAAGGCAAAGGGCAAGATGTCAACCGTCCCCAAGCCTGCGCCACAAAAGGCTGCTACTGAGAAAGGATGGAAGAGAGTCTTTGCCGCAGTCACAATACTGAACTTCCGTGGATCCTCGTCGTGAGCATTTTCGACTCCTCAAATGCTTCGTGTTTCTCTTTCTCTCCCTCTCTTCCTCTCCATATCTACTTTACTTTTCTTTTCTTGTTTATTCTTTATGTGGGAGTTCTGTGTTTATGCTGTTATGCGGTACTCATCATTCGGTCTACTCGATTTCATTTGTACGGGTGTTTAAAAGATGGGTTTTTGGATTCATTTTTGATACGTTCATGCTAAAGCATTTTTTTCCCGTTTCTCATCTGTTAGAATCACAGGTCTCTCCTTTACATCAGTTTCTTTTTTCTTCTACGGTCTATACTCACCACTATAGCGTCTGGAGTTTTGTTCTTCGTTTTGCTGGTTTTCCATCTTACACGGCCCACACGAGCACATCGTCTCTTTTCCTTTTTTTTTTTTTTTACCAGCTCGAATATTTTTTTCCCAAGGATTCCTCTGCTTCTGATGTTTATATTTTTTTTGGTTGGAGGTATTGAGGACTTCCTGGCTGCCAGAGAGCAGTCTCATAACTACACTACTACTACTACTACACCTTTGAAGGGTCACTTTCTTACACGTCTTTTGCATAACTACCTTTTTTTCTGATTTCTTGGGCTTTATTAACCACCGCATTGGATTTTGTTTCTTCATCTGTTAAGAGTTGGTTCTAACTTCATTTTTTACTGTCTCCGATTTTTTTTTTTTATGCATTTCGATCGATCGGTTTGGGAACCTACCTGCTTTTTTTTTCCCTTTTCTTTTTAAATTTTTTCTATGTAAATGTCTATTACAGCTTTTTACTTGATACCATATCTAGAATGAAAAGGTGGTGGGAGGGGTTTTTTATATATTTTTTTGGGAAGAATTTATATGATTGAATATTTTTTTTCGTTTTTATCTTGATTTAATAATACTTAGTAATTTGTGATATCTTATGAAACTATTGAGGAGATTTGTGATAATTGACGAAAATGGGAAGAAAGCTTTCGGAGCTTCCCCACGTTTTAAGCCGCACCTAAGCGTCATAGCCGCGCATGTGAAAAGGACAACGTCCCCACCCACCCACCATGGAATGCCGAACCCGTGAATTTTGAACTCGAAACCTGCGGGTTTTTGAATTTAAAAATTTTTTTGATTCCTGAGTTCCTAGTTTTTCCGAATCCTTTTCCTCTTCCCTTCTTAATTCCTTCAATCCTTCGTCTGTTAGTTTCGGTCGAGAGTTGAATTAAGTCGGTGATTTATATTTCCATTACCAATATAAGAAAGAGGAAGTTTCTTGTTTTCTTTTAAAAAAATGACAGCTCTACGATTGACGACTACGGCTCTACGAGCTACCACACGAAATGTAAATACGATTCGTGGGTTTAGTACCTCGTCTTTAAGACTTGGTGCCGTCGAGGGAGTTGACAGGATCAGTGTCATCGGTGCCGGACAGATGGTATATCCCTCCCCTCCCCCTCATCATCATCAACAATCACTACAATTATAATTATAATACTAACACCCCCCACCAGGGTCTAGGAATCGCCCTCGTAGCAGCCCGTCACGCCTCCCTCCCCGTAACTCTAATCGACAGCTCCCCAGCCTCACTCAACAAATCCATGGACTTCCTCTCCAAACTCCTATCCAAGGACGTTACAAAATCCCGTCTAACAGAAACTCAAGCATCGGAAATAAAATCGCGAATAACAACATCAACAGATATCGCCGATGTTTCCACTTCAGATTTTATAATCGAAGCAGTTCCCGAAATCGTTAATCTCAAGATGGAAATATTTAAAAAATTGTCAGAAGTGGCTAAACCCACTGCTATACTAGCTACAAACACCTCATCGATTTCAATTACCAAAATCGCTGCTGCAGCGGGAAATGCAGCCGATAGAGTTATTTCAACTCATTTCATGAATCCGGTTCCAATCCAACCAGGTGTAGAAATAATAACAGCTCTACAAACCTCCCCAAAGACCCTAGAAACCTCACTATCACTCTGCAAAGCATTACAAAAGATCCCATCGCAGTCGGCGGATACACCGGGGTTTTTGGCGAATAGGATATTGATGCCGTATATTAACGAAGCGGTGATTTGTTTAGAAAGTGGGATTGGAAGGAAAGAGGATATTGATGGGATTATGAAGAATGGAACTGGTGTTCCCATGGGACCGTTGGCGTTGGCGGATTTTATTGGGTTGGATACTTGTTTGGCGATTATGAGGGTGTTGTATGGGGATACGGGGGATAGTAAGTATAGACCTAGTGTGCTGTTGCAGAGGATGGTGGATGCGGGGTGGTTGGGGAAGAAGAGTGGGAGGGGGTTTTATGAGTATAAATAAGTGAAGTGGGGGGTTGTAGGATATAGGTGTATTTATGGGTGTTAATGAAGTATGGAATATTGATTCGGATCGGGGAAAAGGTTAAGCTGTGGGTAGTTTTGGGAATAAATATAACATATTTGATTTAAAAGTGAATCAATCGAGATGTCATTCACAGTGATTCCCGACAGGATATTGAAATCAAGAGGGAATATTATATTCATTCGAGAACTGAATCCAAATCCTAGTCTTAAAAACCTTTTTAAACAGTTTTTGGTATATTACATTTATTGGGATCTCCAGAAATTAAATTAAACTAATAGAATAAATACTATACAGTTAAATGTTAACGTTCTTTAAGTAATTAATTGTAGAATGATTAAGATAATTATAAATCAATCCCCCATGAGATATATATACAGACATCATGATTGATTAAGCTATAATGAGATATTGATATAATATTGGTGTGGATAGAAATATATATGATAATGCGCATATCATCATGGTTGTATACGATATCAATATTATATATACACTTGGGAACGTCTAGAACCCAAAAACTTTATATATATATATAGAAACATTTAGGTGGTTCAAAGTAACGCTCATCAAACGGTCCGGTTTAACTTCTAAAAGGTGATCCTAAAACCTTCTTTTAAAATACAGTTGGAATTCAGCTTGTAACTAGTAGTGAATGGGTGATATGTTGACATCTGGGAGTTAATATTACTGCTTAATTCCCTGGCAAAGTTGGTACTGAGTACGGCTAGATTTATAGATGTATGCGGATATGCAAAAATATTGAATTAGTAACTTGAAAAGCTGTTGAAAAAAAGCATGTGCGTGAATATGATTTTTTATAGTATTATCGATGAGACGTCATGGTATCTGATACCAATAGAATGATACTACCTGAAATTGGTACTAACTTAGGTACATGTTTATAATTCGGATGAAGACCTGTAGTCGACACTGCATTTCACGGTACTCGAATATACCACATGCACTTGAAGTACTTTCGAAGTATATATCCTAATATGTATGGCGACTTAGTTAAATTTAGTCTAGAAAAATGATCCCCGCAAGCCGGCTCTTTTAGATCTAGAGCCCCGTGTGGGATTGTGATGACCTGGTATCTTGACCCCGAGACCACCGGGACAAATGATACATTACAGGTCCTCTGCAAATCCTTTAGACCTGTCTATACGTAACTAACGCCTCGCCAAGATACGGGTTCACGCCGAAAGGTTTCGACCGTATTTTTTTTTTTACCTAAGATCAATTGTTCGAATACGTGTTCACGTACGGATACGTAGTGTGCATAAGTATCCAGACGAGAGGCACGGCTTGTTCCGTGTCTGTCTTCCTTCACCCCCTCAATTGCAAGCCTCAGGTTAAGTCTCCCACTAAACAAGAATGCAAAACTGCGGCGGAATTATACGTATTTGTTCGCATTTTTTGTTCGTTTGTTTCTCGCAGTCGAGAGTATAGTAGTTCCTTCCTTCCTTCCTTCCTTCCTTCCTTCGTCCCTTTTTGAGGTAAAATAATACGGCATTGTATGCGGCACAGCCCGGGGTTAGAAGTGCAGCAGACATCATTATCCACGAAAGCTTCCGGAAGAATACTTGTCTCAGATGTTTACATACTACACTGCGCATGTGGCTCGGGCCCTGAATGCCTGATGATATCATCGATAATGTTATTATAATATGGAATTTTGGACTAAAGCTAATGTCATCGAACAATAACGTAACGTAGTAAAAGGATGGCTTAATAGGGTATTAAACGAGGGAAAGCCAGGGCTTAGAATATAACCCCGATATGGAAATATTGTTAAGACGGCGTTTTTGGGTGTAATAGAGTCAATGATATGGTCTGGTGGTTACGGTTACGGTTATTTTTATATCATATCTTGCAACTTACGTTACTTTACATGTACTTACTGTGTGATGTAGATGAATAATCCCGTCCGGTTGTGTTACACAAAGCTATGACCGGACGGGTACCTGATGGCAGTGCTGGGCCCTGGTCTTCTCGTTAATGCCTTTGGGGGGAGGGAAGGGAAGGGAAGGGAAGGGAATGATTAGTCGAGAAAAGTGATCCGGGAGGACTTCAAAGGATGACCTTCTTTGACTCTTAATCTTGCTTAGCGGTGCTGGAGTTAGGAAGAGTCAAAATGTTGAAGTGCAAGTGACATACACACCTCGTCTACCTAAAACCAACACGGCCACGGGATCTCCCGCCAAAGCCCGCCTCCACAGCCTCGCATTCTCCAACAGTGTCCGTCCACATGTACGAGTCCTCTTCTGTCTTCTGTTTTTTTTTTTCCTTTGTTTTCTGAGAGAAAATCTATTTTCGTCCATCTTGCATCCCCAATTCGCCTCTTGCCCAAAGGGTCCGGTAAATGTTTCCTCTCGTTTCTACCAAGTTCACCCAAGCCCTTGGATGTTGGGTATGTCAGAAGCTCGCTTACCCGTTTGGTACGGATTTGACAAATGCATCGCAAATTCGGGGTATTTTGAATCGAAGCCTGCATGGGCTGGTGGGGACCTTTTAAAATCTTACATACTATCGAACTCGGGGATGATGGTGATATAGAATGAATTCACGAAGCTGGCTTTGATAGGGTATTAGCTGCATATACCATGCTACCCTTTCAGCTACACAAAGAAGTTCGGAAGTGTTCAGCACGCTTTCTCCGTGTCGCTTAAACTACTACGCTGTCATCAATTCACAATTAAAGTGAAAGATCTTGGGATCTAATCTACGAAACCGGAAGGATAATCCGTTCGTAAGGCTGAACTTAGTGACCCCCCTATCGAATCGAACAAGGACTGGAATTCGAATTGATGGGGTTTTTTTGTTCTCGAATCCCAAATTTGCGCCGAACATACACGCATACATACATCCGATCGTGGCTCAGGGTTGCACAAAGCGCAGGCAATGACGATTGGCTGAAAAGCGGTTTGTATGTCTAAAAGCGAACATTCGCCGATACATACATACGTCGTTGCTTTACTTGGAGCCAACAAGTCGAACCGAGGGGGGTACATGTACATGAATGATGGTGAAAGGGCCAAGGACAGGGCTGCATGAGATGGTTTATTGGTTTATCGCAGACCCCGTTTTCAATTGTTTTTCTTTTCTTTAGCAAGTGCTCGCGAGATGGCTTGCATTGGTGCACGCTTTTCTTGGAAATCTAGCGATCTAACCTTAGACTTCTGCTTGTCTACTTATTATTATGCAGGTGGAAAATAGATGGCAACGGCTCTCACCGTCAGAATGGTTTCTTTTGGCTGTGGGGTTCGATTGGGTCGGTCCCCATCCACCACCCACAGGCTGGTCTCTTTTTTACGAACGGGAAAGGAAAGGAAAGAAAAAAACTTTAAAATACTAAAATCATCAGCCGCAGCTGTTTTGGAAAGATTGAACGCAGAGCAAAAAAACCAACGAAACCAATGAACGAGAACATGCCATTATCATGTCACAACTTTTGACGAACTTGCTTCGCTTCCTGCAGACGATGGCCAAAAAAACACGGCAAACGGGCAGCCGCGGGGCAGGCTTATTTCTCCAAACGAGGACGGGAGAAGCTTTCCATACCTACACAGCCGCAAATATAACCAACATAACAACAGTATTATGAACAAACCCCGGGAAGAAGGAAAGGCACAATGGAGAAAGAGGTGTGCAATCTGGTTGGTTGATGACTCAGTCAGCAGAGAAAATGTACCCTGCCTCGATGGCCCTTGGGACGATCACCCACGCCCTGTCTAATATTGTGAGCCTGAAAGAGGATGGTGGGCGGGTTCTCTTGCAAGACTTTCTGATGCTCATGCTCCAACAAGAACCCTGGCCCCGGAACAGTTTCCTTTTTTAACCCTCAAGCAAGAAGAGAGGGCTTGATGATTTGGAAGCATTCTTCACACAAGAACACTCGGCACCTCCCCCGAGATGTTTTGGCACATTGTCTTTCTCTCGGCATTCACGTTTCGTGATAGAGAAACGACGTTTCTTCACCAATATACCCGAAAATAGATCCGGGTCCCGAAGACTTGTCGTTTCTATTCCTTTTGGTCGGGAAGGGGGGGAGCAGGCATCGGACTTTATTCGACTGCCGTCTGGAGCTCGGGCAGGCGGCGAGTATTCGAGGATATTTGTGTTACAAGGCTAAAGGCTGTTTTGAGAATACTGAAGAGTCGACGAAAGCTGCCTTGGAGCTTTCCCCTTCGGTCCCTGAAATTGGAATACTGTTACAATTATATTTGTTCGACTCATTTGCTACACAAGAGGTTGCACAAAAAAAACTTTCGGTCAATGTCTTGTTTGTCAAGATGTACTTGAGACTTGCGATGAATCAGTTGCGATCGGATCCCGTCCTTATGTCAAGGATCATATGCGCGATAGCTTCCCTTAGTTCAGTTCCAATGATATCACTGGACTACTGATTGTGCATGTGGGAATAACAACACTATGATGCATCAAACGTATGCTTGGAAGGTCTTCCAAATCGCATATGCGTTTTGCCTGTTCTCCGAGGGAAAGTTTTACCGCAGAAGAGGATACTCTTCTGAAAATGGATACTTAGGTATCACAGAAATTTTGAAGCCGGCCGAGTGAATTCACAAGGTGAACTGTCTTCGGGAGGTGCGCTGGCAGCATGCTAGAACTGTGATCGAAAAGCCACCCCGGGGCCATGGCTTGCTTGACTAACCCATGCCAGGAATCTTAGTGGATGTGATTATGGATGAGAAGTTGTTATTTTCAATTTGATTAAATTCAGCCCTGCCACAATACAAACGCCCGCCCAAAGTCCAAAGGTTGCCCCTCTGAGCTATCTACGGGTTGCACCAAATGACATGCAGACGAACGATTCTTTTTTTGAATTCGGCTACCCACATTTCGAGCTCGAGACCTGCCTTAGCTCGAGAAGACTTTCCATTTTTCTCAAAAAAGGAATCCCTGAAGACTCTCATCTAAGATCCGACAAATAACTTCATATTGCTTTTTGAGGGTCCTTAGCCTTTTGGGGGGCTACTGATTTAACATCCAGAGAAAATTACTTAAAGTCACCCACCACCCCCCATCCAAAGACATCTTTGATTCTCACTATTATCCAGAAGCCTCATCATATTATATATCCCTTTGCGGAAGGCACAATAAAGAACCTCTGGACAAAGCCGACTTGACATAATTTTTTTTCCCTTCCGGCACAGGTCAGCCCAGATTTGCAAAGCAATAGACCCCACCACTCAACTACAGGCCATCACAGCTCGGAACAAAGGACCGAGAGGTAGCGACCAGCGGCTGAAAAAAGCATTACGAATAACACTAGAAACGGCTGTCTAAAAAGCGATAGGCCCTCCACTTTCTCCGATCAGGATTTAAATCCTCCTGAAGAACCTCGTTCTTCTCGAGCCCTACTTTTCTTACCAGTATAGCAATCCATTTGCACCAAAACACCTCAAGATGTCATTCATAGTCAACCGGCTGCGAAGTGGCAGCACTGCGGGGGAGAACGGCTTCGCACCAGCTATCAACGTCGAAAACGGCGCTGGCGGCTTCTCAAATGGTCCACGATCTAGTTCTCGCTCTCCGCCCACAGCGGGCCTAGGCGGTCGCTTCAGATCTAAGTCTCCAAACAGTCGCGCTCGTTCTACTGTTCGCACATCTTCGTTCCCCTCAACCCCACCAGCATTCCCCACCCCATTTCACCCGTTTAAGCTACACCCCCACTCCAACAAGAACCAGGTCAACGCACTGAAATTCATCGACCGTATCGATTCTTTACTCTTCCTGGGTCATACGGGACAAACAGTGCTGGCGGCGATTCCAGCATGTATGGCCAATACCGAAGCCCAGGGATGGTACAATCGAGTGATGAACTCGGACATCCGTCGAAAGTCTACCATCGAGGAGTTTCGAGAACTTTTGATCATCGATCATATTTGGTCTGTTGAACAAAGCCGTATCCAAGCGAGATACCAATCGCAAACTGCGGCGAATGCGAATAGGAAAGACCCATACCTTGACAGTGCGGAGTTCAAGTTGCACCTCGCTTATATCCGCGATATCGTGCGGCTAGAGGAAGGACAGTCCAAAGATGAGAAGAAGATCACCCAGCTGGAGGCGGAGAAGTCACAGCTTGTGGAGAGGGAGAATACTCTACAGATGGCGGTTGCAGATTTACAAAACGAGACCGTATCGAGGAATGGAGGACAGCCTTTACCTGTTCTACAGAGGACGAACGATATTCTTACGAATATGAAGCAGTTGGATGACTCGAAGCTCAAGGTTTCGATGTTGGAACAGGAGAAGAGGGCGTTAAATGAGAAGATCGCCTCCTTACAGATGAAGGTTGATGATAGCGATAGCACGAATATACATGTCTCCAATATTCGACTACAACTTCAGAATACCAATACCAAGAACGCCGAACTGCAAAACATCATTCTGCAACTCGAGCAGTCCAATTCGTCGCTACAGCAGAGACTCCTGGCAGCACACAGTGCACCCCCGAGCCAGTCACCACCCCCTACCAACGCTGCTGCCGATAATAAGGAGCTCCAGCAATTGAAGAAGCAGAATCAACAGATCCTTAATGACTTGCATCAGAAGGAAATCCGTGTTCACGACTTGGAGGCCCAAGTTCGCTCGTACTCCTTCCTTCAAGCTCAGCACAATGAGCAGCAACGAAATGATATTCAACCACTTCTCGGCTTACAAGCCCCAGCCCAACAAGCTGCTGTTGACCGTACCGCAATCACCAATCTTGAGGAGATCATCAAGCAAAAGGATTTCACTATCACAAACCTTCACAGCAACCTCAACAAACTCACCGACGAGTCTATCAATCGTATTCATCGTGTCTATCAAGTCGAGCAGCTACTTCTTGATTCTCAACTCGTAACTCGTAACAAGGATGCTCAAATCTTCACTCTCGAACGTCGTCTTTCGAACCTTGGACACCAGAAGGATTGCAACTGTACTAACTGCGCATTGAACCATCCAAACGGCGCTCAACCAAACAACGGTATTCAAACACCAATGTCCATGACCCGTATCGGATCCCCAGACGTCAAGCGCACTACCAGCCCCGAGTTCAGACCCGCACCAAGAGTAATGTCCATCTCATCCGCATCCGAACTCTCCGGTCCCACAATATCCTCTCGCACCGGAACACCCTTCCAGCAAAACGCTACTCGCACACCACCCCGTTTCCTGGATATTAAATTCAAATACGCCGAGCTCTACCCATCCTTCATCCCAGGAAACATTGCGCCAAGAGTAGCCCAACTCCTGCAGAACGGGCTAACGATCCTCCATCCAAGCCACGAATTTACAAAGCTCTGGGAGAATATTGCCCAAGGATTACTTGAGACACTTGGCGGGGACGGAGCGAGCTTGGGAGAGTTGACGAGACATATGAAGTTGTGCTTCAGAGAGAGGGAAGGTGAAACATTAAACGGATTGGTTGTGGCTACAGTGTGGGGTGAGGTGTGGAGTTCAGTTACTGGATTGGATGTTGTTTGTGATTTCTAGTTTAAAGTCTTCTTTTGCTTTCTTTCTTTCGTTCTTACTTTTATTTATTTTATTTTTTACTAGTACTTAGTTATTTTTGGATTTTTTTTTCTTTTACTTAGGGTTAATGACTTTTTTTTTGACGATGTTGATGATGTGGCTGGGATGGTTTGGGACGGAAAACTGGGAACTGGGATTCTTCATTTTCACAAAGCATTCTACTTGAGCGTTTATTATTGGTATAAAAACCTATTCAGATATTATTATTATTATTTTTTTCTCTTTTTCATCTTTAGTAGTTCACCAATTAAAAAGGCATTTACTACTGCCGAAATCTTCTATTAAAACATAATCATATCATATCAAAAATTTAGTTTTCCTTTTATGAATCTCCCCGCCTTCTTAATTCCACCTAGTCACAAATATTAGCGTTTTAATTCCTTCAAGATACGAATATTAAGGAGGACCCAATAATTAAGCACATCCATCGAATCCTCAAAAAAACCATATCGATCTTAAACCAAAGCAAAAAAAGTTTCCTCAGCCGCAACTCCTGCGACCAAGCCCCGCCAACAATGTAATGTGACTTCCAAGCTTAACCCCAAGCACTCGGCTTTCAAAAAAACTACATCCGAGATACCCGTTTATCACTACACAATGTACTTAATAGTATATCTTGGGGGCTGTCCGCTGGGCGAAGAAAGTCATGGCCTTGATAATATATATTGGCGTTTTTATGAAGGCGAGTCGTATACCAATTAACCATGGCCCCGGGGGGTTCTTGGAAGTGCTAAAGGTTAGGTATCCTATTGGTTACATTTTAGCTTGCCTAGTTCTTGTGCGTCCCTGGGATTAACGTTATTAGTATATTCGAGTTTTGTCTAAGGGGGCTTTGTGTGAATATCATTACTGGTATTGGTATACTACATTCTAGGAAGGATTTTTTACTATTTCCCTGGTAGATATAAATATTCTGTAGTACTTGATTAAGTAATGTATAACATGTACAGGCAGGTTTAAGCGTAAAGGAATGCTTGTGAACATCAAAAATCAAAAAATCAAAAAGTTAAAAAAGTTACTAAGCCCTCTAGAGTATGTTAGGTATGTATGTGCCTTTTTGAACTACGGAGCTGCAAGGGTGCAAGGTTATTCCTTTCGAAACTTGTGGATTGAGGCTCTGTGATGTTGGGGGCTATATTTAGAATATAGATCGTCATTGGGTTTTGTGTGGTGGAGGATTTGAGAATGGAAGGCTTTGTGGATTATGAAAGTTATGACGAGGGTTTATTTTATTATTTTATTTTTCTATTCGTCCGGGGGACTTATAGGTTCCTTGGATCGGGGCTTGGGGGGGGGGGGGGGTTCATGTTAACGTTTCGACCTCGTAACCAGGGTAGGCGATATGCATATACCCCCTCGGACGCCCAAAAAAACCGGGAACGAAAGTGTAAGATGTAGATTGCAATGTGTAGGGATGTTATGTATGTGTATACCTAGATAGATACCTGCAGGACATTTTGATTGTATTTTTGGATATTTGGTTTTTTTGTTCGGTTGTCGTTTAGTTGCATGCATGCAGCGGAAAACGGGAAGATTTTTTTGGGGATTTCTCATGCGCGGTGATAGACACGGGAGAGGGTTAACGTTTCTTTCACTGCGCCACTTTTGGGAAGGGGGTATGGTATAGATAGTCCACTGGGGAGGGAAGAAATGTGTGGAATTGTGTGGAATTTCGTGTTAGATTTTGTAGAGCTCGGAGTTAATGAATTATTTTTCTATATATACTTCTTTGGATTATGTTTACACTGTTCATTGGGATGTATTTCCTGAAGGGATATGATTAGATTTAGATTTGTATACGTAATACATTTTTTGATGCATATGTTATGTGAAATCTCATGTATGCATATTGGATAGTAATTCTAACCTCGAGACCAGGCGCAGGGAAAGGGCAGAGAGATTCTGGCACACGACACATCTGGAGGGCGGTGTCTAAAGGCTCCAGCTTTGAATACTAAGGCCGAGTAGATTGGTAGTAGTTTTAAAGTTTCGTTTCTAAGCTACTGTATGAAATGACAACTGCAAAAAAAGGAAAGGGCTTGGTCATGATGGATACGTACACGTGGTTGTTTTAAGTGGGTTGCCTATCATTTTGTTCTAGACAGATGTTCTAGATTTTAATTTGTGTATTTTATGTATTGTATTTTAGAAAAAGTATGCATAGTGCGCGCGTATGTGGGTATAACTATATCAAATAGGTATTTGGGGAGGGAGGGGGGTTCATGGTTGATGTAAGCTGTTTTTTCTTAGGGGGGGTATAATTTTTCGCTGTATAGGTTTGATAGATAGATAGTCATGTAGTATTTAAGTTTATAAGACTGATAAAACATATCGTATGCTGACAAATATTAATCTTAACACCGAGACAAATTAAAAAAAAGATAAGGGAAAGAGATGCCGGGTTGATAGTGTTTCTCTCCCTTTTGGAGGATAAGGTCTTGGAAATGGCTCTACTGGTAAATACGGGGAGTGGGGTGGATCCGTAGATGCGTCTAGACTGGCGATTGATTGGTGAATTGATGATTATTGGAGGATTAGGGGGTGGATAGGACAGCTACATATGGAGATGGAGTGATGGAGTATTTCAAACATTTATTGTTTACTGTGATTTATGGACCTTTTTGGGGGTGAGATTGTGGTATCTGACGTGAGAATATAATAATCACTGCGCGCGGCTGGGCCGGGAGGAGAAATACAACAGAGAGTTGCGTTGTTCAGCAATATCGATGACAGGTGGGTACTGGCTGCCACTAATTGGTAGTAGACACTTGGTTGATGTTAATTGGTATCATCGGTTTGGATCTGATAAAAAATACATGCGGGATAGTTAGAAGCTGTCTTTGGTTAAGAGTGTATCTGATATCGATCATTTGTAATTAAAGATTATGTGTGCATGCATTTTAGTTTGAATTACCATATATGACCAGAGCCACAAGTTGACAATTCGTATTGATAAAAATTGAAAATTCGCGATAGGATTAAAAATTAATTAAAAATAACATAAGAACGGAAGCAAAAAAATAAGATTAGGACCTGAGCGTTTTTGTCTCATCGACACGATACCTATGGTCGAGGGATTCGACGTGGGGGTGGGGGGAAGGGCTTGTTCGCGTAAGGATGCCATGCCCTCTCTTAGTCGATAAGTCCAGATCAACTGCATTTGGAAGCAATAATCTTTCAATACCTTGATGGCTTCCTTCTCGCTACATCGCAAGCCCTTCGGAGGAAACTGTGGCTCTGTAGTTAGGGCACCGGGTTTGGTATCGCTCCAACGGTCCTCGACTAGCTGTGATCTATTCGGCGCTCATCCCCGGCAATAGAATGCCATTTAAGGTGGCAGATGCTCATCCTCTGGTGCCCTCGTTTATAACCCGAACCCGAACATGGTCAGTCCTGGGTTTATGCTGCAAGCGGCCAAGATAACCATTGACAACATCACTCGGCGCGGCTACGAAGCGGTCAAATGCGAAGACGTCGACATCGCTATCGGTGCTATCGTGATAGAAGAGAGCGGCAAATTTGTATTGACTGATTATTTCGCCATATTCCACTTGAATCACTGATACTACAAAGACTTTGAGGGTTTCTCAGGTTACCCATCCATCCAATCCAACCTAGATGGAGAGTCCATAGCCATATAGTCACCATTCTTAACTCATTTATTTGCATGCCCCCGAGTATGTGGATATTTATGGGAATTATTTGGGTATAAGAGGTATTCTTATTAGGGAGGAACCGAATGGTCTTTTGGTAATGATGGCGATTGAATTGAGGGACCAACTATGTACTTCTGGAACTTTTGTATAGATAATTTTGGGCACTTAATTTTCGTATGCTCGAGGCAATTCTATAATAGCAAGTCTTTCTCTTCGTTTTCATCATCTAGACCTGTCAGTACTGTAGATTCCCAAAGGCTCTAATCTAACTTGCTGTCTCCTCAGCTACTGGTAATTCGATTGGTCTAGGATGCTTTGCAAACTCCTTGACTACACCTGGGTAAAGTTGCGTAATATTGGTCTTTCCGACCTGTCCTGTGGAGAACCTTTAGCATGTGCTCTGAATTCAAGAGTTTTATGGGGACGGAATTCGAGTTTGGAGGGTATACAACCTTGACGGCTACTTGTTGGACCTTAAGTTGAAGAAACCCTGATTCATGGACCCCAGAATTACACAGATGAATTTCCGTGCCAACGATGTAACACTGATAAACTATTTCCAGTAAATTCTAAACGCTGATCCATTGATCAATGGACCCTCAGCACAGCCCTATGCAATCATTGCCCCTAAACTATCCTTGTACTCGCCTACATCCGCTTCTATAGTAGATGCCTCTTATCTTCAAAATGAGGCGGATTAATGGGTTGTCTTATCATCTCAACCCCTGTCGCAGTTAATGGCATCATGACATGGACGAATTACACGCCCAGGGTATCTGCGTGCATTCTGTAAATTTAGTTCTCTGAGTAATGTTTTTTCCATTCACCGACCTTCTAGCCAAAAGAGTGAGAGAAAAGAGAAAGAAAACAATTAAAGCGGGTTTAATATCATGGAAACCTTCCTTGCTACCCCCCTTTCCCTTTTAAATAGTTGCTATATATAAGGCGATATCACAAACGGGCATTTATTCGGCTTGCATAACCATCGGTAAAGATGTCGCGATATGCACCTCGAACAATAAAGCTAATATAACCCTACCGGTATTTGTATTGTGGTACCAGGTTATAGTTAAGGTTGAAGGATGAAAAAGGTCGCAACCTCGTCGGAGTAGATGTGCGGTGGAATGCACTCACTATATATAGTCGGATGCTCTTATAGGTTTAACTTGGGGGGCTCTCGATCTAGATTCCAGCTTGACCGGGATGGAAGTTATGTCGAAAACACCTTAATTATCGAATAATATTGGTGTGTATTAAAGTTATTCAGGTTGTCCAACAGCTCTAGATATGAATCCGAACACGACACTGCTTGAGTATATTGAGAATAGAGATACAATGAGATAGGATTTATATTTGTTATCTAATGAACGCTCCCGACGATGTCGACATATGTCTAGCTAGCTTGGATCCAAAATAATCCGGGGTCGTATAAAAGAACTCTTAGATCACTTGAGTTCGGCTAGAGATGAATGAAACCGTAGCTTGACAACTTGAATGTTCTTATCTGAGCAATTTGAAGTGGGGTGCTATATATATTGATACTGAAGGTAAAGCTGAGGCCGCGAGGTCATCTTGGATCGGTAGTTTAGAAGCTGCACACTACGGGACGTGAAGTTTGTTTTATGAAATGCCTATCGGAATGAGAGTCGTGACTGATCATCTCGCCATAGCTCGTGGAAAGGCTACAAAGTGGTTGGTTTTGAGGAATAGTTAAGTTTTTCTCAAACCTTGGGCTCAACAACCAGTGGAGTCGGCCTGCGCAGCTGCGTGATGAATTCGAACGAAGTTCTACATTCGAATCGTCACCGAAATCTACCTGTGTAACTTAAAAATATACAACAACAACCCAACTACTCAACAACACGTAGGTTACCATTTTTGGCTACGTAGGCTTGAAGTAATCTACAAGTGGCGCGAGGCCCCAAAAAAGCCAGCACGGTCGACACGATCAATAATAGCTCTATCGTTGCATCAAAAGAATATGTGGACAGCAACGGACTTTCAACGTACTAGCCAGCCTGCAGCGCCATATATTTACTCTTCCATTTAAAAGGCCCCCCGGGTTATTCCGCGGGCTAACTAGTCCTTGTATACAGACCGACATGATAAAACTAGTAAACTCGTGAAATGCCTGCCTCCATGGCGTGCTGTGTTGACCTCTTTCTAGCCAAAAAAGTGAAAGTGAATTTATATAGGCCTGGTCTCGTTCCCAAATCACCATGCGCCTTTTCGGTTAGAAACTTGAGCGGAGTCGTATCTGCTGTGGAATGTTAACCCATCCCAACCCCAGTTTGAAGGTACTCTAGAAGCGAATTGATTCTAGTGACCATTAGAATCGCCAATCCTGCAAGATTTCTGGTATGGGCTTGAACGAAGGACCCTTTACCTTCTACGTAGGTCACCCGGACAGCCCAAAAGTGGAAATATGGCCTGATAATAAGTTTCAAATAGTCAAACAGAACGTATAATTAAATGCATGGCTGCCACCAACTACACTAGGAGCAAGTAGTTCAAGATCTACGTCTTAGAAGATAAATCCCCGAAATCTAACAATGTGGGTGGGTGGCTTGCTCTATGCGGGCGTTGAGGCTTCTTCCGGGAAACTTCGCAGGCTCGGGCAGTGAGGCTTTGCCTAAGTGGGCCGAGAGTATATTGTGTGTCGGTGGAGCGGAGGTATAGGGTCCCGGCGCCTGTAGAATAACATGTTTGAACACGTTGCGTCTTGCTTGAGATTCGTTCGTATCGAGGGCTAGATGTAGTCTCGATACGATGCTAGATGCATGCATTGCGACAGGAACTTTTGCATTGTTTCATAGATACCTACCTCAGCTCCAAAACAATACTGAATTAGGTTATCGTTATCCACAGATTTGATCAAATGAAAGTTCGGTTATCATGTGGTATTGAGTTGAAGCCTCCAGTTCTCAGAATTGACTAGAGTTATAGCTAATTTCTAGCCGAGTTTAAAGATCAATAATATTGGCTCGTGTCGCTAAAATCGATCTTCTATTCAACATTGATACTACAAAAGGTTCTATAATAGCTAGCTCACCAAAGTTACTTAGATTACTCACAAGTTTGATAGATAACTAGGAGTTGATGGCTCCATGCTTCGCATGCCGACCTAGATGTAGAGTGGGGACACCTAGTAAATACGGCGTCGCATCGGTGTTCCATTTTTGATAGCTCAGGCTCCAAGACTAATCTATTTCCCAATCCAGATTCATGAAACCAGCTTGCAGAATAGTTACTTCATATTTATCTGGGAAGTTTGCCATCCCGTTTTGTCCGCGTCTATCACGGCCCGAGGCGTTCTAAGACAAAAATGATTGAGTACCTCAAAACGGACCTAAGCCATAAGTACCGAGTATCCCGAAGCCTAGAACTCCCCCGTTTCCCGAAACTCAATCGTAAAACCAAAAACCGGAACCATAAAATTCCTCTTAAAAGAGCAAACCTGGGGACTCCATGGCGGCGCCGGCTCCATCGGCACTTCTATATATACCTAGTACCTTCACAGAAAAAAAAAAAAAAAAAAAACACGGCACACACGATAAGGCCAAGAATTCAAAACTCCGCAAAAGCGGATAGAAAAGGCCAGAGAAGTTTGAAGATAAACCTAAATTTTTCCATAAATAGGGCCCCCACACACATAGCCGCGCGCCCTGTCCGTAAAAAGTAATGTTGATATGCAGGTGTGCACGCGCCATCGAGAAAAACTATCGCAGGATCTCGGATGTATTCTGGACATCGAAGTCTCGCAACGTCTTCTGGTATTTTCTTAACCTTTGCCTAACACACGTGTCTGCACGATATACGTACTCATATGTACATTGACCGATGAGTTCCGTAGTAACTCGGAATGTTCGAACTACGAGAACACCGAATGCATTGAAAAATCCCTCCAGAAAAGACAGCAGAAACACTCTTGCAGATGTTGTTTTGTGTCGTGTTGTATTTTGCCAGCCATGCCACGCCAGAACGGAGAAGAAACTGACGCTAGCATGAGCTTAAATCTGTAGTATGATCCATATTTCCTCCTTTCGATGTCTAGAAGTCTTTGAGTTTTCCAGGAAAGGAGGCGCTAAATCTCCCCGGTAGATTAGATTGACATTCTAGAGAACTCGAGATTGATTCCGGGCTACGAGAGGGGCACAGTAACCAAATCGCCTAAGCATAAATTAATTCTGCAAGTCATGAACGTAACAGCACAAGTGGCTTTATATTCCCGGATGCGAAAGTGGTAAACGGAGTATTAAGCACTGTTAGTAACAGGAAACATCTTGGTTTCATTACAATGTGGATGGCCTAGAAATCTGGCGGTACCGATGCGGGCTGATATATCAAAAGTCGGGGAATTAAATTGATATTATAATACTAAAATTCCCTGGCAGTAACTTACCTAATAAAAAGCTGAAGAAATGCTGTGACATCATGGCTCGAATGTTTAGACGCCATAATATTATATATAATTGAGCTTCAGCAAAGGGGTCAACTTAGGCTCATGATGACCGGCATCCCTGGCTGCGATGTATTGTTGATATTAGCTAATTCATCACTCGTAGAGATTAAGGACAAGTCTAAGCTAGGGCTAGAATAAAGGGATTAGCGAGGGGAGCAATCGGTCTCAGTGTTCGAGGAGAATTTTGTTTGCCCATATATTGGACATGCAGATATCTGGCTTTCGGTGGCTTCTGTTGTTGCTTTTAATCTTTGTGTTGCTTTTGTCTCTATGCACCACGGGCCGAAGTTGGGCGTTAGTGGCCCTTGCCCCGCGATGTTTCGGCGTCGACATCGTTAGCTTCCCGTGCAGATTGTGTCAAGGTCTTAGAGAAACAAATGAAACGATTAGGGGATCGATATAGACGTGTCGATATGCAGTGCAGTGGGGTTGGTGCATTCAACACCCCATATGACATCGAATTAAGGAGAAGTGTTCATTCCCCTTTCTTAGCATCGGGACGATAGAGCTCCACACTTTTATTGACAGCTAGAAAAGCGTCCAGAGACAAGCCCCGCAGCTTTCGAAACGTCAGGACAAGCGAGGGGCTTCTCCAGACCTATGTACAGCACGTTAAAAGGTCCGTGAAAAAACGAAAGAAGATGGATCATTAGAAAATTGTTTGTTAATTTATTTGTTCATTTTATTGAAAGCTAGCTTTAAGCTCTATTTTAGGTCCTTCCTGAGTTCTTTTTTATAGCTTCCGACTTTCGTGCAGTATGTGCTCATCATAATAGAAACACATAAGAAATCCCTGATCATGTCCCTCCCTCATAGAAAAAAAAATAAAAGGAGAGAAGCGATAATAATAATAATACAACAATGGTGGGTGGGAAATGGAGGGCATGAATCAGGATATAAAAACAAGAAAACACCGTTTTTCTGAATGGCACGCATGTAAAGGGAACGCCGGTTTCGCTAGAAAGATTCAAAAAAAAACTCCGTTAAGAAAAAGCAAGAGGTCAAATGACTCCGGTGTGACTCCCTTTTTGGATATGTAAAAATCAGGAAAACAAATTCAAAAGACGAGTGAAAAGAAAAAAGCTGATGCCCCTATAAAGGGTGGGAGGCGCCGGGTACTTGAATAGGAATAGCGGTAGGAAAGGAGAAGTTGGCGTAGACAGCAGGAGGTTTTGCGTGAGGAAGAACGTGAGGGAGAGGTATTGGAAGTTGTGCTCGGACTTCTAGCGCAGCCTGTTGCGTAAACGTTTCTACGGGTTACTCATGGCGAGGTTGAAGCTAGCGATGGATGATTTGTCTTTGAGAATTGAGGAAGTCCAGCCCAGGAGGCCTCGGTTTTCGGGGGCGGTGACCGGGGTAGCAACGGCAGGATTGCTAACTGGAGTTGGATCGGATGTCGAGACCGTGAGGGTAGGAGCTGATGGTGGGTCCCTTCTCTTAGGTTCAATCGCGAGGGATTGTCGATATAGCTTTTGAACGTCACCGTAGCCAGACTCATTAAGGGTCCGCATTTGGTATTCTAGCCAATGTTGGAACTCTGTGACTTCTTGGATAGGATAAGGGTGCTGAAAGTTCTGAATTTCTTGAAGGAGCTTTGTCATTTGTGTGTATTTGAAGAAGTTGACACCGGTTGGGTTCTTTGGGTCTTCGTCAGGGAGGGGCCTCTTATCAGCGTTCCCGTCAACGAAGAAAACCATGTCTGTGAGGTATAAACCCAAGAATGGGAGGCAAGGTGCTAATTGATTTCTTGTTCGAGAACGCAACTCGAAGTAATTCCTACTAGGATCAACAATAGATCGAAGTTTCTCAAGGGCTGCCTTCGTCTTAGGAGAGACAAGCTCCCATGTCTTCTTGAGTCGGCCAATGGTTGAGTTGTTCAAAGCGCAAATGATAGCCATCATTGTGTTGAAGTTGGCCATTTCAAAAAGCTTGTCAGCAATCTTGATCCAGTGCTTAATGACTGCAGCACGCTTTTTCGGGTCGGGATCATTGAGAATGGTGAATGCGATCCAGAGAGCCATCTGAGTAGAGAGCTTAGTCATAGCGAGAACATTGACAGCACGAGAATCTTCTTTCTTAGTCCACTCTTTACCAAGAAGCTCGTGAGGGGTAATTTGACACCATATTTTCTGGTCAATGACGGTCAGTTGTCGTGCGATTTCATGAGGGTCGAATTCGAGAACAGATGGGACTTCGCCTCCATTTGCTTGGAAAGCTCTGAGTGTAGCATATTGCCTACTCGTGATCCTTGGTTCTGCAAAGCCAGCTGCTTGGTTCAGGGCAACGGCGCTTCTTGTCTTCTGAAGTGTAGCAGGTTCCCTTGGGACCAGTGAGGTATCGGATGCGACGTGAAGAACTTTGTCAGTGAGCTCTTGGAGACGGTCACCCGGTGTAACCAACACCGGCTTCAACTTGTTGATTGCAAAGTCCCTGATGATGGGGAGAGCTTCCATATCAGACTCCTTCTTCCAGTGGGTCTCTAGCCAAGTCTTAAAAACGTTGTAGACACGGACACGGACAGGGGTTGAGCCCAAAAGGTTCTGGTCGACTTCATCGAAGCGATCAATGAGAACATTGGTGATCTCAATAGGGGAAGACCAGCACCTGAAGGTAGTAAAGAATGTTGTAACGAAGATGATATCTGGCTTAGAATCGGGCATAGTCATTTGCTCAACCAAAGCTGCGACGGAACCAATATACACTAGACCATCCTTTGTAACAAGATTGTGTGCGTGTGTCTTTGGTATTGCTGGGGCGTCAACTGGGGTTGGAGGGGTGCTGTCGCTGTGGGAAGTTTCCGAAGTTGGAATAATGACGGTTGTTGGTTTGGGCACAGGGGTCGCGAGGGGTGTTTCCGATTCTTCATGAATAGGTGTGGTTGCTCTTGTGGAAAACTTATCTTCCTCGCTTGTGGCCGACTGTTGACTATCTTCGCGTTGCATTGAGACCGAAGTTGCAACTGTAGAGTCAATAGATTGGTGCTTTTCTTCAATAATGACCTTCACGTCTTTCGGAGGAGGGGATGGAACGGGCGTAGCCAGAGATGGCTCCACAGTGACCGGGCTCATTATTGTAGGGAGAGAAGGGAGGTTCTTGTCGAGATTCAGTTTGGTAATGACTGGTGAGGATGCTTCAGAAGAAGAGGAAGACGAAGACGAAGACGAAGAAGAAGGTGAAGAGGAAGGTGAAGAGGAAGTGGTAGTTGTAGTAGTTGTAGTAGTAGGGGAGTGCAACCCATCAACAACTGGAGCGGTAGGGACTGTAGTAGTGATACCAATTCCAATTTGCGAAACGGCTGGCTCAGGCGCGGAAGTGAGGGCGATTTCAAAATCTTCCATCTTCTCAAGAACGCCGTGAGCGTTGTCAAAGCACAGTGTTGCTCCCTGGACACATTTCGTTGCTGCATCAATTAGAGGTTGGCTTTCGTTGCCAGCCAAGGGCTCCTCATCCTCTTGTTCCGAGAGAGGCTTAACCAAACGCTGTGCTTCGGTAACAAGGACGTTCATCTCCTCTTTGAAGTTGGTCTTGCTGAGTTCAAGTGATTCGTCAGCTTCTCCACGTTCTTGGATTAGATCAACCACGTGAAGTAGCTCCTTGCCAACTTCAACGGCGTCTTTAGTAAGGACGAATAACCGAGAGGGTAAGGGGGCTTTCAAATGGATTGTGCCTATGTATGTTGCTAGACAACTGAGAAGGGAGTCGTATGTATAATTAAGTCTGGCCGTAGCCAATGCTGTCTGAGCAGCAGGCTCAGGTTTTGCCTCCATGATTTCACTCTCGCTGTCGGACTCCTTGACAGTCGAGGCCGGGGTTAAGGCAATAAACGAGGTTTCAGTACTCGGTTGGTACGACGGTGTGATAATTGTGAGACGTTGCGGACGCTCTTTTGCAGGTAAAGGACCAAGGGCGGTGGTGAGAGATGTTTGTATGGAATCACGGTTACCAGCCTCAGTCCGAACCTCGCTAGTGTGATCGCAATCGTCTTCATTGATGGTAGCCATCTCGTCTTCACCAAGATCCTCGGGAAGAGGATCGTGGATTTCGCACCAGGCGTCGAGGAATTTGGCTCCTCGAACCACGACCCTGAACGAACTAAGTATCATGTCGTCGATGAGGTCTTGAACTTGGGATGTCAGTTCTTCCCCATCTAGCTCGTCCGGTAACCGGCGAGCGGTCTTGACAAGAACGGATAGTTCGGAGAGAAGAACCTTTCGCGTCTTGCGAATGGACTCGTCTGTTTGAACGTTTTCCGAGTCCCTGGTCAGGCAGTCCGTCACTTCCTACTCGGGCCGTTAACGCTATCCGCTAAATCGAATTAGAGTGGTAGACTTACCAGAAGATATCTGACGCCGTTTACTACGTCGCCAACGACGGTCTGGCTAGCAGTGACAAACGAAGCGTTGGAGGCAACTCTGCACTCCTCAAACACTGCGATGCTAGCCCTCAACAAAGGCTGCATCTCCTCGACCTCGTATTCCGCACAAAAATTTGTCGGTAGCCAGCCTCGGGAACCCGAAGCCAGGGCGGTACCATCCGCCCACCCGTTTTCGTGGATATTGTGAACCATTATCATATCGCCCGGGCTCAGGGCTATTGTGACTGTCGCTGTATCTGCATTCTGAAAGGGCCTGAAATGGTAGAATGCCCTCATAAAGGCCGGGTACTCTGTCGGCCTCGAAATCCTCTTAGAAGAGGTCTTCGAAGATGCCGAAGTATGCGACTTAGGCCGTGTGTCCGGTAAGCTCACGTCCGTAGACGATTCGCCATTGGATGTGACACTGACGGCCGGCTCTTCCTGTGACGAGACACGCTTCGATGAGGTCTCCTTAGGAGTCCCCTCCCTCGAAGGGCCATCTTTGGGTGTAGGTGGGGGGGTGATCTGGTCTTGAGAAGATATTGTTCTCGAATGGGATAGTAATGTCTTCCTCGAACCTACCGAGGAAGTTCTACTCCCTCGTTTGTATAGAGGGAGCGACGATTCTGTTAGATTCGTCGACTCCATCTTTTATATAAAAGTAAAGATTCTCCCGAAAGAGGTATCTTGAAGTTAGGATAGGTTTGGTGTTTTTGTGTTCATCACCACCTCTGAATGTGGAGATATTTCGTGCAGGATCGGAAATGATAAGGGGAAAGGATATTTTAGATTGACGGCGGTATGGGTTGGACCATCAAAACTGATGTTGGAAAGGATATCAAGTTTGATGTTGCTGAAGATTGAAACCAGACGATGGCGATGCTTTGCAATGGTGACAGTCGCGGACGGGGAGAATGTTGAGAGGTAGCAACGTCGACAGCTATTTGCGTTGTTAATGTGATAAATTGTCGACGTGCAACACAGGATTCCCTGACCAAGTTCGGACTATAAAATGCAGCAACCAAAGGCACAACCGTTAAATTCTTTATAAGATTTAAATATTCCTACTCCTAGAAATTAGGGAAGGGCGATGCGATGAGAAGCGATTTGTCGAGAAGATATACCAATGGTCCAGAAATGAACGACTAGGGTACCTCTTTAAATCCGGGGCCGCAAATCGACTAGTTGCGGCAAGGTCAATGTCAGGTACCTGGAATCTCGATTGTCTCGATTCTCGACCACGGGGATGTCAGGATAAAGCTGAGTACGAAGAGGGCGCAAGTGCAAGTAGGTTTGGTATATCAATCGTCGAAGTACCCCTAGGTTCCCTCATGCAAAAACGTCTTTCCGGCTGTACTCCGTATGCAGGTTTGCAAGTCGTTTTCACAAACCCTGCAGCAACTCCTGGCTGTTCGAGAACTTTTAGGCAATGGAATGTCGTGATAATTGGTTGGATAGCTCCCCCAGAAATTGTCCCTGACAGCGTTTAAGGCGCGGAATTTCGAATGAAGGATAGAGTATGATAAATTGGCTAGCGGTGTTTCCAGAAATACGTCAAGCCAGAAGTCCAATCCAAGGCAGCCAATTAGCTTCTGATCAATCCCTTTCTATATATCCTTCTATGTTCTCCTCTCTCCTTGACTGACTCGAATCGAGGAATCGAATAGGCAGCCAATATCAGGATTCTTTAGTTTACTGTTGTTACGTTTATGTATCCAGGAAGTAGGGCGTAGCTGCGTGTGCACGGTATGCAAGGAGGTTCGTAGTCTATGTCCTAATCGCGGAAGGACCGGTTGTCAACGTAATGCTCTCTTGATGGGAGGGGGAAACGGCGACCTTGGTCGATGCTAGATAGAGCGGAATGGAAGAAGATTCAAAAGCTAACCTTTCCTAGTTTTGATTATTTAATGGCCGTTAAAAGTCGATTTTGGGTATTAGATCGATCTTGATGATATGATATCGCTACCAGTTAAACAATGTTTCTTTTCTATGCGTATATTCCTCCAAAATGTCTAGCGCCAAAAAAGGATATATCAACTCAATGCTTTTTAAGTATCTGCAAAATTTCGAAAGAAAAAAAACCAAGCTTGAAAAAGAAAGAAGAATACCGACGGCGGACGGCTGTTATGACGTTACAGAAAAATATTTTGGAAAAGCAGACGCCGTAAATGATTCCAAAGTCAGGTGAAGAAAGAGGGAAGCCACGTCCAGATATATGATCCATGAGGGCACTCCCCTCGTCCTCAGTGCTATTATAAGGGTCAACCCAGACTGTGAATTGCCCCAAATCTATCATGTCAAATACGGTATAACTCTTCGCGGGCGGAGGAAAAGGTGGATCCACCCCCAATGACCTTTCACGGGAAATGGGGTGGGAGAGTGAAATCTTGCGCGGTGACAGTCCTCGAACACACTAGCATCCTCGCCGGGATGTCCACTGGCTTGCTCGGAGGCAGCATGGTTTCTTTTTTCGCAAGTGTTTAAGAGTTATTTGCTTCTCCTGAATTTTCTCAATAAGGATAACAGGGACGTCTACCCATTGGCTGGTTCAACGGCCTGTTCTTTTTCTCTAGGAAAAGCAAATATAATGGCATCTCACGCTAGAAACTTGTGTTCATTTTTCACCAAAGGGTTTCTTTCCTTTTTCTGTTGATGGTTTTCGCCTTGTGGAGGTGACTCGACTCTGGGTCTCCTTTTCGTTCTCCCGGGCAGGATACTCTGTAATACCTATCTCGAATCAAAGCTTCATTTCATATCTACACCACACGACACCTGCAGCAGGTCAGAACATACGATACAATGTCTCTCATCCCATCGACAAGTACAATTGCAAAATCTGTTAGCAAAATTGGGTAGTTAAGTTTTCATTAGATAATATACGGCCTATCTAAAAAGGAAGCAAGATCCATTCGCATTTCCTTTCCTCTTTCCCTCAACCCTTCATTGAACCTTTCGATCGGAGAGTAAAAACCTCATGGCCAAACCATCGACGCAGCGTTTGAAAAGCAGGGAGGGGTTTATGACCAGGCTCCCCAGTCACATCAAGTCCTCATTTGATGGGTATAAAACCAATCATGGGTAGACCCTGGACTGGTGTGCTACCGAAGCGCTTGCCCAACCAGAACTTCGGGATCAAAGCCTATTGCCATTCGCCCATCGTTAAGAGACTCCATAATAACTAGAAAGACTTTTCGTGACCTCGGTTTACAGGATAAAATGGGGTCCTCCATTGATTTAACTTTCACCGAATAAAACGTCCAGACTCCGTCTAAAGCATCTTGCAAAACGTCATCATAGACGCTTCGTAAATTGCTAAATACACAGGACTCCGATATATCGATACCGATAGATATTAATATTTCTGTGCGCTCCGCAGCAAGAACGTCTACCCCACTATTAGCGTCAACTAATGTCCTAATACTCGAATAGTCAGTCGCATCTGGAAGCTCATCAACGCCAAGTTTTACCTCTTTACTGACCATATCCCCCCGTGCCGTTGTCTTAATTCGTCTATTCTCATAGGTTATAGGCTCATCTCTTCGCTTCATCAAGTTCAACGCAAGATACGACCTAAAATTGAGGTGGAGGCAGTTTATCTCGCACAGCATAACGGCCGGGTGCCCAATCAAACGTTTCGCGTAACATGCTCTACCCAAACCAAGTTTCCGTTTGGTCCAAACATGAACGAGACCATGTTTCCACCAACGAGTAAGATCGTCAATCGAAGCCCTCCTCGTGATATTTTGTTTAAGATTTAACCTATTGTCCTAATCGCATAAACTGCTCGGAGGAGCTGACGACTAAATAAGAATATATTGTTTGAATCTTCCCAGGTCGCACATGATCGATGATCCTTCTTCAGCGCTTCAAGATTTTTCACCATTGCTCAAACCCCCCTCAAGGCTCCTCAAGGCTCGACTCAGCATTCCTCAGATTTATCAGCTGATAAATCATATAAATACGGCATCACGTAGTAGCTGGTTCCTGCATGGGTCCATGTTGAGTTCCTGCGGTTACCAATGGACAGCTGCGATGCAGGTTCGCTAAAAAGCTAAAAAAAATTTAACTCAGCTTCCCAAATTCGAGTCTGAGGCAAACCTTGAGCTCGCCAGCACCAAACTGGCGGGATATGCTTCGATTCATGCAGCTCCCTGTAGACTGCAGGCAAACACAATCGATCATTTGAATATATGATTGAAAATGCGGAATTCGAAGCGACTGTATCGCTGGAGACGACCGTCTTAAACCGAGTCGCCGGAAATGGAAATTTCGACTCTCTAGCTTCGTAAATTCACAATCTGATCATGCATCTGAAGCTCCAATCCCCCCCAAACGTGCATCTGAATCATCAGGCCCCCAATATTTCAACAAGACTCGTATAGAGGTTTCGCTCGAATATGCCTTTATAACTAATGATGAAAAGGGAGGTTGTCGAGCTAAAAAGGTTATCACAAGGGTCCTACAATTAAGTTAGCGGTCAAGCGTCCCTTAGTCGAATTATTAGGCTATTGAAACATCAGTTTATGAAGATCATAGACCCAAATCATCAACCTAAAGTCGCTGCCCCACGGTCTATCAAAATAAGGTTGAGTATGCCCCCATGCCCCCCAGTCTCATTAAGTCACCACTCGTCTGTTTGCCCTTTTCGTTATGCCGCCTTGAAATTTCGTCGCCGCAGTCTTTAAATTTGGAAGCAAGCCGCGAAACTCTTGCACCATTGTTTCGCTTGTGATTGAAAGATGATGAGGCGTGTGGGAGGTCCTCCTACATGTAATTTGACAGGATGCAAGTCCCACGGACGAAGATACTAGTGATCGACATTGCAGTTACTGAAGTTGCTCTCAGCGCGCGCGAAATTGAGACCACTCGGGGAGAAGAGCAGTTCTAGCGGGAACCGAGGAAGGCTAAGCATTGAAAGACCTTAGCTTCGCAATTGCCGGTTGGTTCGAGCAAGTTTCGATGTCTCTCAATCACTAGTTCGTCGCCGGGTAGACTCCGGAAGTATCACGAACCGTGCCGTTAATGCTAACTAACGCTACATAGCTAGTTGACGGGCGGGTTCCAAGCGACTACCGAAAAGAGATCAAGGAAGATATATTGCATTGATTCAGACCGTCGTCAAGGAAGAGCCCTGGAAGCGATAAATCCCAACGATCTCACAAAACTTGCCGTTTGGTATAGTAGTAAGATCGTGTTAAGCACTAAACCAAAGCTAGGCAGTCCTAAAATCTAGACTTTTGGCGGGTCTGTTGGCGGGTCTTTGGGCCGACAAATGGTGACATTTTTTTGACCAAAAATGGGGCCAATGATGCTGAGATCGAGAGCATACATACTTTTTTAAAAAAATTATGGTAGTCTGTCCCGCTCAGATGGAACCCCACGGGCTGCGCTTCCATTTGAGATGATTTTACAGGGAAGGTGCAGTTTCAATCTGAAGAAGATTTGAGAGGTATTCGTGCCAAGACAGCTATCTTGTGCTCCCAAACCAATGATATCGCGTGCGGATGCCGGCAATTGACCCAGGTGTTTGGGAACCTTCGACTCGCAAGGCGAAAAGGGTTCGCAAGGTCGATATTGACCAAAGCTAGTTAGGCAACAAGGAGTCGACGGTCAGCATAGCGAACTCGGAGCGAGAGTAGGTATTTGATTTTGGGTCGACCCGAGGATAAGGTCCCCTCATGGCATCCATCCTACCCTTCACGTGTGGTCTATCGTCGACGAACTTGGTGGATTCGTCAAATATTTCCCGGTCACCATGCATTGGCCTTGTGCAAGGCACGCAGCATCTTAACAAGGCCCCAATTAAGCCGCTTTGTGTAGCAATCACGAACGAAAGAATGAAAAACCCTCATGTTGTGTGACCTTCACACTTTCAAGCTGGCAAGATTGCGAATGTGGTATATTTGTGGTATAGTTAACAGCTAGCACAAAGCCGCAGTCTTAAGAAAGGCGATCCATCTCTCCTCACACTCTAATTCTTCCCTGTCATCCTCTGGCACACACTCTTGGCAAAGATATATTTCGTGAGCTCAGCAACGCCCGATTGATCAAGCATTACTCGGCCTGGCTTCGTCATGCAAATCGCAATCCATTCAGATTACGGTGGTATCAACTAAAAAAAAATCCTTGATCATTACAACATCTTCATGTCCACATTTGCCTCCTTGACCAATGTAGACCTAAGCATGACGAATAATATGCATGTACACTTCAATTGAACTAATTATCTCTCAGAAAAACCTTTCCTCAACTAACCATCTTAAGTATTGGATGTTGAGCTCGTCGCTATTGCAACTCTGAATGGCCTTCACAGGATTTTCCACTCTCCGAAGCAAGCCTAGCGAGGTTCAATTTATCCATTACCTAGTCAAAGAAAGGTCCAAGTTGCATATCTTTTTAAGAGTTAACTGGGTCCAGCACCGAGGACCGCATGCGGGTTGCCCGTCCTGCCGAAGCTTCTACGTATCGCCTAGCTGTAACCGATAGCATTTTTGGCCGAATGAGACGAACCGTGCGCCTAAAGGTTTTTTATGCATGATAGAGAGCCTGATATGTAGATGCAATTTTATATTTTATTCTGCTACTGTGGCGGTTTTGCAAACCCATATACTTTATATCGTTTAGCAGTTATATTTGGCGCCGAACTATACATATCAATTGTTTTTTATTTGCGATAACGGCACAAAGGCCTCTCCCATTCACCACCCACGAACCCCAAACCTGGTTTTCCAGGCCTGGACCGCATGGCGCAACATGAATACAGGTATATCTATAACAGTCGTCGTTTTAACAATGTTTCTTCCAACAAAAAACATGGTCGAAATTTTTACAAGGGTTGAAAGACCCGGGGTCGGGGACACTCGAGGGAAGCAAAACTTCGTGATTGTTTCGATTCGATCGGTTATCACGGTAAACTCCCATATATGTATGTTATATATTTACGATGGTATCAATGATTTTAGAATGACTCGCGGGCCCCCCAATTTCTGATGAGCGGCTGAGAGGAGCTGAAGTCTGAACGATTTAATGGCGCAGTGGTCTGTCATTCAGTTGCTGCGATTCGTCGACTACAGGTTCCGAAGCCTTCGACGGGATCAGAAATAGCAATTTTTAGGTTCGATTGACCTCATCTGATGCTGTTACATTCCCGTCAGGATACTATCGATATTCTGTCTTCTCCATGCCTTAAAACGATCGTACGAACGCCTTCAATTGATCAAGTCGCTTTATAATTTACCTCCACTGCATACCACGGCGACTCAAGCTGATAATGCCATTGGTATCGCTAGCCATCCATTCGTCACTTTCAATTCCAACCTTGCCAAAAAAAAATATATTTGTGGGTGTACAATGTGCATATATGTATACGAAGGGTGGTGCCCCCATCAATATCTATAAGTCCTATCTGCCTATCTCCATAGACGCCGCATGTCAGAAGTGTGTAACATAAAAGAACGGATAGCGGGAAGTTTAAGCAATGAAGCGAAAACATCCCACTCCGCAACCCCATACGGGCATCTCCATCCGCAGAATTAAACAATGGGGTAAACGAACGGGACACGGCTTGTAAACGAGCGGGCTGCATGAGAATTGCAGCGAATACACAAGCTTGACACCCACTAATATTCAAAATCTTCATATCTCTCGTTCTTCCGGTTTCTGTATTTTATTTTTATTTTTATTTTTTCTTCTCCTTCCAACATTTCTCTACAGCACGAAGATTCCGGTGACCCCCATGCCCGGGACGCTCTGATGAATCCAAGATATTTCCTGCAATGCGGGCAGGGTTCAGTGCATGGAAAATACATACATGTAACCCAAAAACCGAACCATACAAGAATTCCCGCTGCATGCAAGGGAGACAGCCGCCCCCTCGCAAGGGGTACACAGCAAGAAAAGGTGGTTCCCAGAAATTCAACCAACCAGACTGTCAATGGCATGCTCAAAACCTGGTCGGCAGACATGAAGAAATTATGACCAAGATAATTCAATGTCACGCCAGCAGGGAAACTTATCCGTTGTGCAGAAAGTCAATCTACTTCGAAGGCAAAGAAGAAATACCACATAGTATTAATTATGTAGAGGAAAACAACGATATTCTTTTTTGCATCGCCTATAGCTATCACAGCCTCCCACCTTTTGTGCTGTTGCTGTTTTGATGTACTGTGCTAGCGACGGTTTTATGCTTCAAAGGCTAATTTCAAAGATATAACTCGAGCACGGACATACCGACGAAAAGAGACGTCCCGATGCAGGACGGAAAAACCATGAAAGTTTGCTCTGCATTTTTCCTTTTCGCCTAACTTTTCCAGCCGGTCAAGTCTGGTCCGGCCGGTTGAAACATGCATAGACGACGGATTTTCCTGGGGTTCGAGACCCTTCAAATGTGTTGCGCTTAGACCTTGCCTTTGTTTCTCCTGTGAAGTTGTTCACATTCCATGCAAGGTGTATCTTCGAATTCACCGCTGGAAACTTTGGAAACTTTGGAAACTCAGCTTCGTATCCCCCCCTTGAAAGCCGGCACGTGTAATCGGCCTGGCTTATTGTAAGATACCGACACGGAGGTTCCCCGATGCTGAGATCATCCCTCTCGTCCAGGCTGCTGGGA